CGGTGGTTGCCTTGGAATGCGGCACTGTGGCTGTCCTGCTGAGTTGAGGCTTGAGTGCAGGCAAAATAGGCGATCGCTCTCTAGCCCCATCCGAAGTTTATGCATTCCTACTCAACGTGCATTGTGTTTTATGTAGGTCAGCAAAGGGTGGAGACGCGATCATCAGCATTTTGACAGAACAATACGTACGTAGCTTCTGGCATGCCCGCTATTCGGCTAAGAACCTAGCTAGCTGACGACCGGACCTCTATTCAAAGTCAACCCAGATCTCATTTGTTAGGCAGACAATCCGAGCAGGCAAACGAAACTTGACCTGTCAGGTCGCATCGGGCAGTCCGCCAGCTGCATGTCGAAGTGATGAATCTTTCAACAGAAGAAGTTTTGACAAGAAGTCATCATCATCATTAATTTTAATTTAATAAGCTGATGGCTTATGTAAGAACGTCGTGAAAAAGGAAAGAGCTCATGAAGACACACGGAAGGAACGAGGGCAGGCGGGCGGCACCTGCCAGCCTGGCACCTTCCTTCGCACGAATTGCCATAATTGTCCATATTGGGCAGGTGGTCCTTCCTTGGCTGACTAATAGCATAACTGCACGTCTGATTGGCCGATGCTTTTTGTTCAATTTATTTTTCTTTTTTAGATCGATCGGCCAAGATAGAATTCAGCAACATAGTACCTTGTAGTATGTACAGTAGCTCAACCCACATGCACGAACACCTGTTCGCTACAGCAACAAGCCATTGTTACTGTAATATTGCTCAATATGGCAGGKATCGCAGGATGCGATCATCATGAATTGTTTGTCTAGGTAGTATTTAAAAATGCTTACTATACACATAGTAGAATCGGAACGTGTGTCCCAAATGACTGAAATAACCCATGAACTTTAATGGAGGCTGTTCGTCCCCTGACTGATCTGACAGGCTGACAGCACACGCCCTAACTAATAGTGGTTGATAGTAAATACTGCTAAATCCTGCTAAATCCCAAAATGGTTAGTGCTTAGCTCAAGTACAAATGACTAAATTAGTGTTGAATTAATGTCTGATTATTACATATAATACCACTGTTACCAGCAATACTTCGTACGTACGTGCTAGTACTAGGATGTACCAGCTATCAGGTGCGTGGATCTGCATTTGACAACTACGGCGATCTTCTATCAGGCTTTGACCTCGGCTCTCTGCTAGAGTCTTTGACCAGCTACGTACGATAGTAGTAATTAAGTAGCTAGCTAATTACTAGTCTTGTCTGACGGATTTTCGGCTGGGAATATATTCCGGTGACAAATATGTCTTGTCGTAGTGCCATCAAATTGAGGCCCCAGAATTCATATTCAGCATTTTTGCATCACTATACATGTCTGATAATACCTATAAATTCATGAGGATGGGCATTTGTCAAAGCCAGCTGGCACACTGCATGCTGCATAAGAACGCACATACATGCCTGCATTTCACCGGTACGGCATCAGCCACACCCCATTCACCAACCATCGTGATACTTCCCATTTCAACAATTTGCCTCATTTTTCGTTCTATTGCGCACACTCCTGGCTCCTGTGTGGTCACTTCGTATATAGCAAACAAAGTTATGGATCGAATCCACTTGCCCAGTTGGTGCTGGTACCTCTGTGCAAGCCACTTTTGAGGTACCAAAAGGGTACTAACACCAATGCAGTTACGTACCAAAGAGGAAGAACTATGATGTGGACAGACCCTCCTCTCAACAATTTCGAGTACAGATGGATTGTATGATAATTGTGTTGAGACTCAGCCTGCGCGACCCATGAGGTCAATCTCTCGGCAGTGGTGGGATTTACATCCGATTCTATGGTTCGCACATGAGTGTATGTCTGTGTGTTGACTGAGTTAATGGGAGTACCATTTTTTTCCATATGTAATTATGTATTAGATAACCTGAGCGTGTACCCGCCCGACCCAAAAAAGGTACATGTATCAGAAAGGCCTTCCTTCTCCCCGACAGAGTTCACTGCCGAATAGAGAACAGAAAAAAGCAAGTAACGGTACGTACTTAAAAGTTAGATCCACGGTACGGACTCTACAGATTCCACGGAGCGCAGCGCTGTGCACGCGGTGATGGAGCGGAACTCTCTCATTTATTGCTCTCTATACCCATTCTAGGCCGCTTGCATGCAGCAGCTCGATCCTGCTACGGCAGTGTAAGCAAAGTATGGAGTACGGGGGAGCAGGATTGCAGGATGCAGGATGAGTGTATGCAGGGTGCAGTGCATGATTCAAGCAGAGTAAAGCATCAAACCGCTCGTACGGGACGAAACGGTTTATAATACAGCCCAAGTACTTGACTGGTAATTTGCACCTGATGATTGCTATCAGCTAATTGACTGAGTACCGGAATACAGTTCCAGGGTTGTCTCATCTCGGCGTGTCAGATCCCGTGGCTCTCATAAGCTTTTACATGACAGATAGAGCCGCCAATCTCGCCTCGATTTGATACATAGGAGGTAGTACATACTACATACAGTTGTACTCCGTAACTGCGTACCTCCTACCTAACACTATCTATGTACTACCCAGGCTAGCCGGGGCAGAATGTCCGACTCACATGCTGCTGATTAGGGCTCACTAACCCAAACGGGGATGCGACATACTGAATACCGGAACACGTTCCGAAGTTTTCTGGGCTTTTTTAAACATGAATTGCCTCTTGCTCCGTAAAACTAAACTATGTACATTGTAGCATGCACGTAGTATTGACACGATCGTCATTCCATTTCTGATTGTAGGAAAGATGCCGAATAACCAACCATGCCTGTTCGCGCTGTGGCTCCACCGGAGGTTCCGCTAGTCCTTCGTAGGTACGGTAGTACAGACGCTTATGTAGCCAAAACCCTAACAACACGCCGGATTACTCCGTGGAAATGCGTATTGGATTACCATCTCGTTCATTAATTAGAGTCACCACACCGTATACTATGTACAGGCGGAGTTAAGTATAGTAATTAAGTTTACAACTAGGTTTTTAATCAATCGATCGGATCTGAGTCGGTCATTCTTTTTTCTCGTCTGCCTCTCATTCTTTGCATTTCGATCCTCTTCAATTATCTGGTGTATGAATATTGATGATTGAACATGTATTTCTGAATACAACCTACTACGTACTAGGCACATCGAGATACATAGTACTACCTGCACATGTACGTAGTTGGCTTGATCCACCCTGACGGTTCCACAATCCACTCCAAATCGTGGGTGCCAATCCCATGGGTTAGCACTTGTTGGCATGACCCATCGTCAGATCGATAGATTAACAATGGGAACCTGGTACAGTAGTAGCAATCGTTGACAATGCAGAATACAATCTTCCTGTCGATATGCAGTACTACATACTCTCTACGATGCAGTATAACACCCGAACTATCAACCAACGTACATCTCCGCAGCACATTCCTCAGGCTGACAGGAAAGCCTTTCCGGTTCCAAGGAACAAGAAAAGAAGAAAAGAAAAGCGCCCAAAAAATCGAAAAAAGAAACAGAGTTTGGGTCGACAGCCCCATAATGAATACCCTATTAAGAAGCAATGGAACTTAGAGCCATTGCCTTGCATAACCTTGATTCAGCCCGCCATCCACTTTTCGCCGGCGTCCACTTTTGGGCCTCTGCTAGAGTCACTAGTTACTAAGTTAGTTGCGTACCGACCTACTAAGTAATAAGTACTAAGAAGTGTCCAATCTGTCAACTTTTCTCCGTGAAACCTATGGGCCGAAAATACAAGAAAAAGCAAAGTGAGGACCACAAAATTTTGTTCTTTTTACTTTGGGAATTTCACCAGGAGCTAACCTTATTAGCCATGACTTTTTCTCCTCAAGTAACGTACGGAGTAGTCCGGTAGTAATTCTGTAATTGGGCCACCAAAGTATCGGAATTTTAAGACCCAGTCAAACCAACCCGGCACCTGGTTTTACGATTTTTACAGGACAGCAAGAGGAACCGGACAGACAGGGGATCGAAGGGCCCCATAAAAATCTTAGTCTTTACGTATGGGGTTCGCTATTCGGTTTTGAGCCAGTTAATTAGTGTTTTTACCCACTCTCATGTATGACACTACGTATACATATACATACTTACATAGTACATACATGTGTAAGTAAATACGACACGATGTACATGGGTCTTAGATTGGAAAATCAGGTCTAACTAACTAGGTCACTACTTAAAAAAAACTTTACTGTCACGATCTAAAAGACAAAAATGGAGAAAGAGGTAGAAGCTAAATTCTTATTGCGTCGACTTATTTAGTATGCCCTGGTCCCTGGATCTCGTGTACATCTGCCTTTCCCTTTCCCTCTTACCTTGTTTCGCTATATTGGGATTCTCATTCCTCGCTTTGCCTGCCTACTCCTAATAATCATATACTGGTCGTCACTTGTGTCTGGTAGGCTTCTTTCGGCAATCTCGAATAAAGGACGCCTTTTTTCTTTTTCTCTTCTTTTTTAGATACATATTTGGATCGGCTTTGTTATCTTATCTTTTTTGTTTTTTCTTTCTTTCTTTTAACTTGTCTAATTATACTGTTACTATCCATCTCGCCTTGTTAGGCGCAAAGCTTTTCGATAAATACTACCGACAAATAATCAAACAATCTGTACGGCCGAGTTCGACTGACAATCTGGAATTGGAAACACTTGAACTGGACCGGATCAACTGGAATTTGGCATGTGTCAATCGAAATCTCGGAATTGATGCATTACTTTTGGGAGGAAAGCGAGACAGACATAGTTACAGAAACGAACTTACGAATTTAACGAAGTGCGGCTCAACGAACGTGACGGAATTTTACACACAACATACAATTGACTACAGAGGCGACTCTTGATTTGAAACAATAGTACAATAAAAGTGAAGTACAAAAGCAGGGGAGGAATACAACTTATCCACCTGGAATTGGTGCAATCCGCATGTCTCAACCACCCGGACGAGTATCAGACAGAAATCATCGCAAAGATCATAACAATATGGCTGTTACCTATACTGGTGGTTATTCTGCGCCTGGCAGCCAGACTCTCCCATCTTTTCGCGAAGTGCGTATCTATTCGCATCATGTTCTTGTCGCTCTATTTGCTGATATTGTTTCTAGCTCCTCCCCGAACATCTCCATAATGAAATAGATCAAGCCGCATATTACTCCTCACAATCCCGCCCAACGGATCGCCATCGCACCCCAGATCCCAACAAATCAAGATCCTCACTCCCATATCCGCACTCATCAACAACAACATCCGGCGGTGGTCGCGGACCAAGTCACACCCTACCGCCACTAAGAGACCTGCAATCCTCAAACCGCCACCACGACCGTCCCATGAGTCCGTACGACGATGCCCCCAGTCGATCTGGATCAAGGGCCGGAAGAGGGTACCGAACGAGCACAGAAGAAGACCCTAGATACCGTTCAGTTTCAGGCGGTGGTGGCGGCGGTGCTCTGTATAATGCATATGACCCGCGTTATGTCCAACAGCCTTACCAAGGATCTTCGTACCCGAGCAGTAACCATTCTAATCAGAGCAATGACTACGATTACCCAACGTCGTCACCCATGGGCGGACATAGTCACACAATACCTACTTCTTCGGGAAATTTCGGTGTGATTGGTGCCAGTGGCGATTCACTCGACTCGCGCGGAAAAAGGAGAAGGGGGAATCTACCAAAACCCGTCACGGATGTTTTGCGTGCCTGGTTTCATGAGCATTTAGATCATCCGTATCCGACGGAGGAGGATAAGCAGATCTTCATGTCGAGGACGGGTTTGTCTATAAGTCAGGTTCGTCTCCTAACACTAGAAACTATTGCTAGATTCTAACAAATGGGTATAGATTAGTAATTGGTTTATCAACGCCCGACGACGACAATTACCCGCTCTGCGAAATCAACTCCGGAACAGTGATGGCGAGCATATCCCACGGGGACATTCGCCGATGAGTGATGTCGAAACATCAATTTCGCCGCCTCATTCGCATATGACATCTCCGACGCATTCGAGACATCGATAGACGAACAATCATTATACACGAACTTTTCCAAAAACTACCGACACATCCATCTACCAACCCATCATCCGTTTCCATTGATCCCATGCATTTAATGCCTCTAACCAGCTTGCATTGTGAAACGGGCTGCAGGTCTTCCTTTCTCATCTCGTCTGTCAGATTTATCACGTTATATCGACTTGATATTTGAACGTGTTGTACATCTACATGCTATGTTCTTTTCCAGGTGCTATCTTCCAGGTTTGCGTGGATCCGGCGCATTGCGTTTTTCGTTTCCTTACTTGTTTCCCCAAGGTTGTCTATTTATACAGTCTGATCGATGATGATACCCTGTTCTTCTTCTGTTTTTGTGTGTTTTGACTTGACTGTTTAGTTTATCCTCATGTAGCACCATATATCAGAATAATATATACGACATATACAATTTCAATCACAAACACAATCAATTGAGAATACCAAACGATGCAAGAACTGATTGGTCCAATCTTCTTAATTTTCAGGTATTGGCATACATAGACTAGCTAATCATCTAGTGCTTAACAACTCAGTCATTATGATACGTAGATCATAACACCGCTTACTATCATGTACGTCGTCTGACCTGGAGACATGGATCCCATACAAGTGGATGCGTAGTATGTACATTAGTCACATACTAAAAGTACAATCAACGAATCTACGTCTATAGCTGTGTAGCTCGTGGAAAGAAACTCAATATTTCGCCTGACTATCTTCTCTATTGCCTTGATTCATTCTAGTTACAGCCAATGAACATATAGAGTTAGAATCGACATACCCCAATATAAGACATCCCCACCCCCTATCGATCGTATCGTTCATCGAGAGGGGTCCGGAACTAAAAACTTGTTTGAACTTTGTAGCGAGGGTTTTGGGGGAGGAAAGTAAAATCTGCCACATGGTGTGGATTCTGCGGAGACCGCCGGAGTACGACGTACGTTCAGATGTACTACGTAGTAGTTCGTTAGTGCATGTATCGTACTTCAGCTTTTGTATGGAGTACAAACTACAAAGTTAAATATATTGATCTGATACAATGCGTGATATCTAGTCAATTTACCGAAACACTGTATGAAATGACATGACTTCTACGTAGTTCGGGGTCTACTTGTATGTGTCTAAGTCAAGATCATTAGCGTTAGGGCTATCGCCCCCCTGTCTAAATCTACGGGTCGACGGGGCAGTGTACGGTAAGAATAGGGGTTAGTTCAGGGGTATCCACCGCCTTAGTGAATGGTGGTCTCTCGCTAGACTAAACACGGGCATTAGTGTTCGCTCGTTTTAAGTTTGTCGGTAAAAGTTGACATCCACGGTCCACGCACCAGAATCGTAACCTCGCTTCGAAGGTAGAGTTTGCGTTTAGAAGCTTGAGCACAAATGGATACGGTGGACTACCTACTAAAAAGTAGCAGAAGTGAGGTATTATTGGCATCGGGGAAGTCGAAAATCAGCCGAAATAGGTAGGTGGTTAATCTATGAATCATCGACTATCTGGTAAGATATCGGAAATCCTCTTCAATACCAGTCCGGTTCAAGTGAGTCTGTAATTTACAGTAGTCTGAGGGTTTAAGTCTTTTACAGACAGAAAACAATCCCAGTCACTTTCGAGTCTCGACGCCTTTTTAGTGCTTGAAGATGAGATGTGCCCAACGTCATCTGACACAGATAACATGACTTGCGACCCAACCGCCGGTTACAGCTTCGTTTTATAATTGCCAGGCCCTCATTTGATTTCAGCCACTTCGTTTCATTTTGTTTGAAAGAGGAGCAGCGAGTTGGAATTTCTTTAGTATACTGTGTGCTACCACTAGCTTGCATACTACATCCGTGATTACTACGTATCTCTATAATTTCCAGAGTCACTTTCTAGCATGACTATCGAGGCACATAGAATTACAATTAATTCGCTCGTATGCACGAAATGCTTGCGTATGACCCCACAGCCTGGAAATGGTAGGAGAAGATTTCCAAGATTCGATTTGTGCAGACTTCATTTCGGCACATCAAACTACTTCATCCAGACAAGTGCATGTGATTGTATAACACAAACCTGACCCCTAAAGATTCGGTCCACGATTGGTATACGGGGTATAGACTTCGACAAGCTACTGCCGTTTCACAGGCATGTACAAGGCTTTTAGTAGCGTCTTGATTTTGCATCTGACTGCAACTTGCCTATTTTGAAGTTTGATAACATGTACCGTGACACAAAACCCATGTTGAAAGATTGGGTAACTGATGCATGGGTTATATAGTCTGTGGAGTACACGGCATTGATTCGCTTTTGAGTGTTGTGTAACTGTGGCGTCTTTTCCAGAAAACATTAGAAGAAAGCCAAGCCTCACTATGGCTTGTGTCACTTGTTACGATAGAGGACAAAGTCAGTCAAGCATCTCGTCTCACCCGCTAGTCGGTGTTCTAGAATGATCTGTCACAAGTGGTAGGATGAATAGAAAGACTAGAATGTTGCCCACGACATAAAGTAGGACAATGGAAGTGTGTGTGTGTCAAGAAAAGAAAAGACAAGTCAAGTTCACATGTCACAGTAGCCAAGAATGTTGGAGTTAGATCGATAGTATAATTTGTACTACTGTCTGCGGTCTTAGATGATACATGATTGATCTCAAGTAGACAGAGTGTGTCAGCTACAGATTTCTGTAGTGCAGATTCCATTCCAATTGCTTGGGTGGCATTCAATGGAGGATTGATATGGATATATTTCGGGAAATATCCTAACTTTATCTGGTACTACGTGATACATACCGGTGCTTATCATACTTATTGTTGAGCACCTAGGTACATGGCAACAGGACGAGCTACCCAGTACTCGGCGTTCATTGAATGAATATTCAAGTTCTGCAAAGACCAACGAATTCCATGTTTCTTTATGTAGGTGTAGAAAGAATGTATGCGGTCACCTGACATTCCAAACCCTATCTCATTAATCTCATCAACTAGCCTCTATTCAAGTGTCAATTATATTCAAACTATGATCAACACATTAATATTTCCATTCCTAGAATCTGACCTACACACAAACCTACCGTACGTACGTATATATGCAAATAATGATTGAAAAACCGCCGCGAGGCGCAATATATTCCCTATGTACGTGTATATATCTTCCCTTCTCTAACACAACACAAATCTATAACAGTGTTACATGTATAAAACAAAAATGCCGAACCTTATAACAGACGCCTCAAAGAACAAGAAAACAAGATGGCCTAGACATGCATGCTCCGTTTGCTGCGCTGTCTAGAATTTAGGAGCAAAGATAATGAAGAAACGCCGGCAAAGCAACGCTATATAAACGTGATATAAATGTGTCCTCTGAAAACGTGGGATCGAATGTACAATGGTAGTTGGTTGAGGAGTGATAGAGTTACCACGTTTCCTAGTCCAATTAGTCATTTGCTCATCAAAATTAAAAGTTTGTAGAGGAAAGCTTACCGCGATATATTGACCAGCATCCTTCTTCCGGCCCCAAAACTCCTTCGCTTCCTCCCTGTTCAGATTACCCTTGGCCATAGCAACCTCAATCAGCGCCTCCTCCACACCCTCACCCATCCCTTTGCTACTACCGCAGACAAAAACGCGTCCATCAAGGGCATTGATCACAAACCAGACCAAATCAGCTTGATGGCGAACTTCTTCCTGCACATAACGGCTTTCACCCTTACGGCTCTGGACAACCTTTTTCACTTGTTCTTCGTGGACGCCCCATTCGCCGCTGTACAGCTCGTCGAGTAATGAGTCGCGGACGCCCTGAAGAACCCAGACTTTATTGGCGCAGTTGGCGGATTTGAGGCGTCGTTGCACAAAGCCACGGAATGGGGCGATGCCGACGCCGGCACCTATTAAGAGCATGGGTCCGTCTAGAACGAATTCGCGAGCGAGAGGGTTGGCCATGAGACCGCGGAACATGGGGACGTGCAGGTCGAGGGTTTTGGGGTCGATGCCCTGTTGTTCGGCGGCGATGACTTGATCGGCTAGACTTTGCAGGAATCCGGAACCAACGCCGCTTCTTGTTCCGCGCTTCCAATCGTTGCTTTCGTGGACAGTGACGGCAATTTCGACGATGCGTCGGCAGTCTCCACCGCGAGTGGTGCACGAAATTGTCGGGTCTTGAGAAAGTGAGTAGAAGCGTGGCATGAGCGTCCCGAGGACGGAAAGAAGGTAGTCGAGAGGTGGAAGACTCGAAGGGAAAGCTTGTAAAAGTTGCTCGATGGAAATATGGACTCCAGTTCGGAGGTCGCAGAAAACACTCTGACCTTGAGCAGAGCACAGGAAAGTAAGGATCTTCTTCTCATGAGGATCAGACGCATATTCAGCCAAGACGCGGAGTAGCTGCTTGGTGGGAGGATAGCTTTGGATGTCAGAACACCATTTGAGCAACTCCCGACGTGTAGTGACCAACTCTCGGGCTTTCTCATCGCCCCAGATGGTCGGCCAGCGCCCGGTAGTAGTGCGCACCATGATTTTCTTGTCGCGAATAGGCTTAGGAATTCCGAGACAATTCAATACGCTGTCCACTGCATCGTCGCTGTTCATCGGACAAACTCCAATCGCACCTCCAACAACAAAATCAACATCTCCGCCTTCAACCGGGTAATCGGTCACGTCAATATCAAAGTGATACGTGCGCTTTTCTGCGCCAGCCTTTGTAAGTTCTCGCGCATGATGCAACGGCGCACGGAAAACATCGTACGGAGGATGAGGCTGAACAAATTTGGGAGGATGATCCTTCGGTCCTAATTGGACATCCACCAGATCCGACGAAAGAGGGCCAAAAGAGACCGTCTTTTCCGGCAGGGGAACGATGTTAGTCAATTCGCTATCTAGCGCAAGAGTGCGAATCTTCAAATTCAAGCTGCGATACGCCGGGTTATCTGGCGTCTTGATTGGATTCAAGACAACTCTTTCAGCTCGTGATAATGGCTGCGACAGACAACATCCACCACCGCAGCAGACTTTTTCAACCAACTGTGTTCCTCCGGCGCCGATGTTGCCAAGTATCCTCTGCACATCCTCGGAACTCTCTGATATAAGCGCCGTCGACGCACGGCGCGCTCTTGTCGCTTTTGGTTTCTTTAGAGCGACACCATCGAATTGGCCATTCCCGTCGTCGGAATGTTCCGTGGTAGGAGTTTCGGCGGTATCCGAGTCGCTTTCCGACGGCGCGGAAATTGACTGATTCGAGGCAGTCGAGTGAGAGTCTTGAATTATATTTGGAATGATTTGTCCAGTTGATACATGAGGGATGTTGCGAGGTTCTTCGGGTATAGGATTATCGGGGTGTGACGTCGATGTGGTGGGTATGCCCGCTTTGGTAGCGAGAGGCGCAATTGCTGCCGGCATTCTGTGTTTACCTGTGCAATAGTCTATTAGCACAATCCGACATATGATATAGATCAAAACTTTTCTCTAAAGTAATTCCATTGAACAAGTACTGAACAAGTACTGAACAAGTAAACTTCAGGGAGCCGATATCGCCAACCGCCACAGAGAGGCAATGCGGGGCGACATTAAGCATGATGACTCAAACGTCTAGTGCAGAGAAAACGAAGTAAATCGAAAGAACATACTCCTAACAGACGATGCAAAGAATTTTTCCGATCTCCTTGCGCAAACACCGAATCGAGCACGCGCAAACGAACCGCGAAGTAGAGACGGTGAGATTKCCGAGGAGAAGTACACGTTGAATGAATGGATCGTTATCGTTACCGAGCGAGAATCATGAAAAAACTGCAGCGACCAATATTGAGTGTGAGCGTTAAGGCATTGATTCCGTATGTCAGGAGTTCGAATTGGTAAAGAGTAGAGACAAGAGAAAACGTGGTGTACTTGAGAGCCCAACTTCAAAGAAAAAAAGGGAAAGGAAGGAAAGGCAAACGGGAAGACGGCGACCTTAAACCGGCGTGGGCTACTGCGTAACTCAGTATGTGGAGAAGAGTTTTCAGCGGCCTGGCCAATGGGAGCGGTCAATGGAATCTGATAATATTTCTCGGCGAGATTTAGTCTGGTTGTACGACGGAACGGTACGACAGTACGGCAGTGCGTATTACCGACGGATATACTCTTGTCGGTCAGCAATCAGAAATATTCCGTAAGCAACGCTTATGAGTTGGGTCATTGAAGAAGATGAGGATGATACAGATGGTGATATACATAACAAACCCCAGGAACCGCATATGCACTCCATACTTAGTGTACGGAGTACTTACAAAATACGTACCTAAGTAGAGGGTGGCGTGAAGAACTCTCCACCTTCCGACAATACACGCTGCACGATTACAATAAACCTACGTAATACCACTCCCATCCTTGAAACATTACCATCTGCCAGAAACGAGTGCTCTTTGCCAATATTATCCGATGCACAATTTTCAGTTCCTACTATATACCAGTATTCTTATCAAAAAATTCCTCAATTGCCCAGGAATATGCACAGTGCGTAGTACAGTAAGACGTGATGAGGGACCCGATCTCGGACCCCATATGACAGTACTCCGTACGTAGTATGCAGTGGCAAATATCAAATACCGTAACTTACGTCGTCGTACACTGCAGGAATGTGGGGCTCATACTAATCTAATCAGATCCGAAAGACGATAAGAAACCAGACTCGTCGTTTCACCTTTTATGAAACATTGTATTCGAGCATCTTTAGGATACACGCTCGAATGTGTGAATGTCGTTCGTCGATTACGAGTGCTCACCACTTTCTTCTTTTTGTGGGAATACTGATATCTGTGCGCAAGGGAAATTAGGGGGGTACTCCGATTTCTTGGTAGAAGGTCGGGTACCGCCTCGGAAGAGAAACGTGCGTAGCATGACCATGGCCTGATCCCGAAGGAAGGGAGGCGCTGAGCCGGATCGTCTCACATCACCTGTCCACTCTACATGTCCCCCTATTTCCAACGTTGTGTTACACAGATTGTTGATTATGTGTCTATCATAATTATCCTCTGCTAACCGTAGGCCATCATGCCCAGGCCATCATACCGGCCGCTTAAACGGGTGCGCCTCCGTATTCAAAACATACTCATCCAAACTCACAACCCCAGGCTCCGCAAAAATCAAATAAAAATATTTCAGCGTCTCTGCCAACCAGAAACTCTCCATTTTATCGACCTGCATTGAATCAGTGAAGCGGACGTCCTTGATGCTGGCGTGCGCAATGTCCGTGCGCGTCATCTTTTCGATGCTGCTGAACATGCGCCAGGCGGCGTCTTGGTATTTCTTGTCGCCTGTGATGCGGTAGAGGATGTAGACGGATTCGATTGCCTCGGGGCTGTTGTTATCAGTCAGCAAAATAGGCTTTAGAATAGTAGGAAGAGGACGTACCGTAGAATGTATTTACTATCAACGACGCGCGTCATGCCAGGTGGCAGACCTGCCTCGGTGATAAACTTATGAATGATATCATCGTCCAATGCATTTACATGAGACGTCTTGGCCACGGCTGCCAGCCATTTTTTCTCATCCCATGGACACTTGTCTAAGCTCTCACATGGCACCATCCTGAAGATTTCAGGCATCAAGCCTGTCGCCATAGCGTCATATGCCCATATACATCCATTCACCAGTTGCTCAGCAGTCTTTAGATCCTCTGGACGATCAAAGATCTTTGCACCAATGCCAAACATGCCTCCAATAAAGCAGGTAAGATGCTGCCCCTCGTAATCGAGATTGTTCCCATTGAGTGTGCCGCTGAACAGGATGTCGACTTTGTCTTTGATCATTGGGCGGAATAACAAGTTCTTTTTGATCGGGCCCACTGATTTCTCGTACATGCGCCGGTACTGGTCGGTGGTAGCACCGAGCATGAGATGCTCTTTTGGGAGATACTCATATGTCGAATCTGCCATGCCCCCGAGCGTATATTGGTTGCCTCCCCAATTGAGATTCTGCAGATCGACAATCACGGGCCATAGTCCTGGTATTGTCGTCTTTGATTGGCCCTTTTCGAGGTTATCAGAGACGCGTTGAATGGCGTCGTAATACTTGGGGTCTCCAGTCAATTGAGTCAGTCGCGTAAACTCAAGGCTTAGCGATCCCACTTCTGCAAGTAGAGTTTTTGGCGAAGCACGCAGCGGCGTTCCCGCAAGAGATCTAGTCATATCAGCAAGATCATTCTACAAAATAACCTAATCCTTCAAACTCTGAAAAAGAGACGTACACCTTCCAGTCCCACCGCGACATCTGCATTCTATTCGGCGTATCAAACGCCCCATACACAAAATCACCCACCTCCGTCGCCTTTTTCAGTAATATCGGATATTTTCCGTCTGATAGATCATAAGCCGCCAGAAACCCACCCATGTAGCGAATAGTAGTCTCAAAGACGTTGATACTCTTATCCGTGGTAGTTGTAAAATCAATCTGATCAATCGCGTCCAGCGCGAGTTGGAACTCGTCGTCCAGGCTCATAATCAATAACGTATCGAGTGTATCGACGAGAGTCGCAGCCCAGCCGGAGAAACTATTCACGTATCCACCGCTTATAGGCGAAACTTCGTCTTTCAGCCAAGCGTGTGTTTTGTATCCCGTCCATGCATGTAAGAAAGCTTCCTTGACGGCGGATTGTCTCTCTTGTCGCGTCCGACGATCTGATGCCTTCTCTTTCGGAAAATCATACTGTATCTTAGGGATGGACGATGCGCCCCCGGTCGGTAACTCGATGAATTCTTTCACGGGGTAGTGTTCGGGGATTTTGTGCCAATGGACCGTTTCTTCGAGGAGATCATCGTTGTGGAAATCAGGTGGTGGAGGTGGAGGTGGTTCGGGGGGATAGTCGTCGTATTCGATGCTGTCGAAGATGATGTATATGAGAAATGTGAGAATGAAGGCGGGTATGACCAGTCTTTTGCGCACGACAGGCATGATGAAGATTATGAGCAAATAAGTAAAAGAGGCGTCATTGATTGTTTGGATCGGTCAATTGTTGGCATTGGACAACGCCAACGAGGTCACATTTGACTCAACTACGTAGCGATAGCGACAGGATATAAGAAATGAATGACATCAACAATGACAATTGGATCAACATATCAACACTGACTTCATGTAGTCATGTTTTGGGGTCGGGACAATGGCAGGCATAAACGAGAGATGCCAGGTGTCATGAAGGTATTGAAATGAAAAGAATGCAGGGATCACAATGTCGAAGAATTAGAGATTAGAGAGTGTGCATAGCTGCCGTGCTGGGCCTAGTGCGTGGCAAGCTCGCTGCGGTGCGGCACTCGCATTGGCCAGGGGAGAAGATCGTGGAGAACCCCTGAATGTTATCTACAGAGTCTGCACTAACATACATGAGAGTAAAGCTACAAATATGCATATGTTGCAGGTTATGTGACTAAGGACTGATGAGATGATATGAGTCGAGTCGAATACCCGACCATTGCTGCTTCGTGGTCAATTGCCAGCAAGTCATGTAACATTGCGATGTACAGCATCTACTAAACTAGCTCTGTACAGTTCCACCCGAGGATGACTGGTGGGGTTGATCTTTCGAAGGGCAAATAATTAAAGTTGATTCCGGAGTATTTGTGCTCCCGTATGGATTTCCATAATTGGCACTGTGCATCAAAATCAACGATTGACTATGTATACCATCAGTTGCCTGTAATCTGTATATTTGCAGGTGGGATCGAAATAAGGTACAGCCGCTGAGGCTGTTGAAAGAAAGCTTGGGCGGCCCCACTTCCACAACGTCAAAGAAATCAACCTCATTCTGGATAGCTTCACCATGCTTTGCAAAACACAACAACAATAGCCAACTGACTAGAGTGGATATTCAAGCTGCGCTATCACCACTCGGCCTCTAAACTCACTTTGACTTGATATACCAATTTAAATTCTATGCATAAAACTTCAATCAATCAAAAGCCCTCGGCCGCGTAGGGGTCCCTCTACTCCCAAATCCAGCTTCCTCTGACCACACAATGCCGCATACAGGGTACTTACTTTTTCTACTCAAAATGCGAGATTACAACTGACATTCTGCAGAGTCTTCTTCATCCCCTCTAGCCCCAATGCCCCCCACATCCTAGGTCCCCTCACAGAGCGCCTGCGTTCTGTCTACGGCGACGAAGCAATTCCCATCGGACGCTGGGGGCTAGAACACAAACTAATGCGCGACACACCGTCCTGTCTTCCCGCATCTGCGCACGCACCAAACCCAGCACCGCAGGCACGCTATGTGCAGTTTCTGTCAATGACGAATCATCCAAGGCTAGGGTTTGTGTATGCCTCCGAAGATGACGAGAGTCAACAGCCAGCAACGACGACAGGAGTAGGGAAAGGAAAGACGGAGTCAGGGATGATCATGTCCACAGTCCCAATCGCGTCTTCGTCGGAAATATTTCGCCATTTTGTGCGTTGTTGTGAACCTATCTGGTGTCATCGGCATACTGTCACGGTTACTGGCACGGTGTATGATGTCGGCGATTTCAGAGTAAGATTGGGAGAAGTGCGCCAGACGCAGCCGCAGGCGAGACCCAGAGGCACGATTCTGGAGGTTGAGTGGAGGGGCCCGTCGATGGTTGCGGCTGCTTTGGCGCCTGTATCATCTACATCGCTAGGCCTCGAGGAGAGAAATGGGGATGCGTTGGCGATGGATGTAGATGCGGAAATGAATTCGGCTATGGAAACGCCGTATATTCCTTCGGAGGCTGAGATACAGCTTGAGTACGAGCAGATATCAAATTTGATTCGGGAATTTTGGACGAGGATATACAGTTCCAGTGCGGCCGAAAATAATCAGAATAAACAGCTACCGGCGACAACGCGAGAAGCAATACTCGTTCCAGACGTGGGACATGAAATTAAACAGAGAATAGCGCAGCGCCGACAACCGGCTTGGCAGGAACGGGAGAATAGAAGACGGAGAAAGAGGCGGGAGGCGATTGCGTTAGACAGAAGTTGGGGKGGGKTCTCGGAGAAGCAGCAGCAGCAGCAGCAAGATGACGAGGAGGAAGATGTGGAGGCTGGTGTGGATTTGGCGAGGCAGTACATGGAGTTGTTCCGGTTTAATCGTTAGTATCACCTCACTTCTGGCTGAACACTACAAGACTGGACAGAAACATATTACGAGCTAAGAAAATTGAGTACATTACGGACGTTCGTCTATTGTAAAGCTTAAAAGAGAAAAGTTCCCAATTGTGTATAATGATAGAGAAGAAATCAACCCGTCACATGTCACCACCCAACCCCAACACAGAATTTTGCTCCCGTTCAATACGTAGTGATTGCAACTTCGCCTGTGTCCACAGAAGAAAGCAAGAGCCCGCTTACATATGTCCAAGATAAACGAGGAAGAACGAATCAACGGCAAGAGATTTGAAGTCTTGCATAACACGACAAAGCAGGTAGGCGAGACGCTTATTTCTGCATCATGAGCTGAACAAATTCGTTGTCTAGACAGACACCCGTTAGAGCAATTCTAATTTCATGGAGCTACAGTACGAAACTTACAGTCAATCCTTCCATCACCGTCCTGGTCAGCCTCGCGAATCATCTCATCAACCTCGTCATCGGTCAACTTCTCGCCAATCGAGGTCATGACGTGACGCAATTCGGCGGCAGAGATGAATCCATTGTTGTCACGGTCAAACACCTTGAAAGCCTCACGGATCTCTTCCTCGGAGTCGGTATCCTTCATTTTGCGGGCCATCATTGTCAAAAATTCTGCGACAGTCAGTACTGCCATCAAATATTGCGAGTTGGCGGTCAGTCATACCAGGGAAATCAATTGTGCCGTTGTTGTCAGCGTCGACTTCGTTGATCATGTCCTGCAATTCGGATTCGGAGGGGTTCTGGCCGAGAGAACGCATGACTGTGCCAAGTTCCTTGGTTGTGATTTGTCCTGTCCGATAGGGTCAATGTCTGTTGGCTGCGTAACGTTCGTTCAAGGTGTTTTATTGTTCGCGGCGACTCACCATCTCCATCCTTGTCCTACTCATCAAAACGGCTAGTCAGCTAACCACGCCAACATTGTGACAAACCAAGTTTCCAAACTTACAAAAAGAGAGAAAGCCTCCTTGTACTCAGATACTTGCTCCTCGGTCAAAGAGTCAGCCTGCCAAACAATATTGCGTTAGTTACTAGACTTTCAAACTCATTTCACGATCTCAGGTCTTGGGATGCCCCGCAGTGTGGGGGATACACAAAGCGGCCGCGACAATAGAGCTAAGAGATATGAATTTGCCTTGGCGATAGACGAACCATGGTGTGAGATTGTGGTAGAGTGAAAGCGCAAATAAATTAGTCGAGCGGAAGTTGGGAGATATGGTGCTGGGGTAAGGTTTGTTGAAGAAGTCGCGGTTGGTGGTGTTCCAGCAGTGTAGTCGGAGTTGTTTAGGGGACGAGAAAGTCGAAGGCAGAGCGGAGATGGATTGATTGCGTTATGCCTAATGGAGTTTAGCCGGCACTAGTTTGAGGGCTCTGATTTGTCTGATATTTGACCGCCTACGTATACAAGAATACTCCTGCTCTTTCTCGAGAACTGCGTGAAATTATGAAGATCTCTATAGCATGTCTACAGTATGTATCAGTTCGACTAACTGCTGATCGCCGGCCTCAAAGGCTACGTGGATCTGCCGACATGTCGACTCGGCGCAGGTTGAGTCGAAGCTACCCGTTGTGCTAATGCGATGAACATCGCAATGTAGTATGCATGGCGCATTTGAGATGTACCTCGACTCGAGCCAGTAATCCCTTTTTTCTTCTAAAGCTATCTTAATCTTTATCTCGCTTTTTGTGGTCGGAGACTAGGTATATCAAACAAATGCACAACCCTGCTGCCTCAGGCCTGTTGCGCTAAACCCCAAACGGAATGGCAGCAYCCAGCCACTCGGAAGAGTGACGGAGTATCTCGACGATAACAGATAGCTTCATGCTAGACGTCTTCAACAAGATTAAACGTATTGAGCTTGACTGTGCTCAGATACAATTGTAATTGTCGATTGGCATCCAGAAGACAACATAAATAACAGTTCACCAACTCATACATCCCGAACAGACACCGTTATGATAAACCACATCAAACCGACATATTGAGCTGTGACAAGCTAGATCTGCCACAATGTGGCGTGATCGGACCAATCTGTGAGCCTCTATGCCCTCTATGCCCTCAAGAGAAACTGCATCAAACTGACTAGAATAGCTACATCTCCTACCGCCAATCCTTCGCGCACCATCCGACCAAGAAACCGCGTTACTTCGGCCCATCCTCAGGAGCCTTCACCGACTCACCCTCCCTCTCCGAAGAAAGAAGAGGCCTCATCGCCGGCGCCGACGGCCTCGAAGATGACGGCGATGCAGTCATCGAAATGGACCTGTTGCCCCCTCGATGGGTAGACGTACAGGAAGAAGTTTCCGAGGTCCTAGCCGATATCGCGCAGAAATCCGCACGGCTCGACAAATTACATCAAAAGCACATCTTGCCTAGCTTTGGGGATGAAGGTGCGCGAAAGGAGGAAGAGACTATTATAGAGCAGTATACGCAGGAAATCACGAGGGGCTTTCATGCGTGTCAGAATGCAATTCAGCGGATTGATGGTCTGGTGCGTGAGCAGAAACAGCTTGGTGCCGTGACCAAGGGCGATGAGACGATGGCGAAGAATATCCAGATTTCGCTTGCGGCGAGGGTGCAGGAGTCGAGTTCGCGGTTTAGGAAGAAGCAGAGTACATATCTAAGAAGTATGCCCCTCTCTCTGCCTCTCAGGCTGATCATGTACTAACCAGTACTGTGACAGAACTACGTGAACTAGAAGGCATGGCCTCACCCTTCGAACGAGTCTCCACACCAATCCAATCCCAATACTTCGACCCCTCACTCATGGAATCCGACGCCGACAAATCCTTCTCTCAAACCACACTGCAACAAACATCTCAAAAACATCAGCAGCAACAACAACTCGTCGTTGGCGGCGCAAACGACGTCGCAATCGCCCAACGCGAGCGCGAAATCAACGATATCGCAAAGGGTATTATTGAGTTGTCGGATATTTTTCGTGAATTGCAAAGCATGATTATCGATCAGGGCACAATGCTGGACCGAATAGATTATAATGTTGAGCGCATGGCGACGGATGTGAAGCAGGCTGATACGGAGCTTAAAGTGGTCAGTCCCTCTTTCCATTGACACAGGTGTACTTGCGAAATTGACATTCGAATAGGCAAGCAACTACCAACGCAAAACAACCAAACGCAAAATCATTCTCCTTCTGATACTAGTCATGATCGGGATGATTGTCCTTCTCGCTGTGAAGCCGAAACGACATAGTAATAGTAATAACACTGAAACAGCTCCTCCACAGGAAGACGTCGCAAACGATCAACAGATACCGCCACGTTTAATGCGCAAGATAATTCGATCTTGGGATGACGATGATCATGGCATTGGGTATAGAAGGAATAATCATCACCATGGGTATTGGCGGAGGGATTCTAATAATTATCATGACTTCGATTCGTTGGTTTTGTCTGGGTTGTTGGGTTAGATGTCCCCTTCCACACTGCTTGTGGTATGCTGGAATGTTATATACTTCGATCACCGAGGATATGATCCATGACTCTGCGATTTGAATTTTCTGTTTGAAGCGTTTTTCATCTGTTTAATTTTTTTTTTTGGATTGTACATTATTGAATGAAGTCGAGAACTTGTGTGTCTCGGGTCTTAGATCAAGGCTGCCAAACTACCAATAATATATCGCTGGATCTTCATAAACGTCGAGTGCTAGAAATGCTTCAAGCACCTTGAGAACTTCCACATATTGTTCATCTTGAATCACTGGTAGATTATCTGCTTCCCTCCCATCACAAATCAAAACCATTCCTCGATTCATCCCCGGCAGATTGTTCGAGAGATAGACCGGAATCCATTTGCGAAGACCAATCCATTTGGTGATCATCCGACAAGGTGAAAGGATGCGGCTGAGGCTGATGCGCGTCACCGTCATTCACGGCAGGTGAACCCGTAGGAGTAAGGGACTCTACAGGCGGGGGAGTCAGAGCTTCAACGGTAGGCCGAGATGGCTCTTCTAGCCCCCCTGCATTATCAGCCGGGGCCAATGATTCGTCCGCAGAAAGTCCACGCATAATCGCATCCTCGACCTCACGCTTCCGAACTTCCGTCTCCGCCTTGCGCTCACCCATCTGTGTCAACAGGGCGGTCTCTCTAGAGAGAGCAGTGCGGTTACTTTCAAGCATCTTCTCAAGACCTTCCATAAGTGCCTGACGTGATTTAATGATCTCCGAAACCGAGCTTTCAGCATTCGCTAAGGACTTGAGAAGTTGGCTCAAACGAGCTGCGTGCACCGGAGCTGGAGGAGCTGGTGTGCTAGGATCATTCATCTTGTCAAACTCGGCATTGGCTGTGTTGACCGCCGTACCGGATGCCACAGAGCCCTTTGAGACGTTGAGTTGGAGTTGTACAAGTGGCTGGAGCTCGGGCGGCACAGAACCTGCACTAAACAGCGAGCCGCCTAGCATAGGCTTCTTCCCTGAGGAACGGTTCTTGTCCAATTCTAAGTTCATTAGCTTGTGGAACCCGTAAACAAGGGAGATGGCATACCATTAACACGAGCTTCGACAGCTTCTTGAATTGGCAACTCAAAAACACCACGTTGTCTCCAGACCTCGACTACCCGTCGAATCTTTTGTTGAATATCACTAGATGCACCTTTGTATGCGACTGCTGTGGCTTCTGCAATGATCTGTTCTCGTTAGTCCCACCAAATCTCGCTGCAAATATCTGGTTCACACATACTGGAGAGAATGCAATGATAAAATCATCTTTGCGCCTAGCTTTGGACTGTTGAGCGACCTCTGTAATGTTGTTAGTAGTCTTCGCGACTTGGGACTTCATAGGCCGTTATACCATTGGCAAGGTAGATGAGATTGAGCTTCTTGTTCGCCGGAGAATCTCGAAGTTTTTGTAGCCAGAGCTGCACAGTACGATCCGCATGGCGTCTGTATGCGAACAGGAGATTTAGTCAAACGTCTTCTAATAATCGAGTGTCGATTCTAGGTCACTTACCTATGAAACATGACCCATTGCGCGACAGTAACGATGCCCTCCTGGGTTTCGTTGAGCGCGGAGAGCTTTGCTCGAACAGAGTCGTCGTTGTAAGCCATGGCCTTTGTGAGATTTCTACTATTGAGAGTGTGTGTGTCGAGATGTGAGAGGTGTAGTCAACAGGCACAATAATTTGTGAGAGCTCCTAGTAGTCAATAAATGATGTGTGAAAGGAAAACGACGTGAGTGAAATTATGAAAATGAAATTAAAGCCAATAACCTCATAGATTAGCTTCGAAAAGCATGCTCAACAGGACAGTTGACCAGAAAGTGGCATTGTTTTGAAGGCGTCACAACAATTTGAATCTAAGCTGCATCATCCCCAAACGATAAGAAGCTCCGCAAAGGCGGTGGCAGAATCCAGGCCGCCCGACAACCGCTGGTAAATAAGGAAGTTGCCAACTTGATGTCAGCTCTCGTTTACATTAACTATCACTTACGAATAATTTCGAGCTGGTCGATTGCACTCGCTTCTTTGAGGTTAATTTCTTAAACTTTTGATCTATACACATCTATCGTTCCGAAATGGCCGACAGATTCCCCTCATTAGAAGACTTCAACGAAGGTGCGCACTCCGCCCATACTGTAACCCCCAAACAACCATCTAACAGCTCTCCAGGTCAAACCGAAGTCGTCAACAACGACGCTGCCGATACCGATGATTTTCTCGCTCGCGAACGTGCTGCGCTAGGTGACGATGCTGATCAATTCGCTACACCCAACGACCAGGCCGTAACTGTAGAGGATGACGATCTATTGGGAGGTGACGACTATGTCCCTCAGCAAGGTGGTTCGGCAGAGATCTCCGGTTTTGAGTCTTCGTTTCCTGCGATTGATACACAAAATGAGGTACGATATTCTGCTATCCGTGTCGCATAGCTCGCGATGGCCCTGACATGAGTGTATTATAGGCAGTTGCGCCAGGCGGAACTATTACTGGCACCGGCTCTCCTTTCCCAGCCACGGGCTACTCTAGCTACGCTCAACCAGAGGAAGAATCAGAGGCTGTCCGGTAAGAAATCGCTCTCATTATGAGCTGCAGTGCAATCGTTTCAATATTCAACAATTCTAACATACTTTCTTTGTCAGAGAATGGCGGGCGCGCAGAGACGCCGACCTAGCTCGCCGAGCCGAGACCTCCGCCGAAAAGAAAGAAGCCACCATCAAGAAAGCACAAGAAGACATCGATGACTTTTATGTATCCTACGGCAACCGGGCCGACAAGGCTCGCGCCCAGACCCGCAAGGAAGCCGAGGAATTTCTCGCCAACAGAGAAGACACATCTGCCGGCGGAACTAGCTGGGAGCGTATCGCAAAACTGGTGGATGTATCCGGCAAAGGTGTCAAGGGTGGTGCTAGCGGCTCTGGAAAGGAGCGCTTCCGCGAGCTTCTGCTTGATTTGAGGAAAGATGGAAATGCTCCGGGTGCGACTGGAGTGTAAGATGGGTATGCGACAAGCGAGCAATAAATAGATAAAAGAGTGTGGTGTGATGGGTGTATCTTTCGGCATTTGTGTCTAAATGCGAGTTGGTGGGCGTGCATGCGCCAGCTTTTGTGTGGCACTTGGGAGAGTATCTCTCCTCGCCAAAACCTTACCGGAGTAACATCTAGAGCAGGGATTCGAAAATGATTGGTGTTCCTGCTCAAAGATTGATCTTCACTCCAATTCCCCTTTTACACATGTATTTGACTCTCGAGCCTCACGACCATATTCCTTGTTTTGCCCCTATACATGTATCTCCAGTTTTCTTTCCTTCCTCTTCTTGTTCATGGATTAATAGGTAATGCAAAGGAGTTATCTTTTTCCGGATTATGCTGATATCCAGCGTCAAGTACATTGGTTTACGAGTGACATATAAAAGATAAATAACTTTTGGGCTCATTCGTGATAGAGATTATAAAATACGTATAAAATATGCATGCGAGAAGCATAGGTACCTCATAACAACGCCTTTGGATTGTTCTTCACTGCAAAAAAAAATGCCCGACTAGTCCAACTGATCCTCAGCCGGCTCCCCAATTTCCTCAACCTCTCGCTCCCTCTTTCCCTCCGCCTCGATCTCCTCAAGCTTCTTCCTGCCTTCCTCTGTAGTAGCGTCCACAATCCCTTCCTCAAGACTCAACATCCCACCTTCTCCCAACTTCTCTACAATCTCCTCAGCCTCCTCAACGCTCATTTTACCGAGAACCTTGTTGACTTCGTCCAGGGATGCAGACTGTAGTGCTCGTTGCAGGCCAGGAGGGAAAGATTCGAAGATCTTGCGGGCCTCGATTTCTTCGGGAATCGTGCTGTCCGCGGGCGGGATACTGATGTTGATTTGGGTGTTTGGGTCGACAGCATGGAGTTGGATTTGTTCGACGCCGGCAGGATCGTTTTCGGGGCTTCTGTTCTTGGCAAGTTCTGCGGCACGAGTTTTGATTTTGTTGTAAGTCTCGTTCACGTCGTTTCTGAACAGTGTGGCGGCTTGGTGGTCTTTTGTTGTGATTCTGTGATATTGTTAGACATGTGTAGTTGTATGGGGGTGGAGGGTTATTGCCTTACCTCTTAAAGAATAGCGAGATGCCATCTCGGCCTAATGAGCGACAATACTGTAACAGCAGACCGTGGTGCACACACAGACGAGCATACTCCGGCTTTCCGTCCATCTGACTATTGAAAGCCTCGACCAACAATCCATCCGTCTCGCTCTCCGCAACGACATCGGGATTCGCGGAGATAAACTGAAGCAATGCCTTGTAATCCGTCATTGGAATCTTGGCAAGCCTCTTGGCCAAGTCACTGACTTTGATGTCTGCCTCTTCATCATCGTCATCTTCCACATCCGCTTCGGCGCCTGACGACGGTGCCACAGCCCCTTGACTAGCGGGAACAGATGGCGAATTAAGAAGCTCTACCTTTGTCTCTGCAGCTTTGCCCTTGGCCTTTGGATCCGATTTGGCAACGTATGAGCTATCAAACCCGGTGTGTATGCTGTCACTAGTGATTTTGCTTGCTTCTTCCTTTTCGAGTTCTGCCAGCTTTTGGAGCAATTCTTGCTGCAGGCCTAGGACCTTGTCTTTGTGTCCCTGAACTCCCGTAATGTACGCCTTGAACCCACTCTCCGTCTTGGACTCTGTGATCTCCTTCTTGACCTGATCAACCAACGAACTCATCATCTGCGAGTATTTGGGCTGCTCCTTCTCGTGTGTATAGATGCCAGCAGGTGGCGCAGGAGGTTGATCCTTAGCCGGGTCCCCCGCAGATTCAATCAGTGACTGGAAAACCAGCTCCTCAGGATTTCGGCTCGAGTCCTCATGCTGGCGGAGAGCGCCGAGAAGCTTGTCGATACGCTCGAGGAGACCATCATTGATGATGCGTTCGTACTTGAGCGTTTCGATCTCGTGGCGGCGTTGCACACGTTGTTGATGGATTTGGTTCTGCTTTGCGCGGATGAAAGACCGCTTGTCCACGTTGGGGTGCACCTCGATGTCCGAGTCATCGGAGAGCTCCAGCGCGTCCCATTTGCTGTAGTCGAGCACCATAGCGAGTTGTTGATATTTGTTTGTTTAGACTTCTTCAAGCTCTGCAGAGGGGTTGTTGAAGAGTGGGGTAGCAGAGGTCGTGATGGCTGATACCAGCGAATCTTGTCTATCTTCGTAAGAATAGTATTCTGCTGCGTGTCAGTCAAAAGAGAAGAAGATATCCTATCCGGTACTCTCCTACCAGTTGATATAGCAAGACTGGGACAAATAAGGGTCTATGGGCTTCTACGAGCTTCATCAAAAACAGTCTCGTTTCGGAAGGCGGTGGCAGAATGGCCGGTCGGAGAAACCGGCACTAATCGGCCATTACGAATATCCACTCTGGTCGAAGTACGTAGTTGCTCTATACCAACAATTCTACCACGTTGACATCCCAATCTATCCCGGTATATCATCTCCGTGAATTCGACTTCATACGGAACAACAGTGTGGCCTGTGTCGGTCATGGCAGTGTCGCGATAGTGGTACTCCTTCTTGATATGGAAATATAGCTACATTGTTCCGAAATCGGTCATCCCGGCGAATTCATCAGCTCTCAGCCATGCGCAGCTCAAAGCTGCTGGCTGCCTTTGGTTCCAGGGCAGCTGAGGCAGGGCCTGTCCGTTCAATTGTCGCAGCATCACACCGCACGATCCAAGTACCTCCGAGTCAGATTTTCAGTCGAAATGCGCATCAATTGAGATGCTTCTCGAAATCGGCTCCCGATGCGTCCCTTCTCCGTTCTGCTTCAATAAGGAGCGCCCCAACTTCCAAGGCAACGAAATCATCGGTATTGTCCCAGATTCGATGTTTGTCCGTATCCCAAAAATTAAATAACGCGCAACCTCCAGCACCTCAAGCTCAAAAAGACAACCGCGACGTCACTCCGGTCAATGAAAACAAAGAAGACGGATTCGAGCTCTCAGAAAAGGCAGCGCAAGCAGCACAAATCAATTTGACCGCCAAGTTGGGACGTGACGGAAAAGAGAAAAAGAAGCCTGCATTCAACGAGATATGGCGACTTTTGAAGATTGCGCGACCTGAAGCCAAGTCACTAGGTCTCGCATTTTTCTTCCTCTTGATTTCTTCCAGTATCACCATGTCTATCCCATTCTCAATTGGCAAGATCATGGATTTGGCAACGAAAGGCGAGGAAGCCGAAGGCGTTTTTGGATTGAGCATGCCCATGTTCTACGGTGCACTTGCTGGAATCATCTGCGTTGGCGCCGCTGCCAATTACGGTAGAATTATTATTCTACGTATTGTCGGTGAGCGAGTCGTCGCAAGACAGCGTTCAAAATTGTTCAGACGTACTTTCGTCCAAGATGCCGAATTCTTTGATGCCAACAGAGTGGGAGATTTGATTTCAAGATTAAGTTCTGATACTCTGATCGTCGGAAAGTCTATCACTCAGAACCTGTCGGATGGTCTAAGGTCAATCGTGAGCTGTACTGCTGGTTTTGGAGCCATGGCATACGTCAGCTTGAAGCTGTCGAGTGTCCTGGCTCTTCTCCTTCCTCCTATCGGTGTGGCAGCTTTCTTCTACGGTCGTACAATTCGCAACCTTAGTCGCAAAATCCAGAAGAATCTTGGTACGTTGACGAAGATTGCCGAGGAACGGCTTGGAAACGTGAAGACGAGTCAAGCATTCGCAGCCGAAGTCTCAGAAGTCGGTCGATACAACAACCAAGTCAAAAAGATATTTGAGCTAGGCCGCAGAGAATCGCTTATTAGTGCTTCCTTTTTCAGTTCGGTGAGTTCAATTCCAGTTTTGCCGTGTGCTGCCTGCTAATATTGGATAGACCGGTCTTATGGGCAACATGACAATCCTCATACTTTTGTATGTCGGTGGTGGTCTCGTCCAATCCGGCGGAATCACTCTTGGAGAGCTTACTTCTTTCCTCATGTACACTGTCTATGCTGGATCTAGTCTTTTTGGACTTTCAAACTTCTACTCCGAAATCATGAAGGGCGTTGGTGCCGCAAGCAGATTGTTTGAGCTGCAAGACCGCGAGCCCAAAATTTCTCCCACAAAAGGAGAACCAGTCAAAAGCGCTAGAGGACCCATACGCTTCGAGAACGTCACATTCAGTTACCCTACCCGACCTGCAGTGAGCATCTTCAAGGATCTCGACTTCGAGATTCCACAGGGCTCTAACGTTGCTATAGTTGGACCCTCTGGTGGCGGGAAATCAACAATTGCATCCCTTTTACTCCGCTTCTACAATCCTGTTTCGGGTCGTATCCTTATTAACGGCAAAGACATCACTCAAATGAACGCCAAGGCTCTGCGTCGCAAGATTGGAATCGTTTCTCAAGAACCTGTACTTTTCTCAGGCACTATAGCGGAGAATATTGCGTATGGCGTACCTGGAGCCACAAAAGCTGAAATTGTGGCCGCCGCCAGACAGGCCAATTGTCAGTTCATCAGCGACTTCCCATCTGGACTGGAGACGAACGTTGGACCGCGTGGCGCTCAATTGTCCGGTGGTCAGAAGCAGCGTATCGCTATTGCTAGAGCTCTTATTAAAAATCCAGACATACTCATCCTTGACGAAGCAACATCAGCACTTGACGCCGAGTCCGAGACTCTAGTCAACAGCGCTCTTGCTGCCCTCTTACGGGGCAACAACACTACCATTAGTATCGCCCACCGACTCTCGACCATCAAACGCTCAGACACGATTATTGTACTAGGCAACGACGGCCGCGTGGCCGAGATTGGTTCATACCAGGACTTGAGCACTCGCCCAGATGGTGCATTCACGAGGCTCATGGAATGGCAAATGACTGGTGGAGATGTAACTCCTCCGCCGACCAATCCAAGAACTATATCCTTCGAGGAACAAATGGAGGAACTAGAACGTGAACAACGGGAGAAGGAGAGCGAGATTGAGCCTGACGAGGCTGAACATGAAGACGAGAAACTTCCTCAACGTAGAGTTTAACGTGACGTCTAGCTCCTTTTATTCTTTCTACTCGTGGAAGCTATATCGCGTACCAACTATATAAAATCCCTACTCCATGTCATTTCCTTCCTCCGATACCCTTTTCTTCGAAGCTCCTCCCTCATCTCTCAACGTTCCGATGTTTTTACTTTGTAATATTAGACCTCTTGATATAAATGATCATTTGTGCATACGTCTAGAAATGCTACATTTTATCCAATTATACAAAGCATTCGTCCTCTTCTCTGACTTTAATCCAGACTCATAAAACCAGCAGAACGACGACTGATAGGCGGGCGGTGTGCGATAAGAAACATGTGACGATGGCGGTCACTTGAGCTCAAGCATACTTAGTAATCTCACGCACCTTATTGATCCGAGTACTTCAGCATTTCGCGGCGTCGATATGACCATGACTTGCATTTGATTTTTCCAATAGAGTATATACGAATACTGACAGCAAGTAAGAATGAGCAGAACCCTGCTATCGAGGGTGTTCCCCTCTTCAACCGATCCGGAATACGAACCTGTCGAGAATGATGAATTACTCGGCGGCACAGATGGGACGGGAAATATACAGGAAGGGTCAAATTCGAGAGCGGAAGATGAAGGGTCGAGTTCATTGAAGAAGCCGTTCTCGTGGTATGATTATACGGTGTTTTTGCTTCTGGGGGTGGCGATGTTATGGGCATGGTAGGTTATCTTCCGGGCACCCCATCAGCACTCTTGCGATACGAATAGAGAATGAGCTTAATTAACACGAGGAAATGATAGGAACATGTTCCTCGCCGCAGCACCCTACTTCCATCGCCGCTTCGAAGAAAATCCCTGGGCCTTGGAGCACTACGAGTCCTCCATCCTGTCCGTCTCAACCGTGACGAACCTGCTATGCGTCCTGGTGCTCGCAAAGCTCCAACGAAATGCCTCTTATCCCATACGAATCATAGTCTCGCTTGTGATTCTGACAATCGTCTTTGCGTTGCAAGCCATGTCGACGGTCTTTTTCCGCGCAGTCCCTATTGGGATGTATTTCATTTTCGTCATGACCATGGTCTTGGGAGCTAGTTTTGCGATGGGCATGAATCAGAATGGCGTCTTCGCATATGTTTCTAGGTTCGGACGTCCGGAGTATACGCAAGCTATAATGGCAGGGCAGGGGATTGCGGGCGTACTTCCCTGCATTGTCCAGATAATTACGAATGCAGCTGGGCCTCGAAGGCGTGATCATGGTGATGACCACCACGAGAAGGGCGGTGATGACTTCTACAAGTCCGCACTGATGTATTTTCTTTTCGCCGTCTTGGTCACTTTGGTAGCCTTGTTCTCATTCCTACGACTTATGAACCGCACTGCTGGGTCTCGATGGTTAGCAAGGGAATTGCACGCTATTCAAAACGCACCCACAATGTCAGACCCGAACAATCCTGCCCCTGAACTCACTGCACCAACCCACAAAACCGTTGGACTCTGGAGACTCTTCCTCCGGCTAAAATGGCTCGCTCTCGCAGTCTACCTCTGTTTCACAGTAACCATGATCTACCCCGTATTCACCGTCAAAGTGCAATCAGTCCACAACGACCCCGCGACACGATCCCGCATCTTTGAGCCCGAGCTTTTCATTCCTCTCGCCTTTCTGTTCTGGAACATGGGTGATCTGATTGGACGAATGTCCCCCATCGTACCAGCCCTGGCTCGCACAACAAACTATCCTCGCGCACTGTTCGCGTTCTCTGTTTCGCGTCTGGTTTTTATTCCCTTGTACCTTGCTTGCAACGTTCGGAGTGGTGGGGTGACACTTGTTAACAGTGATTTCTTCTATCTGTTCGTCGTTCAGTTGGGCTTCGGCTTGACGAATGGGTTCTTAGGCAGTGCATGCATGATGGGTGCTGGTCAGTATGTTACTGCTGATGAGCGGGAGGCGGCTGGCGGGTTCATGAGTATGATGCTTATTGCTGGGTTGGCAACTGGGAGTTTGTTGAGCTTTGTGTTTAGTGGAGTGTAGACCATCTGTCATCTTCTTTACATTTGGATGGAGTTGTCATCGATTGCATCAATTGGGTTGCGATTGGGGCATGACTACAACACCTATATAAATACAAATCAAGTACCCGTTTAAGCACTTTCCTCTTCCTGCTCCTTGAGCAAACCTTCCACCTTCTCCCACCGACGATCAACTCGACACTTCACACGCATCTCCGCAATCCAAGCATCCATTTCATCCATCCTAAATTTCTTTCCCATAACACAATGCACCATGCCCCCCAACAATTCCCGCGCCTCATCCTTACTCAACCCATTAGCCAGCCCATGATGAAATCGACGCATAATCTCGTTTCCTTCCGCAATAGTAGCGAGATCGTCATAACCTTTCCTCCTCAGCGCATCAGCAAGTAATAGATCATCAGCCGAGACACCTGTCAAAGAAGATGAGTATAAACTCTCGAGGTCGGCAGTAACGTACGACGGCCCAAAGGCCTCTGCTGCAGGCACGACGCGCGCAAACTGCCAGTCAATAATACCGGTGACGTTAAAGTCTTCATCAACGAGTAAATGGTCACCTTTATCGTCGACGTGCTTGATAAAGAATTGCTGTTCAGCAACATCTGGGTTGATTAGACTGTCTTTGTTCTCGCGCAGGAAGTGGTAGAATAAAAATGCTTCGAGTGGGTATTTGCTGTGTACCTGTCCATCCGCAATAAGGTCCATGTATTGCTCTATGACGCTGGTGATGTAATCCAAGCGCGAAGTGAAGGGTCCGTATGTACCGAGAGCAACAAAGCGGTTGCTGGCAACGGCTGAGATTTGGGGCTGATTGTTTATCATAGCAAACGAACCGATGGCAGGTAAAGGGCGCTTCGAGATCTCAACCAGATAATTGGCGACTTGTTCAATAACGCGTTCTTTTTGAGCAGGAGATGCGTTGTGAGCGCCGTATGGTTTGCCTGGGAGAGCCTGCATCATGATATAACAAACACCGACCCGGTTTGAGTGATCAGATACAAGGCCATACCCGAACACCTTTGGAGATGGGACGTTAACAGATTCCAAGAATTTCAAAGTCGCATATTCACTTTCGACAAGGTACTCCACCAAGTCAGCAGGTACGTCACTGAAACCCATTCGAGGAATGCGGACTATCCACCTCTCGCCGGTGTCGAATATTAGCCAACAGTGATAGTTGGAGCACCCCATTGTAGAGTCGATACCGCTGTGTTTGCCGGACTGGAAGATGCATGGGATCCCATCGTTGAGTTCAGTGGCGAGTCGGACGAGTTCATGGCTGTTGACTTGGGATAGGAGCTCTGAGACCTCGTCATTTAACGTCTTTTCCCATGAGTCGTCATCTAGCTGGATATTATTCAGTGAAAAATCTTCGCCAAGGGTGAACGTCTCTCACCTCATCTGGAGTTGGGCAAGAATGATATTTCCTTGCGAAGTGTTTAGCACACAGATGCTTCAAACATCTTGCGCAACTCCGTCCTCGGACTCCCGCCTTTTGACAATCCTTTATTGAACAAGTAGAAAACCGAGGGATTTGGTAGTGCACTTGAGTATCTTCGATTATATGCTGAAAAGGATGAAGGTGGTCCTCTTGGTCGTTGATTTTGGCTCGAAGAGTTTGTACTTCGTGTGTCTCGGTAGTAGTCCAAGGATTCTCGTTGAGAGGGCTTGTCTATTTATGAATGAGAACATGTCGAAAAAGGTATGCGTCACAATAGAGAATGCTTACCTCGCATTTATGAGTATGGGAGGTCACATGGGTCACACAATAATATTTCATACAGTGCTCACAATTGCCAATGTCTATGGCTACTGCTGCAGTGCATTCAGAAGCACAACGATCCCAGAATCGAAACATACTTCCTAGTATGCTTGAGACATAGAATGGAGAGTTTCCAGGAAACACAGACAGGCTTTGGACCCAAGATACTCGAAGACAGACACCTGAGGACCTGTTTGTAAAAGTATGCTGTTTCCCGAGATTTTTGCGTGTATTGTCGGGATGAGTAGATGGAAATAGAGGCTGTGCCTGAGTTGTGCCAAAGGTCCTGTATCAGTCAAAGAGTTTAACACATGAGTAGAGAAGAATTTGATGACACAAGTCGGATAAGAGAAGCACAAGTTGGACAAAGAGTCTGTCAAAGGAGAGGTGTTGAGATGGTCAGGTGGGAACACTTCAGGCGGCAGGCACAAGGGTGACTTAGCCCTAAGTACTTCCCTTTTGAGCCTCACGGCACGGAAAGTCCCAACGACCATATATTATCATTGTTTTTTGGTCTCTTACACTACAATTCTACTTGAATAGTACAGAAGCTAGGAGTAGGTCCCACTCGGGCGCGCCCTGTAGGTCGCTAGCATTTTCGCCAGACAAGGCGAGCGATATCCAAATTTTTCTGAGAACCATCAAACAGAACGAAAAGACCTTGTCAAGTCATACACTCATTTCCCACTAATTCGAATACTGCGAACTTAGCTTGAGAGGAGCTTGAGGAAACCCACAGATCTCGCAGTATTCAGATTACAATATGTTACCTGCCATCCAGGCTGTCCAGCTTGTAAACAATGCTGTGTCTCCCGGCGTTCAACCGATGAACGAGATTGCCGACAGTCAGCGATGCTGTGTGTCTGGTTGCAACAGCTGGGCTGTTGCTGGATCTCGTTACTGTTCTGCTCGTAAGCGAACCGATTTTAGTTATGGATGTCCATACCACCCTATGACTGATGTGTGGAGTTTCATCTAGATCGGAAGTGAAGCATGAACGCCAATTACTCGAATGCCTCTCGAATATCCCAATACGAAACCTATCATTAAGGGTTTGTATACAAGTGACGATATGGTTGATCTCCTAGTTCGTTGCAAAGTTGGAGGATTTTGCTGACACCTTATTACCAGATTTTTGAGATAATTAGGCGGTACAGGGGAGAAGGTCTCATTTGGTTATTCTCTGAGGAACAAATCTACATTCGTGTTCAGACAGCTCGTATATTTCAAGTGTGAAGTGCCTCCTTCCATGCATATTCCTGAAGCTGTCCCGAAAGCTCAATGCCCATGAATTCGTGTACGGTAATCAGTCTTCTTCCTCGAGCCGCTGTCCATCAATCAGAATTAAGATAAAGGGCAGAACTCAGTTGTGCATAATGTGTTTCTCGTTGTATCCTCTCGATGTGGTTTCTTGATTTCATGCAATTTTAAATGCAACATTTATCTCCACTGCCCTCCAAAACTCCAAAAAAACATGACTGAAATGAATATCCAATGACCTTATATTCAACAAATACTCCTTCACCATTTCCGCCATCCATAAATTAATCAATCTAAGCAAGGAAAAAATCACTCTCGTCCAACCACTGCTGATCAATCGCATACGCTACCAGATCCGCTGCACAACACATGTCGTCTCTTCCGTGCTCTAGGTCGAGGATCTCGAGGATTTTGTCCAGTCTGTCAGTGAGCGTTGTTTGTAACTTTCCAAGCGCCTCGCCAATGTTGTCATGTTTCATGCTGACGGGCGGCTCGGACAATTTTGTCGGGGGTTTGACAGAATATTGTTGTATATTGGCTTTGTCCGGACATGACTGAAGCGGCTGTCTTGTTTGATTCAGCGGCATGCTGTTATGTAAAGTGTAGTCTTTTTGTTCTATTTGCTTCGCTAGCATCTTGAGAATGAAGAGTAGCCATATCAGATTTGTTTTCGGTGCGTAATCCGCCCAGATTCCTGGTATAGCTGGCGACTTTTCCTCTGTGAGGGGGAGCCCAGTATATAGCTGTGCTCTCATGCTGTTTTGATGTTAGCCTAACGGTTTAGCTTTTTGCCATTTGGGGCCTCTTGGACATACAATCTATAAGTGTTCCTTTGCAGGATCTCAGCCTCATCACGACCTACAGCATTAAATAGACCCTTGTTATCCAGGTCAGTCGAAGCAACGTCGACTTTCTCTGGGTCATCCGTCAGCCGTAGCTCAGCACGGGACAAGGAATAATCGATAATCGTCGTCTCCAATGAGCTAATACCGAACCCGCAGGAAGCTCCCAACTGATTTGCATCAACATCTGCAAGCAATTGCATGTCCCCATCTGGTCTCGTTGACCGGAGACAAACATTGCCAAGATGAAGATCTCGATGTTCAAATAGAGCATATTCTTCCGCTCTCGCCAGACCCATTGCTACTCCCCAAAATATATCATAAACTTGGAAGACGGAAGACCATTTGAACTTTTCCAATTCAACGCCCGCATCGTCCATCTCCAATATTGCCCAAAGCTGTTGATCGCTGTATGCCCTCTTATTTGCCGGATTAGGGTTCTCGCAGTCTTTCCCAGCAGCTTTATAAGAGTCCCATGCGGCTTGGAACGAAGGTGGAAACCGGCCTTGGACAACGTGCACCTCTCTGAATCTTGCAAATCCGGGAATAGGATCAAGCAGCTTCAGCAATTTGACCTCGGCCACAATCTCGTCTATTGTTGTAAATTTTTTTGAGCCCACTCCTTTCTGTGCACGCAATGGTACGACTTTGAAAACGCCCTCACCGTATTCCCGCAACTTTGCCAGTCTCGATTTTGACATGTTGCGCTTACATATATCCTCTTTCAAGCGCAGCTTATACACCTCTCCATACGAACCTTCTGCGATCTTCACAGGGTCGAACGCGGTTTCTGACCGGGCTGCCCATGAACCGAATTTCTGTACTCCTCGAGCGGCAAATTGTGATGTAGCTTCATCCAGAATTCGGTGAACATATTCATTTGTCTTTTCATCTTCCACACAGCCGGACGAAAGCCTGATGATTTGTTTCGCTTTTCGCACGGGCTTAGCGCGTGGTTGTCTTGGTGTGAAGGATAGTCGTTTTTGACTCGAGTATACTTTGATTGGTGACTGCGTGGATGGGCCGAGATTCGATGGTGTAGATAGCAGCCTGTGTGGAGTGTTGGCATACTTTGCGCTCGCAGGTGTTCCGATGGTCTGGTATTGAACTTTAGGAGGCGATTTCGCAGGGGACTGTGGTTCGTTCGTGTCGACATCGATTTTCGATGGGGCTTCATCTTCTAGAGTGATGCTCGCAATCTGGACTTCAAGTTTATTGATAGATTCCTTTGAGACATCCTGCTCTATCACCTCGTCAAGGGATAAATTTTCATTGCTCGCTGATTTCAGAGGACTGCCATTTTCCAAAACTGCTCTGGGGGCGTTCGTTTTGCGTTTGCCGTAGACTCGTCTTTGCTGTACAGTTCGCATTGTCTTGGCTTTGGTTGTCGTTGTCGAATGCTGTTCTATATAGATGTTTTAGGACGGAGAGGTAGATATCCTGTCTGTCTGGGGTAAATGGCCTGTTATTGACATCTTTCCTGTTCCGGCCTAGCACATTGTTGCTCCGACTCCGGTTGACGCTTTGCCGTTTTGGGAGCTCATCTTTCTCATAAGTATCTACATTTTATTTTCTTTATAGACCTTGATCAGTCAGCTTCAACTCTCTGGATATATCATAAAGCTCTAAGACTCAAAAATAACTCTTTAAAATTGAAAAGTGCAGAAGTTAGCGTGGGGAATGAGAAACAGGAGATGCCGGGCTCTGACGTAAAGGGAAAGGGCGAACGGGAAAGCTTTTTCTCTCGCATTCCTCAGTCCAGACCACCAGACTAACGTTTCGACGTTCGACTTTCCGGCCCCTTTCTTGAAATTATTGTCCGTTTGCTTCCGACATGCTCATTTATCTTCCTGCGACGCCATCTTTGACATAATTGCTTCGGATTTCTACTGCATCCTCAGTTGTTCGCGTGACATCGACATCGGTCGCATGATTGGATGCTCGTCACGGGAAAGATAGGAAAAGAGTCGCACTTTTTCACGCGCCAACCTGCCGAGGCCAGACACCTCGGTTTCCCTATCCTGTATCATCTCCAGCAACACCGATAAGAGAGAAATTCATCGTACGATAATATCTTGTATGCCGTCGTCACGATAATCAAGCCTTGTTGGCATCTTTCTGGCCCATTCGCACGTTGCGATGGCGTTCAACTTCAACTGGTCGCCATTGATGGCCGACGCGGGCTTCTACACCCGCGCTCAGGACCTTCTAACGGCGGCGCTGAACAAATCGCCAAAGCCGCCTATCATTGTCGACGATATCAAAGTCACAGAGTTGAATTTAGGATCGATACCGCCGGATCTGGAAATTCTGGAAGTTGGTGACCTTGCCGAGGACCGATTTCGCGGCATTTTCAAGATGTCATACAACGGCGATGCGTATTTGACGTTAAAGACAAGAGTCCAGGCGAATCCTTTGAATACATTTTTAGTTACGCGACCGTCGTTCGCATCACCGAAGCCGTTGGCTGCCGCCGCTGGTTTGACCATACCTTTACAGATTACTCTGTCGGAGTTTCGATTATCGGGATTTGTTGTGCTGGTATTTTCTAAACAAAAGGGAATTACCGTGGTGTTCAGGAACGACCCCCTTGAATCATTAAAAGTGTCATCCACATTTGATTCAATCTCTTTTGTCCGCGACTACTTACAGAAGGCCATTGAAGGGCAGTTGCGAGCTCTTTTTATGGACGAATTGCCCGCTATCATTCATCGACTATCATTGCGCCTGTGGGTACCTGAATATCGCGATAAAGAATCAGAGTCGGTCAACACCCTAGACCAATCTTCAGAAGCAGGTCCCGGTCAAGACCCTCTTGCAAGCCCTCCTCAGGATCCTGTTGACGCATCAGGAAATGCGCTCAATCCGTCAGAGGTCGCTTCATTGTCGTTGGACTCTGGAGTCGAGATCCACAGCCTATTCTCACAGAAGAACTTGCTCCGATTGGCTGCATTGACCGATTCCCAGCGCACCTTGTCGTTGTTCACACCATCTATCAAAGATGTGGTATATAGAGCCTGGACTGCGTCGGCAGAACTTGGGGAAAGCACAACATTGACATCCCCTGCTAGCCCAGTACTATCCCGAACGCATTCTCATATTGGTTCTCTCCATTCATTCGTCGACAATGCGAGCACCATTTCAATGCAGAGCGGTGGATCGAGTAATTTCAGCGGCCATTTACATTTAAGAACGGGCCGACATTCTCGGTCTCATACCAAGAAGCGCAAGAAGCGAGTCGTTGACTTGCGCCGACCGAAGACTACCGATGATGTCGAGAGTGTGAGTGGAGACAGTGTGTTCTCTTCTGAAAATGCCACCAGTGCTCCTACGATCTTCTCATCTCCGGCACACTTTTCTGAGGAAAAGAACGATGACCCAGTGACACCACCACTTGGTCCTCAAAACGACCTGCATCTACCTACTATTCATGAACGCCGAAGAATTAGTCAAGGTGACCACACCGTCCGGCGCTCTATGTTATCAATGTCAGAGGCTGCGCAACCCTCATCCAGTCGTTCGGCTCAGATGATTGCAGAATCATGGCCAGATCCAGATGCAACGCCTCGCAATACGATCCGATTGCCAAGCAACGACCGGGCAAATAATCGGCTCACAGCCGCACCTCTTCCGAGTTCAGCAATTCAATACGCGCCAGCTGTCCCTGCCAACAACAACCCTAGGGAACAAGTCTGKCTCTCCAAAATGGCCGCTGAACTGGCTCGTAGAATGCAAGAGGAGAAAGTCGATCAGTCTGGATCAAGACCATTCCCAGATTTCTGGGATGATCATAGCCGAGAGGAAATTCCACCTCCTGCCTATGGCCACTAATTCATCTCTCCAAAACATTTCGTTTGTTATTTCCTTTCTCTCTGCATACTACCTGAGATTCTCCTAGTCAGCATTCCGCCGGGTTGCAGATTCATGACCGTTACGACAAGATACATAATGATTTTTAAGCTCGTTTTCTCTCATTCATATTCGGAAAGCGGCATCTCTATTGTTTATAATTGCATTGTTCCCCAAACTCGTCGACACGACTGAGCTTTATTGTTTTTTGTTGTATTTTATCTTCCTGGGTTCTTGTCTTTCACATCAAAATGATACCACTGGCGGTCTTGAGGGATTCTGTTTACATCCGGCACTTTTTTACTATTTGGGCATACTACTTCATTCTGACTGGGAGAATTCGTTTTTTTTTCTGTGCGTCAATTACCTGTTCGCAATCGATTAGACAACCGCTCCTCTCTTGAGATTGATAGCGTTCTCTTCCCATTTATCCTCTTGCGGGGTTTGGGTTCTTGTTCTCGTCATTCGTTACACATCATCAGACTGATATCTTACAGCTTTTTTTTAATGTATATACTCTTGTTTTGGCATGTGAATATATTCAGTGTCTTCAAAATCTTTCCGCTAAATCAACTTGCGTAAAGCTCTAGGTATCAGCTATAACTACAATCAAACTTGGAGCCTCGGGAAACTGCTCGATGAATATAAAATCAAGTACCTCAATATCGTTGATGGATCCATGGATGTATACGTTAAAACAAACCAACTGTATCGGAAGATACGTACCTAGGTAGCTGTCACAACATTGAAACCCCATTGACTCGAACAATCTTCAAATGAACGAAAAAGAGCCCTACACCTCTCAACAGAATAGAATCGAACATATCTCAAACAAAAGAAACGAACTTGTCGTAGTAAATTTCTGGAAAAAAAAGTCTCTCAATCTATTCCTTTATATACAAAACTTCGATAACCATATTGTTTTGAATCTTTTCGATCGTTTTCTGATAAAAGTACACCCCCTTTCCGTTGTGCGTCGATTGATTGAGTGATTGTTTCCCCGGAACCTGAAAAAGGGAAGCCATCGAAGTTGGCTGGACTTACTCCTTGCCGAAGAAAGTCTTGTGGCCCTGTTGAGTAAAAGGTTAGAAGAATGATGTGTTGGATGTGATGGGGGAGATGGGCATGGGCTTACAAGAGTCAAACGAATCATGGCGTATGTGGTGACTGTGAGTGCATATAGTTAGCATGGAGTGCAGAATGGGAGATTATGGTTTCGAGCAGACGTACTGGCAGTTGTACCCCAGAGAGAGATATAGTAGGGCCAGAGGAGAGCACCGGAACGGCCGGTCTATATACAAATTTAGAATCAGCAAATTCGAGATCAGGTTGCTGAGAGGATTGCAGTCGGACTGACCTTCCACCATTGACGCTTGCCATCGTGCTGCTGGAACAGACGCTGGTAGTAGGGAACGCGGTTTTCGCGGGCGACGAAGCTATAGCATAAAGAAATCGAATTGGTTAGCTAGTCTGTCTCTTCAAAGGCACGTTCCTTCGATATCCCATGATTGCACGTCATGACGAACAACCACACGTTCGTTCCTTATTCCCGCAGTTGCGCCCGGTGCGGTGCCAGTCGGATAGCAATTGAGCGACAAACTTACCCAGCAAGACGAGGAAAGGTACGAGCAACCATTTTTGCGGATTGTTTGCGAGTACCTGGAGGTGATTGAGGGGAGAGTGTCGAGATGCAGTGAGGAGCAAGCAGGTGTCTGTGGTCTGATGAGGTGCGACTAGCTCCGGCAATCTTTCGGGTCCGCCAAGCCTTTCCTTGACGTTGCGGGTTGCCGGATTCTTCCTGTCTCCTCACGTGATCATCCGCAAAACAAACAGTGCAAACAAAAGCTTTAATTCATCTGAGTAAGTATCAGCAGGCTCAAAAAATTAGCATCATTTATTCATACTATTTCCTAGCAAGCACTTGAATAATTTATGGGGAAAATGTTGAGAGGTAGTTCTAGCAACTACTTTCGAAGCTGCCATCTTCATACCTGATGCGCCCAGCTCTGCTGCGGCTCTTGAAGAGGCCGTCCGCTATCTCCTTACTCAATGATCTGGTTTCAACCTCTTCAGCGGCAGCTGGAGGAATTGAGCGACTTGACGATATCCGCTCTGGGAAATGCGCAAATTGTCAGATTCGACGATCGCATGCGAAATTACTACCTTATGAGAGTTCGAGTGTCGCCTCAAGCAGCACGGAAACGAACGTGAGATTACAGGTCTATGATATTGTCGGTCTCGAGCGTCGAAAGTCGTCAAATATAACGGGTCGGAAAGATGATAACCAATATTCTACAGGCGGTGTGTTACCAATATCATTGGACGTGGATCAACTCGAATACGAATCGTCTTTTCATACCATAGAGATCAATGGCGGACGGAAGCTTGTGGACGACCCTGCGCGGAAAGACGATTCTGAGCTATGGAAGGATCTTCTGCGGTATAGGAAGCGGCGATATGGTTACCAGGGTGTACTTGAAATTTGGACGGGCATTGTGGACAGGATCGACGATATCCAGCTACCCGTGGAAGGAGAAACGGCGGACTATATCTGGGAAACATTTGTGGAAGCAGGATTGGCGGAGGAACAACTTTTATATGACATAACTAAATATTCCGAGAAATTATGGTCGAATACCGAGAAGCGATGGAAGAAACTGTACCAAACGGTTGTGGGCGGACTTTTCACAAAAGGTCTACCTGAAGAAGCTGTTGCTTGGCATCGGATGTTACAGGCTATTCATTTGACCGAGCCAAATGATATCGTCTCAGTACTGGCACAGGCTGTGCCATGTATACCCCAGAAACCGCCAGACTGGTCTCTATATTCGCATGAAACAATCACACTTGGAAATGGGCGAGGTGTCAGGGCATTTGGAGAGATATGCTTGGCAACAAAGGGTCACCAAATATATGAGACGGTCATTCCATTTCTGCTACAGAAAGGACTTGCGTTGGACGCTACTTATATGCACGATTTTCTAGTCAAGAGAGGGGATATGCCACGTGATTCTGGAACCCTACAACAAATCCTGGATTTTGCGACTACAGAAAGTAATATGTTCTCCCAGAAAGTGAAACAACGGCTCAGGAAAATCAAGTCGGATACTCTGAGCGAAGCTTTTTTGAACTCGCTTGCTGCTTCTGGAGAGACTGAAGTATCCGGCAACGGTCAGCAGCAAATGGAAGCGGACCGCCCAAAAGACGCAGACGATTGGATCAAGGAAAAGACGTTCAGAGATGAGTTTGGTGCACGACTCTTCGCCACAAAGGCCCTGACAGTGGATATGATAACGAATGGACTGCAAATGTTCGGAGTGCAGGCTATCGGTCCACTTTCTCTACGGGAGATCGCTCTCAGAGCAGAGGGCCCAAAGGATATACTTGAAAAAATACAGGCACTTCGCAAAGCAAACATTATCGTACGCGATTGTGCATTCACAAGGCTGGTCGAGAGACTAGCACTAGAGCACAAAGACATCATTCTCGAGGATCTGCTTCATAGTGATCAACATCCAGATGTCTTGGAAGATGCCGCTGTACAGGAGAGTTTGCTGTGTTCTTACTTGATGGCTCGAGATTGGAGGCTCCACAATCTAACCAAAGCAATCCTTAACGAGGTGGCAAAAGACGATATGGACAATATTCAATTTCGAGTGTCGTTATCTGCAAAAGAATGGTCGACAGCTTCGGATGTTGTTGATCGAATGTACCTTGATGCTAAACCACTGACACAGCAAAGCATCGATCACATGTTCTATGGCGTTCTGACACCGCGACTTCCGGGCCGGCTTCAACCATACCCTGAAGACCCAAAAATCGACGAAGTCAAGTATGCGGAGCGGATCCTCAAGTTAGCCTTAAGATCCGGGACCGAAATCGACCCTCAATATTGGGTTGAGTTATTGAAACGTATGGGCATGAACAGACATGATCAATGGGAACGAATCCAAGACTTATGCTTGTGGCTTGCACAGAATTATGTGGTGCAGGAAAACTCACCATTTCTGCATAGTCTGTCGAGGTCAAGTGGAGTTGATCCCGATACAATCCTGGCGAAAAATCGCAGCATAATTCGACGCATCTTCAATCCACGAATGCAAATGGCGCTCATTGCATGGGGTTTCAAATCACCACTATGGTATCAAAACGCAGTACACGAGATCCCCGATCCAGTCGGTGGCGGTATGGTACTCCTTTGGACTCGAGGATTACTTCTCCTCCGAGACCTGGAACAGCTAGGCGTACCCATATACCCAAGCTTCGTACGTCAAGCTTGCCGAGAACGGTTACAGATGCTTTTCGGCGAACTCTACTCCGTGAAAAGATGGAATCGGACTTTGCGAGACAAGAACCCATTTAAAATTTCGCGGATTCTGAATGACATGCTCGCTATACATCCGACGCTTTTCTCGCAGCAGGACCGGGTTGATTTGCAGAAGCTTGTTGATCGGCCGTTGCAGGGTTTGGCTGCTCGGAAGATGGAGCGGAACTATGAATGGTTGGATCAGTGGCCGGGCTCTAGACATCGGTGATTGTATATATAGATTTGTATATTATTCAATATGAATCAGTTATCACGAACATTGACTCTGTTAGTGTCAATAATACTTCGATGACTAGTCTGCTCTTGACTTCAGGGGCTTATGAGTGCTCCCCTTCAAATCAGCAGAGGTGCTGATAATTATGGCCGCCAACAGCGCATGACCATTATAATGTCAAGAATGGTAGGAATTGCACCTTTAGTCACTTTTCCAAGTATAGAAAGGATTTCATATTGTCCTTAGGCCATGATATGCATCTACTTCACACTCGTAGATAGTAATTTGATATCATTTTGAAAAAATTGAGTTAGGGCTTGGGCTTAAGTCCATCACATACGCCGTCTCCAACATCAGAGCTTACCGTTCTTTGAAGGTAATGCAACTGGTTGTGATGAAAATCACATTATTACATAGAAGAGACAATTCTAGATATACATGAGTAATGTGATTTTCGATGAAAAAGGCAAACATTTGAAGTGACTCACCAAGTTGAACATTTGTCGAGCGCCCCCTTTTCATTGTATATGCCACATACCTGTGACTCTTAGGACTTGACTTGAACATGCTCTATATGTCTTGATATAATAATTTCCACTTGCTTTTTGTTGGAGTCTTTGATAAGACCTGAAAGTCTATGGACATTTGTGATATACGATGAGATCACTCGAAAGAGAATACCAATGAACTTGTGCAGCACTTGGTCATCAAACTAGGAAAATTATCCTACTATGTCAGAAATTGATTGGAGGTAACGCAAACGTCATACATCGAGCTCTACGACAAGCAAGCTACAACTTMCGAATTCTTTGAACAGTTAATTCGCAATGGCGCTGTGATAGTTGGAGAAATGAAGATGTCTGTCTTCCTTGGTTCAGAGATTCCTCCCACCCAGTTTATTGATTACTTCCCGCCTTGGAATTCTCGTGGTGATGGTATCAGGGGCCTTCTGGAGACTCGAGCGGTGCTGCTGCATCTATTGGGTATCCGTGGCCTAGTATCTCTATGTGCACTGACAATAAGTCGTTGTGAATCCCTTGGAGATATTCAGAATTTGCTAAAATCGAAAAGCTATGGGTGGTATGTGTCATCCGGCGTCTTCTCATGGTATCAGGGACCATAGAACAAGCTGGAATTATCTTTCTCTTCCAATGATGGCGGTTGTGCGACTTGCACCGTAAGTAGTTTTTCTCACTGATCTTTTCCATCCTGACTGGTTTCTAACCGTTTCTTAATTCGTTCGATACACTGTGTATTATGGCTAGATCATCACCCTTGAACGGAGATGTGCTTTTAGCTGCATGGCCATGGGAAGCTTTTCAAAGGGCCTGTTCTACTATTTTCTCGCTGAATTGAATGTCTTGGGCTGACCGCTCCTAGCCAACCGAAATCCTCTGTCCTACTGACTGGCACGCATACCTTAAAGAGAATCAACAGCAAATGACTGACGAATTTCTGGCTGCTTTGGAAGACTATCTTGGCTTCCAACACATTAAAATCTCACTGAGTGACCTAAGGTCCAAAATGGCGCCTGCTCATGTTCGTGACAGAACTAAATATTTTCGGAGGCTCGCAGCGTCTTGCTCATAAAAATCTGAAACTGTGCATTTGTAAGGGTACCCGGATAACAAATTACAATAACCCAAGCCTGTGTTGAACATCATCATCGCTCGCATAGATCTTTTGGGTAGAGTTGCCATTGTCAACCGGTATTACTGGGCTAGGGAATTTCTCTTGATCTGCATCTTTTTTAATTTTGGCGAGGTTCCCATCTGTGAAATAAATTCTGCTATTGTTGTACAGGGTACACTAGGACGACTGATAACTCAACTCTTGCTTGAACAATATGAAACTTATTATACAGTATATTAAGCAGAAAACAAAATAACTACGACAACAAATGTACAGGGGATAACGGGACATACGAAATACTCCGAATCCCAGAGTGATAGATGACTTGTTAGTGCAGTGGGAGTGAAGCTTTAACGTCCCTTCCGCCTTGGTTGAGCAGGTTAATCGCTGGTCGGGCTATTCGCTCGTTGCTCATCACAATTTGGCGCGAATTCAGAAAGGAGCACGATAGTAGCGAGCTTCGATATAGAATGGGATTGAGAGCATTATTAGGACTGGTTTCGTCGAAGACTTGGAATACCAGAATTCCCTTTCTTGGGTACTCTCACTGCCCAATACAGTACGAGCGCGGCCACAGCATTAAAAATGATATACACCCATAATAGGCCAAAATTGCGCCATCTGTCTGCATAAAATACGCTCACAGAAGCGAGAAACTCGCTTGTTGATGCTAAAGGACAGAATTCGCAGTTCTCTGTCGAGTTCTCATTGTAGACAGCGCCTCCCGCTGAAGCCATGTATTGGGACAGGTATTGTCCGCATGTTTCGCCCGATGGCGTTTGTAGGATATTGCGCACTTCAAAGGAGGCGCATTGCACGTCGGCGTTAGCGAGGCTGGTTGAGAGGAGACTGCTGACGAGGTAGGTGAATGGCGATACGCGGTACATGAAAATCCAAAAGCCCGGTAGCGCAGCTGGGGACGCAATAATCCTGTTGTCTTGTAAGCTACCCCAATTCTATGCTTGTTTCCGGGGTTAAGATGGATTCATTACTTACCCGCAGAATATCAGACACAAGGCGAACAGAATTAGGGCAAGAATAGCTCCGACCTCTGCAGTTGGAAGCCCAGCAACCATCATGTGTGAAAAGGTCCCAGACATAACCATAAAAGCCCATGTCAAGAGAAACATCAAGGCACCTCGCTCATGAACGGTATCTGTAGGCTCAGCATTGCGGTATAAACCCACCAGGTAGTAAAAAGGGAAGTATATCAATAGGGAAGCGAATGTGTTCCATGGCAGCTCAACAATGATGTTGGATAACATGAAGATGTACCAGGCATAAGTCTTGGAAGGACGCTCGCGGACCTCGTACAGGTCACGCTGTAGAATAAAGTTGGGCATGATCTGGTAGACGAGGAAGGCAAAAATGACGAGCAACATGAAGACAGCAAACATTTGGTCTTGAAGACCTTGCATGGTGTTCTTAGTTTTGTAGAATGAGACACCAATAAACAAGCTCTGCAAATAAGTTAGTCCTTGTACAGGGTGGGAAGGGAATGAATATAAAACTGGAAGTCTTACCGCTCCTAAGCAGAGGACCAATTTGGCATAGATGTATGATGGTGTACGCCAATATTGTTGGAAAACTCGCTTGGTACACAAGAAGAGCTGATCTGTCAAACTAGCAGCATATGCCGTTGACTCATCAAATGCATCACTCGCTGGCTGATGTGTAGCTTCGGACCTTTGTTGGTCTTCTAAACGAGTGAGTTCCTTGTGTGTATCACTGTATTCTGAACTGTTCCGCCATACATCGGTCCAATCTTGTTTAGCAACAGCACCGGGTGCGGCCCCGATGACCTCTAACATCCATTCAGCTGGATTTTCATCTTTCCTACATACCCGAGAGCCGTGACTTTCAAAATATTGGATCATTTCGCGTGCATTTTCACCAATGTTGCCGAAATATACCGTTTTTCCACCCTTTGCGAGAAGAAGGAGACGGTCAAATTGTTGAAACAGCATAGCTGATGGCTGATGAATGGTGCAGAGGATAGCCTGTCCATTATCTGAAAGTTTCTTGATAAGTGCAGTAATAGACCATGCTGTTTGACTATCTAAGCCAGATGTTGGCTCGTCCAAGAAGAGAAGCAATTCCGGTTTAGCTGCGAGCTCAACACCGATACTGAGACGTTTTCTTTGTTCTACATTCAGCCCTGTGAATTCAATTTTCAGTACATCGAAATGAACTTTTTGGAAGGGCTCGGACTATACCTTCGCCAAGAATACCGACAATGGCTTCTGCATAAGCTTCCATGTCCAGAAGTTTGATAACTTCATCCACATACGCAAGTTTTTCTTTCCGGGAGTATTTTGAAGGTTGTCGCAGTAGTGCACTGAACTCTAGAGCCTCTCGGACTGTTGAAACCTCTAGATGAACGTCTTGTTGCTGCACATACCCCGTCTTTCTCTGGAATGATCTAGCTCGTGGTTGGCCATTCACGAAGACATCCCCTGTGACAACACCGACAGTGATGCGTTCTGCAAGGACGTTCAAAAGCGTGGTTTTTCCAGCCCCTGTGGCCCCCTACTTTGTGAATTAGAAAAAGAGATGATAAAGAGATAACTCAGAGACGAACTTACCATCAATGCTGTCAATGTACCGGGCTTCACCCAACCATCAACTCGGTCAAGAATTCTCCTCGTTTCTGTTTTGATCTGCACATCGTAGCAAACGTTTTTCCAGTGGAAAATTGCAGTTTGTCTTTGGATTGCAGCACTCGTGTCTTCTTCACCACGGAATTCAACAACTTGACGGTCAGTATTGTTCGGGTTTGAACTTTCGATGTCATCTGGACGCGAAGCATGTTTTTTATCCAACCCACGTTGGAAGACTAGGATCTCGCCCTTAGATCGACTGGAAGATACGTATTCTGCAGCCAAGAAGTAGACACCAGTGAAAATTATAATATACCCAATAAGGATCCCAAAATTTCTACGAGTAATCAATGTTAGTCTCCTGAAATGTAATAGAAGGATATGAAAAGCCACACACCTCCAAATATGTGAGTACGAGTATCCGTAGCTGCCATAGATATACGTATCTCCGCTCACGAAATCATCTCCTGGAAGGCCCCCTGCAGTGGCACACACTCTTTCGCTCGCGGTGAGGTTCTGATAACTTGGGCCCATCGGAATGAACTGAGTGCAGTCGAACTGCCGGTCGTGGAACTCATTCACAACCAGACTCTCATATGCATACGCGATTGGATTGAGATAATTGATCCACCGTAACCAGCCTTGCATGGCTATTGTTGGTAAGACGAACCCAGTATAAACCACTAAGAGAAGGACAAAGAGCGCCGCTGGAGTGAGAGCTTGAGCCATGGTGCGTGATATTTGTCCAATAGTACGGAAGATAGACGACATGGTCAAGGTGCATGTAAAACCGAAAAGTAGGAAGATAAAAAGGTAGCCTGCTTCACGTCGTAGATCAGACATGAAATAGACTGGGATATTGAAAAAGAGAGTTGAGATGATTTTGGAGGGTAGATCACATATAATTGACGCTGCTGCTTCGGAGAACGGATGGTAAAGAGCGTATTGGGCATGCTTTTCCACGACTGGACGTTGCACGTAGAGGGTGAGAATCTGTATTCGTGTTAATTGTTTGGATATTGCACGTTTTACCTTGTAAATCCTCATACCTCCAGGGAGCTGCTAAGAGCATTGAAAAGGATAATGAAGAATAACAGGATGCACCGGTTATTCATACTCTCGCTGGATTGAGGAAGCTTATAGAACACACTTCCCAGAATTATTGAGATGAGTAGATTCCCGAAAATTGTGGCAAAGAAGAAGGTCATGTCACCAGATAGGCGCTGGAAACCACGATTGATGCAGAGACTAATCTGCATGGGCACAGAGATCGTATACGGGGATTTTGCTCTCCTAGGGGATTTCTATTAACAATCATGGATGACGTTGGTATGATCGAACAAAATGCATCTCACATCAAATGGGCCTTCTGAGCCCTTCTAGATCTTTCGAAATGTTTAAGTTGCTCTCCTTCTAACGGAAATCGTTCCTCAAACGAAGCAATCTCTTTCAGAAGCTCTGCTCTTTCCGAGCTGTTGCGCCAGGCTGCTGCAAACTCTGCAGCTGTTCTCGGTACCTTCTCCTCGAAGCCTTCTTGAACAATGCGTTCCTCTGGATTTGTCAGTGACGTGAGGAAGTCAGCGGTCGTTTGTCGATCTGGACAATAGTAGCCCATATTGGTGAAGTAGCTTTTGGCAGAACCAGCAGGACCAAAATAGATTTGCCTTCCTTGATAGAGAACAGTGACTTTATCAAAGACCTACAATTGCGATCAGTTTATTGACTGTGCGGACGTCAATGTAAATTGACTCACATCATAAGCAGCTTGAGACGCCTGGTAGATAGCTACAACGGCAGCTGTATGGCCCAAATCGGTCGACATTTTGATCGTCTTCACGAATTCAAGAGCAGTAGCGCTATCCAGACCTCTCGTGCTGTTGTCCCAGCATTGCAACGGACTTCCGCTCAGCATGACTTCTGCGATGCTTACGCGCTTACGCTCGCCGCCACTGACTCCCCTAATAAAGTCATCGCCTACCTTGGTGTTCTTTGTATGCGATATACCAAGTATCGCCATGACCACATCTCGCATTTGTTCAGCGTATCGCTGTCGAGTGACCCCGGGAAGCCTATTTTTTGGCGTTCTTGCCAGTGCAGCAAAAAGAAGAGTTTGGCCGACGGTCAACTGTGGAAAGTGAATCTCCGTCTCCGCTTGATAAATAATTTCACCCCGAAAGCGCGAGTGCATCATGTCGTAAGGGATACCTAGGCTAGTGAGAAGTGGGAACAACAAAAGAAGAAGCAGATTAAATGTTACCTTGATAATTAAAGCTCGATATTGGGTCAACGTTAAAGCCATGCGTCCTTCCAGCGATGGTCTTGAGATATGTTGACACGCCGCTGGATGGTTCAGTCCACTTAGTCTTAAGGTAAAATGTTTATGGAACACGTACCTTCCTGGACGGCCAAGTACCAGCAGCATTTCACCACTTTGCACTAAGCCATCAAAATCTTGAAGAATCTGAGTCCTCTTTTCTTTTCTACCCATCAGGTTTATTGCCATGTCAATGACTCGTGAGAAAATACTCAACACATCCGCTTGGTAATTCACATTGGACCCAAACCCATACGCGGTAAGATTGCGATGAGAAACGCCAGAGGTTCGAGATGGGTACCTATCAGCGTCCCTGGAAGTGGTGTCTAAGAGAGCCCTCATCCATTGTTTTGGGTCAAAGTCCTTCGAGTTTGGGTCAAGGGAGGGGTTGTGAGAAGGGAGAAAGGGATTGCAGTCCGCTGTCGGTGTTTGTGAGTGGTGGACGAATTGATTCGAGAATTTTCGTGCCAGTTCTCCTATACTGGGACCGATTTCACGTTCCTGTCCTTCTTCACGAATCGCGGTTGTGATCGATGGCGTTGTTGAATATCCGTTGAATGTTTTCTCGCCGTCGCTGGAATCGTCCGGGTCCTGCTCTATAGACATATCGGCTAGATTGAATAAAAAGAAGTAAATATGAGTATTTTAGGTAGTATTCGCGGACGCAAACATACATTTTTTCTTCTTGAAATCCAAAGGCAATCAAAATGAGTGCGATTATCTGGAAATAGATTTGGAAAAACACTTCAGAGATGCCGTGATAATCCCAGCGCTCGGAGAATATTGGAACACTTTTGATCGACCAAATAATGTCATAGGTTTCAATTTACCTAGCTATAAAGGTCATTTTACTTATATATGGCAAATGGTAGATAGTTAAAGCTGAACTTCTGACGTAGCTGGATATATGTGTATGTACTTCGGACCCGAACACTTCAAGGGGCTTCCCCCAAACCATAGCACACAGTGCCACATACATTCAACGACTGATAACTGATTGTGCTGATGATCTGCAATTAATCAACCATTGGCTTTTCGCCGAATTAATCCCTTACTACGCACTATTTGGACTACGATCGAGGTATTCGGAACTCGGTAATCATATAATGACAGCATACCCAGGGGCCAATGAGCGAGCTTCCGAGCGCTGTTGTTCGGAGCCGAAGTACCTGAGAAAACATCATTGAGCTCAAGAACTTATCTGGTCTCCTTCTACCATCTTACATACACCTCCCATAATGCCGGGAGAAACCCGAAATTAAGTATGACAGAGGTTATTCTCAAAAGGGTGTCCCGCACTTGCGACGCGTGCAAGGCTCGCAAAGTCCGTTGCGTCAGTATGTTTCAGCGCACTACCGAAAGAAATTCCCGAGTTTCAACTGATTCGATATGCAGGATTTGAAGACGAGACACAGATAGCTTGTCGAAATTGCACGGTAAATTTGCAAATGCACACTGTGTGTACCGCCGTTAATTCATATAGACGCGAAATACACCTTGTCATTATAGCTATCTGAAGCGGCCTCGGAAACGAAAGTCGGTCTACGAAGAAGGTAAGTTGTGTTTTTCGATTCCACAGTACAATGGTTCCATATTTGCTAAAACATATACGATATTTCAACATCAAAGCTTCCAGTCCGGCTGTTTCATTATCAAAGATAGCTGGTATTTCTTCCACCCAGCAGAATGCTTCCCCAACTCCTCATCAATCAGCTTTGGGCCCGGAACATGGAAGCACGCCCAAAGTTCCTGGTCATGAAAGCCACCGGATCGTGTCCCAGCTACATGTTGACCTTTTGTTGTCAAATCGCAAGACTCCGGCAATTCTCAAAGCCGAGACTTCTTCAACTAAGGTCAAAATCCCAGCTTTTATTCCTCTTGACTGGGAGCTTACTTCAAATAGCTCATGGAATTCTTTGGGCACAACTCGAATTTATCTTTCTTTTCCACTAGTCGAGTTCGTTCGTTAAACAGCCGGCTTGGACATACTAAATTGGACCAACTGATGCAGCGAATTGATTCGGTACTCAATTCGAAGATGAACAAAACACCAATTTCCATGACATATCTATACTCCTTACGCCAATCGAGAGCACCGTCTATAGCAGCCTCTCTAATGGGATCTTATATTGAGTGTATGATGATTCCCTTTTTGATGTTAATCATAGTTACTGAAAGTTGACTTGTGTAATCAAGCATACTTTGGCCAGGTGCATCCGATATATCCCTTTCTTGATAGGCAAGCTTTTGAAAAGAAGGCCTTCGAAATGTCACCACGCTCGTCAACCAATTCATATGAAGCATGGTCTGCATTGTATTATACTGTCCTAGCCATCGGCTGTCAGTACCATGAGGGTAGTAGTTTTGATCCGGGATCTGGAACAGCATGGAAACTTTTCGAGTGTGCTCTTTCTCACTTGCCAGATCTCATCATGAGGAAAGGATCTTTGATGGCGGTGCAAGTATACTATTCCATTTCTACTTAGCTTTCTATATGCGCTAACTAACGTGTGAATGCAGGCTTTGACTGCAATGGTATGTTGAACGACTTGGTGCAAAACTCAACTGATTGGGTCGATAGGCGATTTTCTCGACAACTTTACCTGCGTACCAATTTGAAGCATTGCTCGTTACGGAAGCAGCCAAGATGTGCCAGAGTATGGGATATAATAAGGCTTCAAGCACAATTCCAAGTCTGAACGAGGATAAGCGCCGTTGCACTTTTTGGGTAGTATACTGTCTCGAGAAAATGGCCTGCTTTAATACTGGTAGAACTTCGGTATGTACATTGATACGTTCGATAGTAGATGAAAAAGTGTAAGCTCACATAGTGACGGTGCCATCATTCATGGATAGATTATTATGGACTCGGATATCGGCTGCCCGATCCCTCTGGTCACCGAATCTATTTTCGGAAACTATGACTGGTTCCTCTCCATTGCCAGATATTCTCGGCTGATTTCTCGCATTTACGAGAGCATTTTTACTGTGAGCTCCGGCGAGGGTTCAGCAGAGACCTACCACGCCTCAATCAAGCAGCTTAATGCTGAGCTTGAAGCCTGGCGTCTATCGATACCAGTACAATTCCGACCACTCGAGCACTTTTCGGGACGTGGTCTACCAGGGACACTGGAAATCTACGTCGCTGTCACTACGCAATATCTTTATTTCAATGCTTTGCTTACTTTGTTACGAACTACGCTTTACATTAAGGCAGGTGATCTGGGTACGGCATCAGATACGCAGGAGACGAAGAAACAATTGATGAAAACGGTGTGCTTGATCCTAGATTCAACCAAGTATATCGAAGTAGCCGCTTATACTTCAATTTGGTATGCCCATCACTTTTCAATTCTACCTAGCTACCTTTTCAAATAGCAGGACTAAGATTACTTCGATGCAGGATTCTGGCACTGATGCCAATTTCAGCTTTGTTCATCCTCTTTGACCTTGTCATACACAACCCGACGCATCCGCAGACCAACAACAATTTGGCGCTCCTCGACGTTGCTAGTGGTCATTTTGGTCGTATCGAATATGCCACCAGTGGAACGCTGCCGGGATCTCTGGTATCGGAGTTTGCTCATATTGCACGAGACTTTGTACGAGATTCGCAGCGAGAAAAGCCTAACCAAAATGCGCAGATAATTACAAACAATGTGCAAAACAATAGCCTAGACATAGTATCCAATCCCCCAATACAGACCTCAAAAGAGGTCCTGGATACATCGAATGTCTCTCTCGAGCCTCAGATGTCGTGTGATTACCAGTCCCAGCTCCAATGTCAATTGAATCCCGCTGCACCAAATACAATAACTCATCAAACAAAGCCACCAGGAGTACAGCATCAACAATCATCGAATACATATCTACGCCACAATTCAAACCCTTCTGTCGGAACCAGTCAACCATCTGACTCTACTCTACCTAGAGCGGATGCTGGTGCGGAACAAATTTTCTTCCCTCTTGCCGATGATCCGACGTATGCTGTGCAACGGGATGATGGGGACTTACAGCAGCTCCTCGGCATTGATGTGATGGATCTATTCGATTTCACAGCTCCTTTCAATTGGGGATGTTGGTCGTGATTTGGACGCGAGGTGACTTGCAATGGCCCGCTTATTGATTATTTTGCCTCATCATGTGCGAATTAATGACTTTTGTTGAAATGCCTTCTTGTAAATTGCACTTGAATATTTAGTAATTATGTCGTTTGATTTTTTGATGGTAAGGAATACTTTCTCTGCTCTTCATTTCCATCTCTTCAGAGCTACGTCGTAGAGACGCGACTGCTTCCATTGCAAGCCTACGCCTTCGACATATCGATATCTACCATTAGGATACTGGGGATCCACGTTTAAACGGTAATTACTTGAGCAGATCAAGACTGCGTTGCCACTGTATTTTCCTATTACTTTTGAACTATATCAAGTATTTTATTATTACAGGTCACTTGCCTATAGGGCTGTAAGTATACCGGTCTTTTGCAAGCCACAGGTAAAGAACGTGTTCACAGTCAACCGGTTATGGCTAGTACTTATCTGGGTCTCTTTACATCCCCGCTCGAAGCTGTTTGAAACCCAAAAGGGTTTGACATCAGTGTTGTAAACGGAGCTACATGTGTGGTTAAAATGAACTGAACATTCCGCGCCCGAACTTCGGAGAAAAGGGCCAAACACGAATCACTACCCTATTAGTATGCCTGCGAACTTTCCCCATGATTTCATGAAGAAAGGTCTATGTCTTGCCACACATCATACCATGTGTGTTGCTTCCTGGCACTTGCAGAATGGGCTGAAAGATACGTTGTTGGCGACCAATCCGACCGTCTTGGTATTGTTTTCTTGACTGGGGTACGAGGGATCAGAGCGCACAAACCCGAGGCCTATTCATCCTGTAAGGTGAGCCCTACAGAAACAAAGAGCCTCACAGTTCTAAAAGAAAACAGCTAAAGCAACCGGTTCTTCAGCAAGTGCTTTGTTTTTATTCGCAGAATACGAGTTGATATGAACAGAAATATCCAATATTGAAGGTTTCAATTTTCTTATTTTGTTACCATGTCTTAACTCAATGTTTCGCTACATATAGAGCAGTACTGCACAATGGCCACTCGAAAATCGAGGATATACACAAGTACTACAGATCTCGAATTGAAACGAAACTCAAAGTCGCATCTCAAGCCAATTGTGGAGGTGGCGCATTTGACTGCTTTAGAGAACTTGTTCGGCGTACCTCAAGAACAATTCCAACGATGGCCTGGTGTTACAGCATATTGCAGGTTCCTAGAATCGTGCTTCCAATCTCTATTAAGCACTGATTATGACTCAATATGGGGCCTCATTGGCGCAAAAAAGCCATCTCGACCAGAAGATTGCTGGGTATGGTTCAACACCATTTGTGTCAAAATACATGAACTGGGTGAAGATGACAGTATCGAAGACATTTGGGATACTTTTAATCCGTTACCCAAACCGACAGCTCAAAATGCTTTACGACTCAGTACATCAGCTGAAAAGGCGGCTTGCCTAATTGCAATATTCGCAGTGCTCTGTTGGGCTTCGATGACACTACAGCCAAAGACACGGTGGGAAGATTTTGAAGGCCAACCAACGATCGGCGTCCAATACAGAAAGTTTTCTGTTCCAGCTCTTAATATAGACATCGCGCGTCGACCGATCCATGTGGTCTTTCGGAGATTTTCATTACCAGGTCGATGGCGACCAACGACCGGAGGCAACACCAGCAACGGTGGTAATGAGAAGTCAATTGCTCTATTTCTCTCAACTTTGAACTACTCCACTCTGAAGACGATAGGGAAGATACGTCTGGAGTGGGTTGATAATCTGACTGATCACCTGCATTTCGATCCAGGGGCGCGAACACTGTGTGTATTCCGGTTTCCTAGCCTTTGCGTATTGGGTGTTTTGAAAGTGAAAAACAGTGTGATACTTGAACGGTAGGTGTATGTCTCATCAGCACGAACAATGCTTAATTAGCTTTCCCTAGACTTGCGCGAGCATTATACAAGACCGACGAAGAGACGAGCCACGATTTCGAGATGGGCGTACAAATCAACCAAGAAGTCCTCATGTCCTACCGACTCCTCTTTGCACAAACACGCAGCTCCCGCGCCCTTGCCAAATCGATACTCAAAGCCCTCCGTGATCAAGACGAGTCTCTCTATGATCCACTTTTGGAAGACCTCTGCACACGACCCCATGATAGCACGATTGACGCCCTGCCACCATCATTGTGGCCTATTTCGTGCCGCAGTTTCGAGAACACACTACAAGAGGATGATTCGTATAGTTCACAAGATGATTTTCCCTTATATGGAAAGCGTCTTGCGAAGCTGCAGGAGTTCTGTCAGAGGCAGCAGCCGAGTAAACTCCGTGATCTGTGGAGGGATAGGAGGAATCCATTACAATGGTATACATTTTGGGTTGTTTTGGTAGTTGGGGGGTTATCGATTGTAATTGCTCTTTTACAATTGGCCGTTGGTATCGCTCAGTTGGTTTTTTCTTACCAGGGATGCAATTGTTAATTCTGAAGTATGATCTTGGGTGTCGCCCTTCGCGAACATCCCAAATATCCAGAGCTAGTCTCTAGCTACTTTGTTTTTGCTGTAATAGATCTTCTTCACTAAAAGACTTCATGGAATTTTGTGAGTAGAAGAGTCCTTACTCAGTCTTCTCTTGCCTCTTACGCCACTCATCCTCGAGCATCGACTGACAAACAATATCGTGCCACCCGCCATCAAACCACATAACCTCCCTCAGCAATCCCTCATACACAAATCCCAGCCGCTCATACAATCGCCTCGCTCCGGGACTAAAAGAGAAAGAACTCATCGCCACACGATGCAAGCCTCCATACTTGAACGCCCATTCAAGTATCCACTCGATCGCTTCGGTTCCATAGCCTCGCCGCTGATACTCTTCCTTGATCTGAATCCCCACCTCAGCATTACGATGGTGTTGTAATAGCTTTTTAGGTTCAGGATGCAGATCGATGCGTCCAATAGGTCTTTCCGGTTCAAAATCATCAGCTGGCAAGCAGATCAAAACAGCCATGTATGATTCGTCACGGATTTCAGCAGCCGCCAACACAGTTGAAGCTTTATTTACCGGTTTGAAGAGGGTAGGCTCGTTGGTTGCACGCGACCCGGATTCGAGGCGGAGAGAATGAATGAAAGCGTTGTCTTTGTCATTGTTCTCTATAGCGCGATAGGTCAGCCGGGCTGATTTGAACGCGCCTGCCATGGTTTAATGAGTTAAAGTCCTTGCTTCAAATCGGGAAGAATGCAATTTAAATTTCCGTGTTATCACTTCTCAGATTATCAAAGGATATGGAAGTATTATAACAGTCTCGTGATTCTCATCTCTATCTGGAGAGAACCTTGCATACGCCTGAGAGACTTGCTTCGTTTACGCCGTGACGAGGCGAAGGATAGCGACTGAATTATGTTTGCCTCGATCACTCAGCCTGACCACACTGTCACTCCATACTAGCATAATATAAGAGCCCCTCGTATGTGCTACACTCCGTTCCTCGTCTAATTGGTGTTATCCCAGCGAGTTACACCTCGTATTTGACGCCTAATTAAGGTCCGTGCACAGTACAAAATTTACAGGGATACACCGACTTTGATTGCCAAAAAAAAAATACAACGTATATACGGAGTAAGTTCCTATTAGTTCCCCAACCTCAGAAGATAAAAACATTGTCAAGCTACTTTAATCCTATCTGCCTTTTGATGATCGTGTTGATATAAGGTTAGGGCTTCAGAGGGCCCCACCAAAAAAGTGGACAGAGTATTCCAAGTGTGGAGCAGCGCGATATAGTGCAAATGGATGTACCGCTGAATCAGGACAATAAGTTACAATTAATACTGGCATATACATTTTAATGCAAGCCTATAATTCGGTTTGACGCTCTCAGCTGTTGGTAAGGTCCGGGTGTTTACCGCCTGTCGTATTCAGCCAATCAAGAACCTAAAGATCTGATAGATACGGTGAGGCAACAGGCTTGGTGACTCGAAACAACCCCCATCCAACGTGTTGAATACATTGTTAGGCAGCGGTTAGTCCGTAATCTGTCTTCAAATAATTTGGGATTGGATCACGCTGGAACAGGTCTGTCGCTGACACAATCGGTTTGAAGCCCACAATGGTGACCCGTAGAGTGGCGGACAAAGTCGGTGTTGCTCTTGAGGAGGAGCTGAAGATTACCCTGGGTGAAACTGAGTATCTCCTCATATTGAATCAGGAGGTTCAAGCTATTATTTATCTTGTGATGCTGAGCTCATTCGCTAATTTGCTGTTAGAATTTTCTTACAATCCACGGAAATACTCCTTCGCTAGCGTTGGTGTACTTGACCAAGCCCGGACAAGTCATTTCCAGGGCATCACTTCGCGAATTTCGCGCGACTAAACTTGAGCGAGATGACGTTATTCATTCTGCATTTTACTCTAATTTTGTGTTCTATGGGAGCAAGCAAGAAGACTTGCGATTAGAATCTGATGTCATCGAAGAATTAGTTGAATGGGATACAAAATCATGGACATTTGTCGAGGGTACTCCATCTTCCACGGTCGCTGCTGGCCCTTATGTTTCTGCAAAGGGGCGGACTTGGCAGCCATGGAGAATCTATCATGATTTTAATGCCACATTCATGTGTACATTCAAACCCTCGTCAGACCACTCCGGAAGATAAGTGCACCTTCAAAGAGCACTTCGGACCCTGTGGGATTAGGTCGCTAACACTGCTATACTCTAGTGAAACTTGATTCTCCCCAGGCTGGTATACATGGCCGAGTCGTAGTACCATCTCGCTGCTATTACCAACCATCAAAGATGCGTCCACTTGATGGAGCAAGGATCGTGGTTAAAGACAATATGGACGTTGCCGGCCACAAGACGACCTTGTGCAATCGTTCGTGGGACGCACTTTACCCGCCCGCTTCCAAAAATGCAGCTTGCATTCAAGTTCTTCTAGATGCAGGAGCTATAATTCTCGGCAAGACAAAGCTCGAGGCGATGGTTATGGACGAAGAGCCGCTGGAATGCGTCGAATTTACTGCCCCTTTCAATCCTCGAGGTGATGGGTATCAGAACCCTTCTGGAAGCAGTAGTGGTAGTGCGGCTGGTATAGGTTCATATGACTGGCTCGATTTCTCCCTTGGTTCAGACAGTTTGTGCCCCTCCGCATCCCAGACTGGATGATGCATACTAAATTTTCAATAGCTAATGGAAGTGGCCGTAAACCTGCGGACTACAACGGAGTCTTTTCAATTCGCCCTTCAACAGGAATCATGGATACCGATGGAGTGGTCGGTCACTTCCCGTAAGTCAGGCACATATTGTATGAATCTAGGCAGAATACATCCTTACAAAATGACACTGCTACAGCAAGTTTGATATGCCGGTATTCTTCGGCAGGGATATTGCAAGATTTTCCGATTTCATTTCGGTGTGGTATGGAGCCTCTCCAATGCTTCGTACCCCTTCCAAGGTTTGCTCCCCAATTCAAACTCGTTGTCCACTCGTTTAGTCCTTTAGACCCAGGTGAACATCCTGTACCCCTCGGATTATCTTCCGACTACAAATCCATCCCAGTCTCAGGTTATCGACAACTTCGTCAAAGGTCTTGAATCTGCCCTGCAGGTTTCTCGAATCAACATTTCACTGGCCGAAGAGTGGAGAAGAGATTGTCCTGACGGACTTCAAAACCCCGATATTGTTGAATATCTGAAGCTTGTAAGAATGAAATTATTCTAGTTGCGATATGCACTCATATGTCTTCAGGCTGGAGGTATTCCATTCTATCATGACGCATACTATGCCTTGGCCGACTTCAGAGACAAGTACAAGGAGAAATTCGGCAAACCGCCCTTCGTGCATCGAGCCGTTCATCGTCAATGGTGAGTATACTGCGCCGCTACCGATGAGACAACTCGCTAACTCTACTGAAGGGATGTCGCCAAACAGATTACAAAAGAGGAGCGTGATAAATACTGGCGTCGCTCCGAGATCTATCGACACTGGCTTCTAGACAACATTTTCAAAGCCAACGACGAGAACAGTGTGACGATTATGATACTGCCAATTGAGAAGGGGGAACCGAACTATCGCGATGCAGACCCTCCGTATGTGCTTTGTTCTCACTCGACAGTAATCACGCTGTACTAACCCAGGCTATCAGGCTCCATCACATATTGCATGGCTTTGACGCCTTAAATATGTCTCCAATGATGCGGGCGCCGGAACTCACTGCTATTGGTAATTGGCTTTTTCCAAAAATTTCCCTGAACTATACTTACAATATTTCTCAGTTGGTGAAATTACGTACCACTCAATTGTAACGGAGAGAGCTGAGCCACGGCCAATTGGAGTCTCGGTCATAGGTGCACCCGGTAGGACTTTGAAATATGATAACAATGTGGTGCTTTTACTAAATTATGACAGGAACGGATCTCATTCTTGCGGATTTGGTAGAAAAAGGTATGAAAGCTAAGGGGCTATCAACAAAGCTAAAGACAGGACGCTCAATCCATTAGGAATGAAAGTCTTAGGGGGTTTTTGATAATGAGCATACTGAGAACAAATTGAGAAAAGTGCGTAAAATAGTCGTGTAATGATGAATTTGCAATTTAGCTACTCAATTCCCATGTTCTATTAATGCACAACCAATGCGCGAAGCTCTATACTCTCGCGAGCGGGCTCCCCGGGAGGACACCCCGGGTTATCGAAAGCACAATGGGGTACTATATTTTGGTCATTACAATCCAATATATGTGGATAATGTTGAAGTGTTCTTACCAGTGCCACTTACAAGCGAATCAGCCGATTTGAATATAACCATCTCACTCGCTTTCTGCTCCTTGAAGTAACCCCACTGCTGATTGAGATTATAATGCACACGGTAGCTTTCAAGGGTGTCGTCCGGGTGTATCAGGTCAATTTTCTTTAGGTCTTCATCTGCTAAAGAACCCAGTCTACAGAAAGCAAGGGGCCAGTCCTTCAAAGGACCTTTCAAAGGCTTCCAAACACTGTTTTCAATTTGTCAGTGCTATTCCCAATAATCCCGTAGCAAACATACTTGATCATTTGATAACGATGCTTGCGGACTGCTTCTGCTCGATCTCCGCATAGTTGTCCAATTAGTTTACTGGCTTCATCAATAGTGTAGTCTTTTAATGTCAATTATGTGCCAAATTTTTCTAGTCAAGGAATCAAGTCATACCTCCGTGAACACGGGGTATAGGCACGCCAAATCCCTTTTCTTTCTCAGCCCGCTTTCGAATCTTATATCCCAGTCAGCGCGGTCTTGACTTCATAACATGATTTTAAAATGACATACCACACATTCATGAATATACACAGCTCTCGCCCCACAAACATCCAGCAAAACACGCTTAGCATCATTGACAAAGCCTGCCTTCAGCGTTGCCTCGTCAAAGTAGTCCTCATAGGGAATTGTACGCGGAAGATCAACAAGCACAAAGCCATCTTTGTCTAGAGATAATTTGCCCTTCAAAGGGCGAAAGTCTTCGATTGGAACGCTCTCTGTGATTTCGTCAAAGTTGGCGCCCCGTGGAATTTCGGGCGTGTCGTAGAGAAGCTCATAAGGCTTGTTTGTTTCTAGCAAAGGATCCTTTGCTAGAAAAATCAAGTCAGCTTGTATTAATTTTTTGGCCGTCATCTTGAACTATGTTAGATAATTCGCCAGCTTCTAGATCATGAGATACGAGAATGAAGTCGACCGGAGATGGAATGGAGGACACATACTTGAGGCTGAAATACCTCGTTTATACATATTTCTAATGCACTGTAATGCCCGGTTAAGTTACCATTGTATATACGACTATACGAGATATCTTAGCATGTGCCACGGGCCTCTTAATCTGTTTGTTATATCCGTCTTGACGTGTGACCCCGCTTTCACGCAAGTAGGTGGCTTATAGGCCTGGTAGAATTACGTATACCATTCTTTGCTCGTGTCAAATCATGTCTTCATATAGTGCGTTGGTACCTAGGTTTTGATTAACGAGATCATAAGGTAATCTCATTCGTCAAACATTTTATATGTCAACGTCTTATCTACGAATATCGAGTTCTTTAAGGCTTATTTTTAGATTCCTACAACCCAACTCTGATATTCCATTGATTTGAGCCTAGTACATGACATCATGTTGAGAAATGAGTGGAAGGATGTGACATTACATAGATCAGAGTCAATCGACAATTTGATTCCTTCAATGTTGTGTGCATATCCCAACCTCCATGTCACAAGAAATGAAAACAAATTCCAGACCAATACTATTCGAAATTTGAAAATCCTGTTCCCTGCAGAATAAATCATACCCCCGCAATCTTCAAAAGTTACCAGGCATGGATACTCGAGGACTTGTAGAAAGTCTCTGTACTTGTTAGTTCACCATTTAGATAACCGATTTATTGATAACATTAAAAACCTACTACTCGGCTTTCTTGTCTAGATTCTCTAAGCTTTGGAGCATCTCGTTGATATTGTCAAGTCTCATAACTGTCGTACCGTCTGCCATCCTGAGTGAGGCAGGAGATGCACCTTGGCTGGCACCTCCCTGATCATCGCCCGCTCTGAGGCGGTGCTGAGGCTTGGATGGCGAGGGCTTTTGGGTGGCTTTGTCCATGTTGATGTCTATTCTTGTGGGTTATTTGCTTCTGAGAATACCAGATTTTTGTGATGATTCTTGATTGAAGTTGATGTTTGATGGTACAATCTTGGAACTATCTTACGGGGATAATTTATATTTCAAGTCCAAGTTCACTCACACCTACAGAGATCAATTCCCTAGGTTTTGAGCCTCATTTTCCTCGGGTCGATAAGGTCACCAGGCCCCTCGTAATGCAAGAAGTCTCATTGGGAAAGCAACAATCGTTATAATACTTTTTATTGGCTCAACAGTACACCCTCATGACTTTCTGTATCCATGTAGGTGTTGTCACAGAAATAAAATACTGCGGTTATCCCGGCATATCTCCCAGCCCCTCTTCATGTTGAGGCTTCCATCCCTCAAAATTCGTATACACATGGCTGAAACGAAATATTTTACGCAGCCTGACACGGGAAGATAATAAAAAAGTACTGCTCTAATGAAGCAAACCAACGATGGCTCGAGCGTGTATATGAATTACTGTATTTTGAAACCACCAATGACCTAAAAGAATCTAACAAACCTATGGCGTCGCTTCTCGGGTATCAAACCCTTGAAAGATTCTACCTCTACTTCCTTAATGCTGAGATATAGATCAAACATATACCGACCAATCCACTTCGCAATATCAGCATCAGACTTAGCTGCATCAATTGCTTCCTGCAGGCTCCTGGGCAAGCGTTCAGTCACCCCGTATTCGTGTCTCCATGCAGCTTCCGTAATATCCTTCGACAACTTAGTAACATCCTTCTGCACCAATAGTTTGCTATTATTCACTCCATCCATGCCAGCCCTTAAAAGGGTAGCAAGGAAAAGATAAAAGTTTGCCGTCACATCTGCGCATCGTATTTCCCAATGCGAGCCTTTGATTCGTCTGATAGGCAAATCCCTGTGCTCTGTACCCCAGCCCACACGCTGCCCAGCTTTTCCATCTTTGACTCTCTCAAAGCCATCGTAGTTCGCTATTCCAAAAACAGTCATTGTGCGTAGCTTGTCCGTAATGCCTGCCAGAAAGCTATCTGCGTTCTCAACATCGTGGGACGAGACATGCATATGGATTCCATTCGTTACGCTGGCGTCTGACAAAGGTTTAGGAGTAATGGTTGCCTTCAAGTCGTGCTGGGCTGCAATAGAACGTATTGCTTCGCACGCAAATACCATGTCATCAATTGCCTCCATTGGAGCTTTCTCCTTTAGCGCGATTTCAAGCTGGTGAGGATCCTCCGTATGAAAGTGATAGACTTCAATATTCGCTTTCTCGAGGGCGTAACAAATTTCCTCCATGATTTTGAGAGTGTTGCAGCGAAGTCCGGAGTGCATACAGTAGCTTACAACTTGGTCGATTGATTGAGCGGGCTCAAAAGCAGCATCGAGAAGTGTGAATTCGATTTCAAACCCAATGAGAAAGCTCGTCTGGGAATGTTCTTCAATCATTTCCACCGTTTCTTCCAGGAGCTGTCGGGGACATTGTAAATAACGATCCTCTTCCCCTTCACTGGCTATTGAACACATTACCGAGGCGTGTCCTGGTGTAAAAGTACACAGTCGCAAAGATTTCCAGTCTGGCTCAATGGGGCATCGCATCACTCTGACAATATCGCATTGCGGCGCTGTTGCGATAGGCATAACCATACCAGACTGGTTAGTGCAGTATTGTCGCTCCCCGGAAACTATATCTCTGGCACCGGAAGTGGTGACGAATTTAGTGTGTAATATCGCTGATAAGCTCATCCATCGAAGTTGTATGAAATTGACCTCGGGATTATTTGCAAGAAAGTTGTCAAGGATATGGGATTCCGTCATTGTGCAGTAGGATATAGTATTGATTTGTATAGAAAGTGTATGTCTACATTTAACAGTCTTACAGATCGTTCATATGGCAAGACTGAACGCCAATTTATACGTGCTGATTTGATTCCGAAAAGCCTCGGATTTTTCGATAGAACATATCCGACAATGTGAGGCTCGCGTCGATGCCTCAACCGCAGCCTCATCATATACGAGGGCTTTCGACCCCTGCTACTATCATTTTGAATATAATTACTGGTGATCCCTGACTAAGTTGCAGCCGTCTTGGTTATCTTGATTGGTGCCAGGTATGCGACCACAATCCTCTCAGCCTTGTCATCTAAACGTCTCACCGGTTTGGATCCAACGAGAAAATGCACCGGCTGCACACAGCCCGCTCAACGCAATATTAGTATTCTATTTTCAAAAAATTTGGTTGGTAATGGGAAGACGGGTACGTAAATTGGGCATTTTTACTAGACGCGAGATTTACTTAGTATCCGGTTTTATTAAGCAACAAACTCAAAGAGACCTCGTAGCCTTTTCCAAGGCCTTGCAGCTAGATAGAAATCCCCAATCTCGACACAATTGCCACTCAGAACTCTGCTGAGTGAATGCAGGGCTATCAGTCGTACAACCGTCATTTAGCATGATGCAATCAAATCCCTTCATCTGTGCATCATATAAAGTTGACAAAACACACTGATCAGTATTCATACCACAGAACAGTAGTGTCCGCAACCCATTTTCCTGAAGATACTTCGTACAATCAGTCATAGCCTCACACATTCCGGAATTTCTGTTTTTATGAAATAGAACATCTGGCAGTGCTGTACATTGGCTTTCGTCAAAAGCATTGGCAAGAGGCCCATGCAAGGCTGCGTTCCAAGTGCCTCTGAACAGCGCTCGTCCCGCATCTACAGTAACGCCATTTTCCAGAGTCACCTCGCCTAATTCGTCACCGAGTCCCATCGAACCCCGGCTCTCGCCACATTGAATAAACTCCTTCGCACTTGCTGTGTTTCTTAGGCCGAATGGAATGCCATAATCTGAGCCCCGACTTTTTGATTTCCAGCCGAAACCACGTATGTATGCTGGCGGCATAGTTTTGAGATCTTCGTCTGTAAGCCCCCAATTCAACCACACAACTTGTATTTTGGCTTTCCTGGCAGCAGAAATCCCATATTGCAGCAGGATCTTCTCTGCCTCGAACAGATCTGGGAGCAAGTCGTCACGCAAAGCACTGCTCAAAGAGTAATTTTGAAAGTCAATAACAATCAGCGCAGTCTTTGCTGGATCGATCGTGACATTGCTAATTTCACATTCGAGATGTAGAACGGTCTTTATTGGTTCCGAGTCCGTACTTGAGGGATGTGATAGATCAAAGCCGGCTTTCGATGACCAAAGCCAAAAATTGTCAGGTGAGCCCAAGACCGTCTTTTTTTCTTCGGAACTAGCAGCCATTGTAGAGACAATTTGTTATCTACTCTCCGGATACTGTAGGCTAGATATCAGGATCAAAGATCATCACACCACACCGCGACGTTTCACAAACCACCTTGGAAGCGGGGTGTACACAACATTGAACACGTCGAAGATTAGACGCTCGATATGTATTGGGTCCCTTTGACAATTGAAATGTAGGAGCAATGTAAAAGCGGGGTCAGTTCCCCTCCATTCTTCGTAGAGAGCAAGGTGGTGAGGCTGAGGCTCAACCGGTGTCAGACTTGTCACCGGTTGATCGTATTGTGTAGTCTGCTTCGCAGCCCCTTCTGAGAGCTAACTTTCATCATTCTTCATCGACCGGTAATTTCATACAGCATCCGACACGATGACATCGCGCGAGTAAGTCAACCGTAGGCTACCAAACAAATTTGTAGAGCATTACTGAGAGATATTAACGTCTTGCAGTGTGTTGCTATTTTGCCAGCAATGGCAAAGTAGACTGCATTCTGTGTCTGGTTCCCTAGAGCGTGACGACTTTCGTTATGTATCGGCATTCAAATCGTGGGAAGAAGCCCATGAGCAAATTATCAGAGCCCAGGAAAACATCGTACATCAAGCGATCTCCCAGGAGTTTGCGATGTTTTTGCCTAGCTTTGCGAACCTGAAGTCATTTGTTGAGAATCTTTCGGTGCAAGTCAGCCCGCGGAATGTTGAAACGTCCATCATATGGGGCCTCATTGGCCTCATTACTAAGGTATCCTTCGATTTGCCACTGTTCTGTCGCGAAACTGATCGAATTCCGCTAGCTCTGTCACGATGAAGGCGATGGCGCATCGCGTATACCCGGAATGTTGCATGATATTTGTCTGAAGATTGAGATCCTGAACAACTACCGTGAAAGTACAGGAAGGTCTGTGCCTCAAATACAAGAAGTTTCGTTCTCGATTGCGCTTGGACTATTGTTCTTTCTCTCACGAATTGTCACTTTTATGCGCGGTGACCAATGGTACGAAAGTTCAAGTATGTCACAATTTGGTGTCTCGAATCCTCAAAATGAATGGCGGACTAATCGTAAAATAGAGGGCCTATCAAAGGAGCAATGGGAACCCCTGGAGCTACAATACAACTCTCTTATCCGGGAAATTGATAACTCAATGTCTCGCATCGAGCGAGCATTTAGCACGACCAAACGAGCTGCTCCAAAATTCGATGTCGATGATATACTTCAACTCCAATCCATGCTTGCTTTATCCCCTAAACCCGGTTTGATGTCGCCTCAAGCCCTGGATCGATCAAATGAGGTGGCCAAACTACCATGCATTATTCCACCTCCTTTTAGGATTCCTCGCTTCTTCAATCGTACAGATGTTATGGCGAAGATGGAAGGGTTCTTCGGCGACCAAGATACCGATCATTCCTTTCGATCCATCGCGCTTTATGGTCTAGGTGGGGTTGGCAAAAGCTCTGTTGCGCTTGAATATGCGGAGAGGAGACTGAGAAATGGTGAATTGGACGCTATGTTTTGGATCCCTAGCGAGAAGGCAGTCACTATCCGACAGTCATTCACTGAGATTGCTCTGCGTCTCAAATTGCCAGACGCACGGCCCATGGATCATGACGAGAATTATGAAATCGTTTTGAATTGGCTTCGGCATACCAGTAAGTAGGAACCCTTAGCCAACTTGCTCAGTGTTGACTATACATAGGATGTAGATGGCTTATAATCTATGACAATGTCGAATCTTTGGATTTACTTCTATCATACTGGCCCGTAGCAAGTCGCGGTCAAGCTATTATTACCAGCCGTAATAACAAATTCGCATTTGAACCAGCCGAAGGAGGAATAGAGATTCACTCATGGGACTCCGAAACTGGCTCTCAATTCCTCCTGCATCTTCTATCCACGGATATAGGAGATGAGCTGAGTATAGCTGATATCAAATCCGCTGACCAGCTAGCTGAAAAGTTGAGCGGGCATGCTCTTGCACTTTCGCACATGGCAGGTCTAATACATCGACGTTCTTGGTCGATTTCCGAGTTTATGGACATTTACAAGAAGCAGCCGCAAAAGATGCATGGAATTTCCGGAAACACGTCTATCAACGCTCTGTGGGATATATCCTTTAATTCGCTTGATCACAAGAGCCGAGAGATCTTAGGTGTTTTGAGCTTCACGGCTCCCGAGGCCATTCCACAAGCGCTTTTCGAAGCAGAGTCTGAAGCTGGTCTACCTGAGCCTCTCAGGTTTTGCGCTGACAACTTAGTGTAAGTCGTTTGGAAAAGAATGTTCTTACTATGAATCTAATTTTTTCTATAGGTTCTGGGACGCAATAGATGACCTCCTTTCTCGAGCTCTTATCAAGAGAGACAAAAAGACAAAGTCATTTTCGCTGCATAGGCTAGTGCAGACATCATTCAAATACTTCCTGACTCCAGAGCAGAGACAAAGATCGTTCAACAATGCTGCCATTTTAGTCCATACAGCCTATCCCAAACTCGACGGCGTATCGCAGCTGTATCAAATGTGGAGCCGCTGCAGGGATCTACTGCCACACGTTATCAGTCTGAAAGATGAATTTCGTGAAGAGAAAAGCACCACTCCTGCCTTCACCGCCCCATGGCAGTTTTGCGACCTCAATAACCTGTGTGAAAGGTATGTTGACACTTGAGATTCATGAAGACGTGGCTAAGAGAATCTGCAGATATCTACTAGAGACCAACTTGTATAAAGAGCTCGAAGATCTACTTGAGGTGGATCAAATGGCTTTAGACACAGTACCGATCGAGGAACAAACCAATGACATGCCTTCATCAATAACCTCATATAAAGGTCAGTTATACGTTCGCACAGGAAAGGCTATCGAAGGTATGAAGATATTGAAGAAATCTTACGACATACGAGCCGGAGCTGTACCCGAAGATGTAAGGGAAACAGCATGGGCACTAGAGAATGCAGGTAATGGAATAGCCACGACCAATGCACTTGACGAGGCGATAACTTGGCTTGAGCGATCTATTGCTACTTGGCTGAGATGGGCTGAGACAGAAGGTCCCGAAAAGGGAGTCTATCCGGCGGTCCTCAAGAAGAGCTACGGCATGATTCTTGTCTGGGCCGGGCAGTACAAGAAAGCTAGGACAGTCCTGGAGGAAGGAATTCAACAAATTGAGTCGACTACGCCATATAACTGGGCAATGGCTGCCTAGTAAGTTATGTCTCGTCCGAACAATAAATGGCACACTAACAGAAATGAATAGCACGCATTTTGCGCTCGGCACGTTGGACCGGCTTGAACGCAACTACGATGCTTCAGAATCTCATTTTATGCAAGCACAGAACATGTGGACTCAAGGAGACCAACTACGTAACGATCCTTTTAATGCGGCTTGCATATATCGGATGGGCTGTGTAGCACTTGATCAGGGTAATTTGGAAGGCTCAATGTAAGCGTCCGCGCCAGCTAGAAATTTATGCTTTTCTAATATCCTTTAGCAAACACTTCAGGGATGCTATGATCCTTACAGATAGGCGCAAGACCACTCTTCGGGCAGAGCATGCAAGGTGTCTGTTCAAATTGTCCGAAGCCTTTGCACAAGAACCCCGACATGAGTTAGAGGCAGATGGGCTTCGAACTGAAGCAGAATCTTTGCTGCGCGAGATTGATCCGGAGATTGTAGACTGCGGGATAGAGCTTGCCTATGACTCGAAAGTCAATATACAATGGCGTTGATCGAGTGGAAATCATGCACCAAATGTGGTCAACTTACGTGCTCGAACCCTAAGGCTGAATGGGATGAAGCTGGGTCTAAAGTTCCCTTAGTATTTCCACGATTTGCAGAGTTTTCTCAAAATTGAGATTTCATTAGACATTCAATAGTTTGACCTCTGCTAGCGTTGGATCCTCTCGAATATTTAAAGTGGCTTTCTCCATTTTTTGTACAACTCACGCGGAAAATTCTACGAGAAAATCAACGTACTTTCCAAGTGAAACCGGTGGGGTAAAGTTTTCAGCGCTGATGTTTTGTGGTCCGAAGACTGCATCTCGTTAAAGCCTCAATAATACCAACCAAGTAGGAGCGCGAGACATCCACATCCGAGCTCGATAAGACGATGACATTGACAGAACTTTTTGCAACAAGGTGAACAGGTATGCTGCAACATATACTCTCTTCTGAAGATATCTGGCCTGGAGGGATTCCCTCGACTGTCCGACCTCACCTAGGTGACGATTTGTCTGAGGATGATCTGAAAAAGGAATCGAAAGGCTGGTGTCAATTCGCTCAGGAATTCTTTGACCCATAACCATATTTTGGTTGATTTGTAGAAGATAAAGACTAATACAAATAGGAACAAGAGTTCTAGCACCGATCTCAACGAGGAGATGCAACAACGGCGAGTGCTCATTGAAAGGTGGGCATCTGCAGATGAAAGATTCCGAGATGTAAAGGATTATGTTTTATTTCCATGAGATTCTTTTAAACTGATTGTATCCAGTCTTATCACCGCCACGCACTCCTGCGAGATTCGCCACTAGAATACCCTCCAATCTTTTTCCGATTTCCATCCCTAATCAAAAGCGCTTTGTCTGCTTAGCTCCGGTAGGTAGGGAACAGCATCCAGAAAACTATAAGCATCTTCTCTAAAAGTTCTTATACTTATCTATAACCATGACAATTCAATGTCCCACCCGATGAGTCATTATGGTGACTGGGACTCTAGCCCTATCCTAGCTATAATAATTAATCCATCATCTACGGTAGCAGGTGACCTAAGTTTTAGTTCCTACCGAGACCTATTAATCAATTACTACCTACACCCTGCAGATTTCTGCGCAGTCTCTATGACCCTTTTAGGAATGGTCATATTTCCTAAGATATCTCCATGGGAGTTTACTGTTGTAGACTAAAGGAGTATAAGTGAAGGCCGATTGACGATGATGAATTTCATATTTAATGGAAATGCTAAAAGTTATGCCCTACTACGGCCTTGGAGAATGATTGGGGCGGGGCGATGCTCTATCGGAAGGTAGAGTGTATGTCTTTAGAAGAGGTTCTTGGAGGAGATGAATCGAGATGGACAGATGAGCAATTGAATAAACCGTGAGAACTCTTCACACTCGGAGGTTCAGTGGAGAGAACTAACATCAAAGCACGAAGAATGGATACCGATCAACCACTTATTGGTATTTTGCACTCCGCTCATCAAAGAGGAGAGCTTGAATATGACTCATACTCTCCAGATGACTGGGCACGTCAGTTAAAGGATTTTGCACTTGGGTATTTAGATATGGAAGCCCAGGACCGCGAGACCGACTATGACCTCACCAAACTATTGGGATGCTGGCGGATTTGCGAATTCCCTCAACGCTCCTGTGAGAAAGCCGGGCTCATGGATGAGGGCAGATGGTTATCTCCTCATATCGGGAATTGATAGGCTCACCAATAACTCCAGAGAGTACTCGCATGGAAAATTTGTGCAATCATGATTATGCAGTTAAATCCAAGGGGAATAGGTCAGAAGCATTCAATAGAACTTCTTTCTGACTGAATACAATGTGAAAAGCTTCGAACTCCGTCTGGAAAGTAGGTTAGCTGAGCTCTTTGCTCATGACCGACATTTTGAACAACCACGGAAGAATATTGATGAAATCAGTTAATACATAAGTTGTTAGGCTGTTATTATATGGATCAAATTTTCGGGTTTGTTGCTGGTAACACAAGGAAATAAGTCACTTAGGCAAAGAAGATGTCTAGATGTCCGATCAATTCTATCAGCAATTTACATATGTTTATATCTGCCTAGATAAGTAGTAGATAATCTATATATACGGTTAAGTTTTTAGCTAATGCTACTCATAAAACAGGTCTCTCAAGACAAAGTTATATTGAGTTGTAAGTTCACTTTTCTCCACTGTCATATCTATTCCTCGTGGCACTGGAGTAGTTTGTGAAGAGCTTCCCGTGAATCTTCATCTAGAACGTCCACTGTAGCGCCATTCTCAATCAACATCCTTACTAGCACCGCATCTTTATTGGCGATAGCCAACAATAGGGCTGTCTTGCCATATTTGTCCATTAAATCTAGCACAGCACCATTTTCAATCAACATTTTTACAATCGACGTGTGTCCTCCACGTGCTGCGAATAATAGCGGCGTCCAGTTTTGTACATCTATTGAATCCGGCACAGCTCCATTCTTAAGTAACATCTCCACCACCACCGTGTGTCCCCCACGTGCTGCGAATAATAGTGGTGTCCGGTTTGCTAGATCCATTGAATCTGAGGCAGCGCCATTCTCAATTAACATCTCTACCACCGCCGTGCATCCTCTCTCTGCTGCATATGATAGTGGTGTCCGGTTTGCTTCATCCATTGAATCTGGCGCAGCACCATTCTCAATCAATATGTTTACCACTGCCTTATGTCCTCGTATTGCAGCGTAGAAAAGCGGTGTCCAGCCAAGATCAGATTCTGAGTCCATCGCAGCTCCATTTCCGATTAGTATCTTGACTATTGTCTCATTTCCACAAGATGAAGCCCAACATAGTGCTGTACGTCCACATATATCCCTCGAATTCACCGCGGCACCACTCCTAATCAGAACTTTCACCGCTGCCTCGTGTCCATATCGCGCAGCGATTGACAATGCTGTCCAGCGGTTTTCATCCGCTAAGTCCACTACTGCACCACTCTGAATCAGTAATTTCACCACTGCGTCGTATCCATTTCGCGCCGCGCTTGCTATCGGCGACGGCTGATATGGATCTTCCCAAGTTAGTGCAACACCACCGTCAATCAGAATCTTCACCACTGCCTCATACCCATTTCTTGCAGCCCATAAAAGGGGTGTATAGCCCATCTCGTCTTTCTGATTTAGATCCAATTCTGTCTGTTGCAGATGCAGGATCATTTTTTCAAGACCAAAGAATGCTGCAACATGAGTGGGCAACATCACGTCTTTTGAGTAGCGACTTATTCCACGATGCATTTCCCAGTATAGTAGGTCCAAGATCGTCGAAATATTTGGCCATCTACCATCCAAGTATTCTTTGCCAAGTTCAAATGCAGCGCCTGGGCATTGTCCACTTCTTCGAAGGTGATGACCCCATTGTGTTGCGGCATAAGCCAACAGTGCTCCTGTCGTTCCATTGTCTCCGCCTGCTGAATAGGAATATGTGACTGAAAAGAACAAACCTGGAGAAGAGGGGATTGTAATTAGAGGGGAAATTTTTAGAAAAGTAAGGCAAGTGCACGCTATTTTGCTATGCCATTGCTCTTTACTCAGATCAAAGATTTCTTTTTGCTGAAGGAGGTATTCTTGAAGAGAATAATGAACCAAGCGAACGGTCGATGTTTCTCGATCCATCACTACCAAGCCATGACAACAGTTGAGTAGTGTTTCTCTAATAGGCATACCTCTCGGGTTAAAATGACTATCACCATCCTTTATTGCAAGCGAGCATAAAAGCACATCCATCTCTAAGGGCCGCCCTGCTAAATGGACCCATGCAATGATCGTCGCTGCGCGTTCTGACAGTGTAACTGGTTGTTGTTGTATTCTGATCATTGTTCCAGCGAAGGCCTCGCCCAGATTTAATGGCAAATTTTGCAAAACTTCTTCGCGATCGCGCATGGTTGTGGCTTGGAGAACGGCCTGAACTTGTAATATGGGCAATAGAAATCTAAGCCACCATCAATATTATCAGTTCTGGTATGGGAGTGAAGTGTTATTTTACTGACATTCTCTTGGCTGAATAGATTACTTTGTCAATTATCAGGTTTCTCAATGTTTCATCCATAGCCTCCGGTTCTAAATCGTTGGGTCCTCCGATTTCATTTTGGACAAATCTTCGTATGTCTTTATCGTGCGCTTCGATGATGATGCCAGTATCTGTTTTGGCAAATTTTTGAATGATACTCTGTACATGTGGACGACCAGTCAGGAAAATGTGGATAGCCGAAGGTACGTCACATAACCGCCTTAAGAGCCCTTCTAGATATTTAGGTTGCAGTTCGTCAAGTGCATCTAGGCAAATGTACACTCTAGGGAACTGCGCACAGATTGTCCGAAGTAGTTCACTTGCATCTATCAAGTCTAGTGGTCTGCTTTGACTGACTCGCTGCTCATAAATCTCCAAGACAGCTGCTGGAATTTCGGGTAGAGATTTCAAAAGTTGGACCAACATTGCACCGAGTATATTTTCGATTGTCTGTTCTCTCTGGTCTCTATAGTCGCAGTATGTATATCCCAGTCCTATCTGCGAATCACAATCTATGAGACTCAGGTGATCAATCACGAGAGACCTGTTTTCCAGGTTAGTCTGTGCCTAGCTATGTACATAAACCATTTCCTACTCACGCGATGATGGTTTTACCGGCTCCTGGGTCTCCATAGCAAGGGAATATTTGGCACTTCGCTTCTCCTGACGACCAATCACGAAATTTTGGGTCTTCGAGAAACCAATGACCTGTACCTTCAACTCGCTTCTTTCGGTTCTCAACATGTCGCGCTGATGAGTTCAGTGGAGACAACCACTTGAAAAGAGCTTGTTGCTGCTGGCTTAGATGTTGTTGTGTTTGACTCGACGCGATTTCGTTTAAGGTTCCTTGGACTATAAATACGCGAATCAACAATAGTTCCATGCGTTACCAAATCGTAGCTGTACAACACGGCACTATCGTCATTATATCAAGCGCTTCAGCGGATAACTAACCTTCTTGCAACACGTCCTTTATACGACGTTCGCCTCGGAGCTCAATTGGCTGAACAAACACCAAAAGTTCTTTCGCGTACGCTGCCGCCACTACTGCTGCATGCTCTTGCCAGGCTTCATTTTTATGGGAATCCGAGTAATCGCAGATGCCCCGAATAACCAAGCACGGGAAGCTGTTCACTATCCCAGCGGCCTCCATCTCGACGCAAAGGACATTGCCGCCAAGGTCCTTGTTCAACTTGTCCCGATATTTGGAATCCTTGATAACTTGATTTCCAGATGCGATGAGGCCGTAGTGTACAAGCATGCTGCGAGGTTTCCGTTTCAATGCCTTCGATTTGTCGCAGTGTTTACAAGGATCCATTTCATCGTCTCCTTCGACTTCATCTTCGTCTTCTTCCTCATTATCATCCCTCTTTCTTTTAGGGGTGACATGATCGTAGTTTGCCTTGTAGCAAACGTCCACAAGTGAGTCCGACCGAAGATATTTTTCAGCCGCCCTAGGATATCGGTTCTTGAAATCATCGAGATACTTTGAGATCTTCGATTCGTATAATTCATTGTCTGTCTTCAACTTCGCCAACGCCGTTAAGACAGCTTTGGGTGGATTATTCAACGCCCCCGTCCGCTCAAATTCGCCGCCTTGTTTTGCTTTGCCCATGTCCCATTGCACCACGCCTGGAAACTGGCCTTCTGGTCTACCAACAACGACATCGCCTAATCGCACTTTATTCGACGGAATGCCGCCTCCAATTCCTACCATCAAGCAGAATCTGACGGATGGAAAAGTCCCAGAAAGCAGCGTCACAACATTCGCTGCTGAATTGGTGCCGTATCTGCCATCTGGGAGACAAGCTATGACGATGTCGTGATTAGCGATGGACCCAAGGGTGTACGTGTTGCTGTCGTGAGGTGGATTTGGCAAGTCACCATGTCTCTTGTCTAGCATGGCAGTTGCGGCGGTCTGCTCCTTTGACAGCGCGCAGATCCATCCCACTGTATAGTCGGCATGGGTTTTTGTTTCGATCCCTGTAGCCATCTTCAGCGCAGCCGGCCGAAAGAAGATATTGTCCCAGATTTGAGCTACAATCCTGTATTTCCTGCAGCTATATGGGGTAGATGCCGAAGTTCAGCTGATAAGGCATTTTGAATCACGATATCTTTTCTGATTTAGAAAACGTCTCAGATTCAGAATCTCTAGCTCAGGTCTGGCAAGGCTGAAAAGGCCCTCTTAGCATTGCTCTAAAGGTGGCTGACGTGGTCTGTGCGAACTGGCGCACAATGGAGGCGCATATGCGCCTTCATGGCTGACATATCACGTGCAGGCCAATTCCCGAGAAAGAAACAATAGACTAGCCTCACGAGGCAGCAATGTGTTAAGAGTCGGCAGGGAAAGTTTGAAGATTGAATTCGAAGCTATTCAATCGACCCACTTGCCAATCAATACATCTCAGCCCTAACCCTTTTGAGGCACGTGATCTGAGACGACTTCCGGCAATACGGAAGTAGATATATCCGATGGATGTATTTCTCGGGACGGAGCACTATGTATTATGTAGACAACCCCACTTCATGGGACGTGATTTCTAATGCTTGGTTAAGCAAATTTGCAATCTTTTTTTTGCTGTGTCAGTCAGCGGGGGAATTCCGCTCTCTTCTAAGCAGTACTATGTAAGCAGGTGCCTGGTAAATGCATTACAATACGTCCTTGATAAACTTTAATATAATTGGCGCTAAAGTATGTAAATCATTGTCAGCTGCAGCTCTCATTTGTCAATTGGAAGAGATAAGACCGCCTTGTTTCTAATTCTTTCTACGTACATAAGAAATACAACAAATTACCATAACATCGTCTACTACTTAGTAACGAGAGCGTCTTATCGGAATTACGGATATCGTACTCAAATTACAACATCCGACAAAATCTCAGTATTTTCTGACGACATTTGCGAATATTTCTACTCCATTGGCCATCACATCCTGTCAAATACCACGTCTGCATCCATTGGAACACTTTTTTTCCTCAACCCTCCATCATTCATCATTCACAATGGCTCTGGCGTCTAGCTCCACTCCTCTTCGATTGCTTTCCATGTCCACCCTGAGACGTGGGACTGCCATCAAGGCCACGACTATATCTACTCCCCTTCGCGCCCCTCTGTCTCCATCTTTTTCACTTCATCTCAAACCCATCTCTTCTGCAAGACAATTTTCTGCCTCGCACTCAGCCTTCTTCAACAAATCAACCACCGCAATGGCTCCTAACACTCAGACTCTCATTGAAGCCGCCAAAAGCAGACGCACATACTATAACCTCGGCCGCAACTCCAAGGTCCCGGACTCCGAGATTGTCGAATTGGTTAACCAGGCCATCCTACACATCCCCAGCTCCTTCAACACACAATCTACCCGTCTCGTTGTTGCGCTGAACGGCGACCATGAGAAAGTGTGGGATATTGCTGTAGAGGCTTTCCAGCCTCTTGTTGCGTCTGGCGCTGTACCACAGGAGGTTTTTGATAAGCAGACTAAGCCTAAACTTGATGCTTTCAAGGCTGCTTACGGAACTGTAAGTTTGTTCCACTGAGACTAGAAAGGGCGAATAGCTAATGTGGTGTTTTGTAGATCCTCTTTTACGAAGACCCCGCTCACATCAAGCCCTATGCCGAGAAGTTCCCTGCTTTTGGCGACAAGTTCCCTGAATGGGCTGAGCACTCCAACGCCATGCACCAGTGGTTCCGTATGTTTTCCCTTTCATCTACCTTCATAGCCATTGAATACAAGACTGACATACATCCTATAGTCTGGGCCGGTCTCGAGACCCTCGGCTTCGGCGCCAACCTTCAACATTACAACCCTCTGATTGATGCCAGCTTAGCCAAGACTTTCAACGTTCCTAGCGAGTGGAACCTCAAGGCTCAGCTCGTCTTTGGTTCTATTGAATCTCCTGCAGGCGAGAAGCAATTCAAGCCTGTCGAGGAGCGTGTCAAGGTTTTCGGCGCTCAGTAAGTGGGTGTATAGATTATAGATATGTTTTCATGCGAGCATTATTGTAAATAGCGAATCTTTTGAGGAGAAAAAGACTTCCTGACGTTGTTTTATTCTCCATGCAGTTTCAGAAACCCCAGTTTTCTTTGATCACTCCTTTCTGGAATGTAGCAGGCGACGTATATTGTGGGGATGAGACGACATAACCCATAAACACCGATCGAACCATATATCAACCCAACGCAACAAGAACGGTATGAATCAAGCTATCTCCTCTTCTCCTCCTTCGACCCCTCTCCGTAGCCCTGCCCGTAATATCTCCCCGGCGCAAAGTTGTATTCATCGTCCAGATTGCTTTTAGCTTTCATTAACGGCGCCCAATCAGTTGTCCATTTGCTGTGTATTTGATGTTTCCAGCGGCCAAAGAACGATTTTGTTGATGAAGAGGAGGATGAGCGCGATGGTTGGTTTGTGGTAGATGACGGTTGTCCGGTGGTGGTGGTTGTCGGGGCTGGTTCGGTCATTTTGTAGACGTGTATTAGATTATGGACGGCGGAAGGTTTCTCGACAGGTGTTGATCTTGAAGGAATTTATTTAAGGTTCTTGGAATGATATGATTGAATGTGCCACAATAATCAATGGTTTGGATAAAAATCGTCGGTTAACCCTATGTGAACCGATACCTAGAAGATCCGTTCGGCCGGGTAAGATCTCTATTTATATAGCATCGCAAAAAACCTTTTAAGGAAATTCTCTGAGAACTAAAATAATGTGAAATGTTTGCTGTTTCCTCATTGAGTAGATCTACTGAATGACCAGGCACGAGTGATGCTATATGACGTTCCTGATTGATGGTACATCGAGCGGCAATTTCTCGGCTTCGGAACAGTCTGCCGTGTGGCCTTGCCACCATCAGGCTTTTCATTCGTTCTCCAGTGTTTCCTTTCTGGTAATCAGCTATTGAGTTTGACGTGACTAGCTCGCATTGGTGAGAAGCTTTAGTCGATGTAAACAGCGGCTTTGACTGGTTCGATTGGAAGAATGTCTGTAATTCAGCTTCCCTTGATGGATAGTGCTCCGTACTCTAGATCAGACAGGACAGTGAAATCGTATTTTCGTTCGAACCGGGAAATAGTCTCATACTGCCTCCTATCCTTGATGGGTCGTAACTAGTCATGGAGCAGTGTATTAATGGGGAAGAAAAGGTCGAGATGGAAGAACGACAACGAAAGAGCCCCACAGTGAGAACGGCTCCTTCCGAGTTAGTTAAGCTTCTTTCCATGTGCAACCAACCCAATTCCAACCTCACCTTCTTCCAACCTCACACCTCAAATGACTCGCCATTGATAGATCATGTCAGAGACTAGCTATAATCGAAGTCCGCATCGCCATGATTACCCACACATTCCGCGTCGTAAGCGCGTCGGTCTGGCCTGTGAGCCATGTAGGTAGGTGATCCCCCTTGTTTCCTGACAAATATGATCCTCATGTGTTCTCAGAAGGAAAAAGACAAAATGCCCGGGTGAACAACCTGTCTGCTCGCATTGTGCAAGGCTTCATCAGACGTGTACATACATTTCAAGTCGACGCGTTTCACAGAGAGTCTCGAGATCTCCGGCCATTGATGCTCGCTCGGAAAGTTCGACTGACGGGCCTCCGGGAGTGGTATGCTCTTCGTTTCTCAAACCTCATATTCTACTAAGCTTCTGGGCTATAGGAACGTCGTCTTGGGCACTTGGAGGCTCAGATGACACGTGTTTTAAACAGCCTAGAGTAAGTCATTAAGTTTCGAAGCATTATGCTGTAATTTTGATCGAATGATTGTACATCTAGGCGCGGTGAGCCACAACAAAGCCAAGCGGATGTTTCTTTTTATCAGGAACAAGCAGCTCCTTCTTTGCCCCTCTGGGAGAGCCACACAGAAGCTTCTCTTCCGCCGTGGGAAAAGGTGCTCGAAATTGCGCAAGCATTCTTGATATACTGCGACTGCCAACCACTTCCATTATTCCATCGACAAACTTTTCTGGCGACACTAGGTCATCGAGATCCTGAAATTGTATATGCCATGTTAGCATTAGCCATCAGATTCTGCTCATCTGATGTGCTGGACGCAGACGGCAATGCAACTTCACTCCATGCCGTGGTGCCGTCTTATGTTCAAGCTGCGCGTGAACGTGTCATAAAACGTGTCCTTAGTGGTCCTGTCGAGATATCTACACTCCAAGCTCTATGCTTATTGAGCATGGTCGACTATACAAGTATGCTTTCTTTGTGGAATGGATTAGAAATCAGCTGACAGTGCAAGATGGCAACGTTCATCAAGCTACGATACTTAGCAGCCTATCTATGAATCTAGCCAGGTGTGCCAATCTTGCGTATGAACCGACCGCGACACATAACCATGTCGTCAGGGAAGAGCGCCGCAGATGTTTCTGGAGCATCTGTCTGCTGCGACGATTTCACGGAGAAGATGTGCACGTCCTCGACTTTGCAAGTCCAGAAAATCTGGCAAAGTATCCTAAAGGTACTGGAATTGCCCCCGACATTACCAAAACTGCCAATCCTGGGGTCGAAGTACGAATCGCCAAAGGGATGAAAGATGAAGGCATTGTAGCATACTATCTACAACTAAGCGAGACATTTTCTCGGACAGCAGGATACGTCAAACGCCGGGGAAAGTCGAATGGCTTCTTGCCATGGTCACCGGAATCGGAGTACTCCAAAATAATAGCCCTACAAATGGACAGCGAAACACGCGTTCCATATATTCATCGCTTCAAGTTTTCAGGTATTCCCGACAGATCAGTAGATGACTTGCAGTCTAATCGTGACTACTGGGGCCCTTGGTTTTTCAATCAATTCATGTACCATACGATTCTATGTCTTCTCAACCATCCGCTTTTGCTATCTCTGAGTCTTCGCAATCATCGAAGCACTATTCCAGAAATCTTCATACAGCACTCTTCAGACATGATATCGACGCATACCTCATGGATTGTTTACTTTGTGAGGTATTTTGAGGAAAAGGGATTTCGCATATCCGATCCATTCTTGGGATACTGCGCTGCTGTCGTGGCGACTATCGAGCTACAGCTCAGCTTTACCGAGGATGAAGGGATCCGAAAAGACAAACAGGAACGTTTCGAGAGCTGTCTGAACTTTGTGCAAGATTTAGGAAAGGAATGGCCACACATGGCTAAAATGGTATGCTCAATTTAAACGTGTCAAAATACTTACTAATCAAGTAATAGGCGGAAAAATTACAAGCTTTGAATGGAGCTGTGTCGGCGTCCTATGTTCCTTACACCCGGACACAAGACAAAAGTCTTGTCATTGATTTATCTCGATTCTGGGAGATACTTGATTATTCTTCCGGCTTTTCCGACGAGAGGAGCAGCTTGTTCGGATCAACATTGTTCTCAGAAAGCGGCAACAAGGCGCACGAGGTTTCCAGCACGACGCCTCTGCCGGAACCGACCAGGATAAGGGTTTCACGACGAACTTCGCATATTCCTGGCAGTAGTGCCGCAGTCCCTCAAGAAATCGATCATACCGTTGATACCGGGATGCTTCCCACACAAATGGATATCTACGGAGATCAGTACTCCATGCTTGCCGAAAATTTCTTTGCCCAAGGGCAAGACTTTTTGCGCAATACGGAAGATTGGTTTACAACGGGAAATCTATGATACTTGGCTCCAGTCGTCTAATAATATCATCCATGTATATAAACTAACTATGCAATGGCTGTTTTCAGCTCGTTTACAAAGGTCCACACCTCGGTAAAGGTATTGTATAACGGCGCAGGAGCCACTCGGACGACGTCAGGCTGTCTCTTATCACAAATAATACTCGCATCCTCCAAGCGTTGAGCGACTTTGTCGAGAAGGCCTGGATTGAGCAACAAGCTCAATTGAGCACCTCTTGCGTTTGGATCCGAAGGGGTGATAATACGAAACTTTCTTGTTTCGTCTGTTGTTCCGGCAAGTAGCAAATATTCGAGATAATGTGTCAATCGTAAAGACCTGGCTCGAATCTGTGTAATGGAGGTCTCATTAAATACCGACAGCGAGGCACACAAAGCAGCCAAGTCGATGGCAGAGGGGTTTGAAACTTGGAAGCCGCCAGCGCCAGGAATTGGTTTGAATTCTTGAACACTTTAGCGAGGACGTTTGTCAAAAGGCGACTGGGGCAGACTTACTGTTATCCATTCTGAATCTCACCGATCGATCACCACCGTACCAACCCGTCAAGCGGTGACGGAATACTGGTTTATCCTCTCCCTGGCTATAATCTACAACACCATGTCGCTCATGCACGAAGATGCCACCGATTGCGCCCGGACCGGCATTTCCATACTTGTATGTGCACCATGCAGCAAAATCGACATTCCAGTCGTGCAATTTGACATCCACGTTTCCGTAAGCATGTGCAAGATCCCAGCCCACCATGATGCCGAGGGACTGGGCGTGCTTGGTGATTGTGGGAATGTCAAAGTATTGTCCACTGTAGTATTGGATACCTGGGAGCAACAGCAAAGCAGTTTCCGAGGCATGCTCGTCGATAATCGACAAGATCTTTTCGGTTGAAATGACATATTCACCTTCCTCAGGACCGATCAAGACCATTGAGTCGTTGGGATCAAGGCCGTGCCATGCAATTTGGGACTCAATCGCATACTGCATCACAATTAGCAAATCAACCCTTTTACAACCACTTAGAGTGGCGATACTTACATGATCACTAGGAAAAGCCTTCCAATCCAACAAAATCTTATGCTTGCTCTCCGTCGGCTTATAGAAACTAGCCAACAACATGTGCAAATTCGCCGTCAACGTCCCCATGGCCGCAACCTCTTCCGGATTCGCACCCACAATCTTTGACATGTCACCCGCAGCCTGCTCAGCCAACAGCTGCCACGATCTCAACGGCGAATCCTCAAGATCTCTAAAATGACCAAGAACACCAATCGAAGACCACGTATCCAATTGCGCTTCTAGATACTTAGTCATAGCGCGCGGCTGAAGTCCGAGAGAATTGCCGCAAAAGTATATACTTTCATCTTGCGATAGACCTGGTTTTGCCAGTTTGGTGGCTTTCAGATTTGCTTTTGAAGGGATGATGAATTTCGAGCGGAAAGATGACAAAGGGTCTGCTTTGTCAAGGGTTTCTGCGTATGCCTTGGTAATGGCGTCGCTGGAGTAGGATGGAGGTGTGAATTTTGTGCTTGCCATTTTGTTGGCGGTTGTTTCTTCAGAGTTAGAAGAGACAGGTGTTATCAATGAGGGGGCCATTTTGTCCTATCTTCAGGTCGTTATGAATATCTCTCGACTATGAATCTTCACAACGAAGAGGGAAATAATCAAAGAACTTATTATCCACGATAATATCCCTATCAGAAAAGATTACTCTAAATCCCAAATTGATCATTGACGTATGTATCTCAGCCTTCGGCGTCACAATCCTACTAACAATTCCGTCGCAAAGATAGTGACCTCCCGAACCGTATCCGTTACCGTTTCCGCTTCCGTTCCCGCTTCCGTGCTATTCTCTGTTACCGCGAATTACCGTGCTTTGCCGTCTACCAAGCCCTAAAACGACGTCAGACGAAAATCCTGAATGTATGTACCAAAGATTACACAAAAAGAGCCAACCAACCATGACCCTAGGATCTTTATCTTTGATATGGGTACTCACGGGAATTTGGATATGCGACGGGATTTTGAGGTGGGTCTGGAATTGTATGATACGGGTTTGATAAAGACGTGATGTTGTTGGTCATATGGTTCACCGGCTTTGAGCGTAAAATTTGATAGCTTGAGTAAACAGTAGTCTTTTCTCCTTTGTTCTACAATCCAGTCGCTTGATTCGGTATATATCTGGTGGATATCAGGTCCGTCCGAACCAAGAAAGAAGTATCTAAATATCACCTTCACCCTTCGACACATAAAAACATTTTCCTATTTCATCCCTATCCATCATCATAGACCTCTGCCATCCTTGAATAGATACACATAACACGGCATAATGCTTAATATTCCATCACCACCAATCCCCCTCGACGAGTTCCGCGTCTCCTACGAAACCGGCTTCCTACCCATCAACACCACCAACAATAGAAAACTCCCTCTCCACAGACTCTCAAACCCATACTTCTCGCCCTGGGAAGATGTAATTTCTGMCCTGCCACAACTCATTCAGACCGGCGAGATAAGACAAAAGGTTCTTGACCTACCGGTCCTCTCTATCGAATATCTCGATGCACATGACGAAGCTGAGTGGCAGCGGGCGTACCTCGTGCTCGCTTTCCTGACTCATGCATACATATGGGGTGGTGAGAAAGCTGAAGATGTTCGCTCTCCCTTTTTTCTCCGTATCGAGAATGACATACTAATCAGAGATAGAAACTTCCACCAAGCATATCCCGCCCCTTCCTTGCAGTATCAGATCATCTCGAACTCCCTCCATGCGCAACATATGCAGCTCTCAATCTCTGGAACTTTACAACCATCAACATCGACAACAGCGAAGAGAATATAGACCTCACAAACCCAGATAACATATACACCATCAACTCCTTCACCGCAACCGACGACGAGCGCTGGTTCCTCGTCGTATCAGTCGCCATGGAAGCCTGCGGCGCAAAAATGATTCGTTTGGTGCTAGACAGTATCACCACTATCAACACCACCGCCGCCGCCGATGACAAAGATGGCATGACTACTGAGAGTACATCAAACCGCAACACTATTCTCACAAATCTGCTCAATGGGATGGGAGAGTGTATTGATGAGCTCGGCTGTATTCTAGAACGAATGTACGAACGCAACGATCCGATGGTGTTTTATCATCAAATCAGACCGCTGTTGGCCGGATCGAAGAATATGGGTGCCGCGGGACTGCCGAATGGCGTGTTCTATGATACTGGCGACGATACGGCGCGATGGCATCAATATAGCGGCGGAAGTAACGCGCAGAGTTCGCTGGTGCAGTTGATTGATATCGCGTTGGGGATTCAGCATATTGCCAGTGGGGAGGTGGAGGGTGAGAAGACGAGTAAGGATAAACATACTGCTTTCATGAAGGTACATTTTTCTCTCTTTATTTCCGTCTTACTAAGTCAAGGGTGAAGTGATGCTGATGTCCAGGGATGATAGGAAATGAGGAACTACATGCCCGGCCCCCATCGCCGGTTTCTAGAGTACATCGCCTCCATCGCCAACATTCGCCCTTATGCACTCAGTCTCCCCGCCTCGTCAGAGGTGCGACAAGCCTACAACGCCGTGGTCATGAAACTAGGCGGTTTCCGCGACAAACATATCCAGATTGTGTCCCGATATGTGATTTTGCCGGCGTCGCGACCTGTGCCGGAATCGTCAAAGTATAAGGATGTGGCGAAGAAGAATAGGGTTAATCTTGCGAGTGCGACGTCGGATACTGCAGCATATTCGTGGAATAAGCCGAGAGAAGAGAAAGTATTTTATGGGACTGGGGGGACGGATTTGATTCCGTTTTTAAAGGCGACGAGGGATGAGACGAAGGCTGCTGCGAGGTTTGCTGATTAGTTTATATATATCATAGGGTTTATGATAATAATCTTAACCTCAAATCATCTCTTCGTTGTTTGTAACTTAGTATATCGGGGCGCGGGCAGTCAGATGGGAGATAAATGCTTAGGCCGAATACTGAGATGTAGTCTAGTGCTCACACAGGCTGAAGCTACCAATTGCAAACATGTCACTCTGCTCATCCTTCACCGCTCTTCTTTCCTCCATCAGCTCCTCTCGGTACTGTTTTGCCTCCTCCATTGTAATTGGTAAATCATCCACATCCCCCAAAACCATCTGCTGCAATTCGACGGGCAGTTTCCTCTCTAGCAGAGTTGCGCGCAACTGATCCCTCTCTGTTACCCAGTCTGCCCTCTGAGGCGGCACATTCGCACTAGAAATAATTCGGATGTGTGGATCAACGAGAAACAGAGCGAGGATTTTGCGATGTCCCGGCTTGGTTTTGTCGAGAAGTTCAAAGGGGGCAACGCGATGTTGTAGCACGTTGGGGAAAGTGAGGAGACGGCCCTCGTGGCATGAGACGTCTCCTAGTTCTTGGGTTATAGGGCCGTCGCTCCAGGTAATTGTCTCAGGGCCGAAGCCATAGACTTGTTGTAGGAACTCATGTCGGCCTTGCTCGTACCCGACGTCGTCAAACGAATACTCATTCGCTCGTGTTCGGAATGAGAGGACACTGTCGGTGATGTTTTCGGTAGAGTAGTAGTAAATCGCCGTTGCGCAGATATGCTCATTCTACAATAGTGTGAGCGTTTGTTGTTTGATCATTGAGTAAAGCAGACTCACCAACTGTCCCTCTACATGCCATGTTCCACCCTCATACCGCGGCTTGTCTGGCGTCAATTCGATATTTGCCAACTTCACAATGATTTGCAACCCCTTTTCACGGAATAGGTTGCGTAGAGAAAGCTGCTCTCCCCATTTATAATGTTTCCGTTTCAATGACTGGAAATCTCCTTGCGGCTCAGGCTGTATTATTTCCTGTTTGGCCTGCCATGCGTCGTAGCGCTCCGGATCTTCCTCCCAATCAGGCTCCGGATCAGTGGGTGGTAGATACTCGACGCTCTCGTACGGAATTCTAGCCTTCGGATCACTGACCGCTTCGTGCAGGCTTTCGTCCCATAAGGGGATTATTTTGGCAATTACCTTCTCAATGACCTGGTAGAGGGCTTCGTGTTGCTGTGGATGTAGATTATTGATGTATGAAACGATGCGACATCCTTCAGCTTCATCGAATTCTACTTCACAGGGTAACCATTGAAAGCTGGTGCTGTACAGTTTGACTCTCCGATGACCCCATCCTGTCGAAGACAGCGTACCTTCTGGATCCTCGGGCTTGGGTAATGTCTCGGTCTTTCCGGACCAAGACAAGAAGCCATCACGGGTGAGAATCTCATCCCGCAAAATACGAGTGCGACCGTACACCACCGGGAACAAAGATGGATGCACCAGATCAACAACCCGCTGGTCAGATCCCGGGTGGTAATCTTTCTCTTCCTCTGGGACCTGCTCCAATGGAAGTACTGCCGTCTTGAGATCCTCCTGCAGTTCCTTAGAGATGGCGGCATCGGACCAGACAACGCCGGGATTGAATGCTGTCACCATTCCGCCATTCTCCTTGAGGCTTTCGGCCTTGTATTTGAGCTCGGCCCAGATCCATTCCAACATCTTTGGGGATACATCTGCGCCGCTGTCGACGATCTCTTTCGTCCACTTGTCTGTGATTTCAGTATTGTAAATCTGTGCCGTTAGCTGATTGGCCAGCAACAAAAATCAAATAGGGCATACCTTTTTGTTCCAGTCAGGCTTATCTGTGATGGAATTCATCATTCTCATCATGAGTATCTCTCGCTTCGTTCTGAGGAATCTATATCATCATAGTTTAGCGTCTTCAGTGCGAAAGCACATAGGCCTATCAGAAGAACGCACGAGAGATATCCGCCGCCATCAATCTGGTCCGCATCCAATGCACATGGGAAGATATCAAGGGACGAGGTGCCCTGTTGAGACTGTTAGAATAACCATCCCTTGATTGGTCAAAGTACTAACAGGCTTCCAATTCAACGGCAGCGTAAAACCCGGTAGGTCAAAGCGAGTTTCTTGCTGAATCGGTTGAGCAGCCATCTTTGCGATCGATTTCAATATCCGAGAAGAGAATGCGCGATTGTTGGAAAAAGTTGAAGACAGAAAATAATTAAACATTTCGACATTGACGGCCAGCTATCCACAATTTATATGTTTCTAGCTCAAGAATTAAGAGCCTCCAACTTTAACATGCTCAGGAGTTACTGTAGGCAGCTGGGCAGGCATCACTTGGCAGAACGCCACGGCGCTATTTGGCTTTCTATAAGCGAGCGTGGAGCACGAGGTGTTCCTGTATAACTCAACCTACGTATTGATAAAGGGTATGTTTGCCTCGATGCTAGTATAAGTTCAGTGGATGAAAGAGTGATTTGATTCAGTATCGCTTGTACGTATTGGTTGTCGGGAGCAAATCAGGAACCACTTGAGATTCCCTTGGTGTTTGGTGTGGGGTTTGTTTTCCTGAACTACCTATCCATACTATTGCACAAATTCGTGAGCAAGAGTATAGGTATCATATCTAGGCAGCAGCTAGAGCATTCCGATTGATTGTTACATCTACTAATACATCTATAGATTGAACTTTGCGTATCCGTCAACATATCATATCGGTGGATCTGGTGCAACGCGCAACTTTGAGCTTTGTATATCATCGCCAGAAACAATAATAAGGGTCAACTATTCAGCAGAGCTATAAGCAGACAGAATAAACCATTATGGATGTCCTCCCAGAGCTCTCCCCAGCCATAAAACTTGAATATCACGCCGAGGGCGGCGCCAACATCGTCTACCGCATCATCCATCCCTTCGCCGAGGACCAAGTCTTCGAGCCTCAACCATCCGAAATCCCACACTACGGCGCCTCAACACCTCCACCCACCGAAATCGACGACACCATCAACCCGGATATTGATGCCGATATCAACATAACAAGCGGCAAACTCCTCCGCCTACGCAAAAATGTCCGATATGGCCTTCCCTATCGCGACACGGCACAAGACTTTCAGAAAAAGATTCGTCCTTTATTTGGCGATGAGGAGTTGGTTGATCAGACTATGGTGCGCGTGCCACATTCTGTAATTCAGAGATGTAATGCCCATCTGAAAGAAAGAGAGCACCACAGAAAGAGACCTGCTATTCGATGTGGAGTTTATCTTGCTGAGGATGAGCCGTTGGGTATGCTTGTTACTGATATGACCACCTCCATCCCTCCTTCGACGGCGAATGTTGCAGAGACAGAGAGTATAGTCGAACTCAAGCCGAAATGGCTCATTCAATCCCCCTCCGCCCCGTCTAAAGCACGACGATGTCGTACCTGCGCCCTTCGAGACATGAAGCGCGCCGATACTCCTTCTCCCTCCGATTCCCGCAACTCTACATCCCCTCCTCTTCCAGTAATAATACCACCCGGAAAAGCGCAATTCTGCCCCTTGGATCTCACCTCCCCCAACAAGAAAGACATGCAACGCACAATACGGCACATTTTTCCATTCTTACTGCCCGAGAAAGTCGACATGATTGCCGATGCCTTGTATCAGCACCCTATACTCCAGAAACTGTTGTCGTTGCAGCGAATACATGACGAAGTTGGTCTGAACGGGCCATTACCTGGATCAAAGGACACGAATTTGTCGATGACGTTGAGGGATTGTTCTGTTTTTCTGAAGGTAACAGCCCGCAGCCCCCATGAGATATAAAACAGTTAAAGCTGATGAGATAGATCTTCCCTTCAACACATCCGAGCAACGAACAGCAGGCTAGAATAGACATCCGTCTCGGCGATCTCGATCTCAAGTCAGCCGCGAACGGCAAGGCGGAGTACTGGCTCAATATTGAGAAGAGGCTTATTGACGAAGGATGGTATATGGGTACACAAACGAGTCAGGCCGCGACGGAAGGGGAGTGTGCTCTAAGTCGTTGATACATAATTACTGAAGATACGCAAGCCTGATGTACGTAAATATCATTATCCATTCATAAATGTATCGAAGATTCTAACATCAATGGCTATAAATGACAATAATAATATACTACTCGAAATGGAGGAAATTAGATACGTAACCCGCCCAGCCATCATTCCACCCTTTCTATCATTCTCTCGGTACGACTCCAAGAGAATAAATGATCAGTAATTAAAACACAAGACGAATGAAGAACCCACATCCACCGGCACTTGATAGAAAACAAATCAACCCCGTCGAGTACTCTTCTTCATCATCTTTCGCTGTTCCTTCTCCTTCTCCCTCTCCAAAAACTTTCTCTGCTCCTCAGCTGTCATGCCACGCAGCAACCGCTCGCGTTCCTCCTTCTTGAGCTTCTCGGCCGCATATTTGCGCTCTTCAGCTTTCTCTTCTTCGTCTGCACGGCGTAGTTTGCGGATTTCTTCTTCGCGGGCGTTGCGCAGTTTGCGGGTTACTTCAGGACGCCAGTGGGCGCCGGAGACGAGGATGTCGGGGAGACGGAGGAAGTAGCTGTAGAGAGAAAGGGTGGATGCGTAGCCGTTGGAGGGGATGGTGAGGGAGAGTTGGATGCGTTTCTTGGGGACAGCCTCCTCGATTCTGGTATCGTTAGCTCTGAACATTAGGCCCTTGAAGTGAAAGAACTTACTTCAATGGCTTGTCGATAGGTTGATCGGTAATGATCAAGTACTCAAATGCGTCGCCAGCTTCTTCAATAGCTTTGATCAATTGAGGAGTCAACAGAAAATCGGTAATCTCAGCACTCTCAGTCATCACAGTCACCCAGGCGGGAAGCTTGGAGTTGTCCTTGGTGAAAGTCATGGAAGCATCGTAACGGTCCTGACGAATCTGACGCATGGCATTCTTATGCACAACAGCCCAAATGAACCCGTCATAAGTCGAATTGGGAACCTTGATAGAGGAAACATCACCACCTGGCGTAGGGACAATCTCCTTCTCCTTTCCGTCAAAAGTGTACAGAGTAGACTCCACTCTTTCCACTGGTGGAGGGAAGCTCTCAAGGAAAAGGCCCAATGCATTGTCCATGATAAATACAAGAGGGTTATAGCGTTTGACAAGCTTGATGGAGACATCAAGGAAAGCAACATTCTGGCGACCGGTAGCATATGACTGATACTCCTGCTTGGATTTCTCCTTCAACAGTTTCTCAGGATCAGTCAATTCGGACTGAACACCTTCGACGGAGGGGCCCCTGGCGACACCGCCGAAACCGACAACAGCGAATTCGCTTTCAAGGACAGGAGCATGAGCAATAGCCCATGTCTTGGCCTTGCTCCTGTTCTTGCGTGTGCCCCAGAAGTGGAATCCGAGGAGGAGGAGCAAGAAGGGAATTATGAATGCTTCTTGCAGAAAGTCCTGAGGAGTGACTCTTTCCCAGACGCGATACCATGCAGTGTATGGGACGGCGCTGGCTCCTGTGACGGCGGCTGCTGGGGCAGATTGGCCAGCTGTCAAGCCTGCGGGGGAAGGGTTGGGGACAGCGGCAAAATCGGCGAAATCTGACAGAGAAATTCATTAGTTTCTCTTGAGTGTTACGTGGAAAAGTGCGATTGTTATGCGATAGAAATGCAATTGGGACCGCGATCCCAACACAATCGCTTCACAAGATAGGAGTCTCGCGACACATCAACCAACAACCAATGACCAAGACTTACCATCATCACTCTTGACGGCGCCCGAAGGGGCAGCGCCGCCAAACACATTTTGAAAAACACCAGCCATTGTGAGATAGAGACAGACTGCGCACTGGACAAGCAATGGCAATGGCGGTGGTCAGTACAGCGAGAGGAGTAGAGGGAGAGGGAGAGGGAGCTGGCGATTAGTGCGGAGTGGATGCCGGAGCTTTCTGGCGTACAGCGCTAGACTACTCTAGAACTAGTGGCTTCCACTAGAAGGCTGGAGAACTTTGGAAGCTCCGCTTGCGTCTGGACAAATAACATTTCATAAATTTGCATTACTTCTATCCCTATCTAATGAGCTATCAAAACTCGAATCGCACTCAAACAACACACCATGACTGTCATGTAAATAATCCCCGTCGAACCACTTACAAAAAGAGAACTCGTCAGCACAAATGTCGCATACAAATAAATCCCCACAGCCAACGCTTCCATCGCAGCCTCATAATACTGCCACGCCCAGTCATATCGCATGGTGATTTCAATGGAGTAATACGCCCCGTACCTGGACCGAGAGAGCTTTCCCCTCTGCCTATCAGGCTGGCGATCCTCCATGACCAGATACATAGTGCTGCTAGTAGTATCATTCTCACGATTAAATCGTCCTGGTAAGTTGTACCGATGCCGAACCAAAGATGACCACGGTACCTCGCTCCATTCTTCCTGGGTATCTTCGCGGTACCGTATTCGGATCTTTTGAGCGAGCATGGACAGGCCAGACATGGCGATGATGAGCCATACAACGCAGGCAACCGGCCAACAGATCAGCAGGAACGGGTAATCGCAGCGCCAGGAGACGACGGATGAATAGTTGAGAGTGACGGTCTGCCACATCATGACGCCGAGGAGGAAAAGGAAGGCGAGGTCGACGGCAAATGCTTTTCCTTTGAAAACTCCCTGCCAATGTGGTGTAGGAACCGGGATTGTCCATTGTCTGATTCTGAGCTCCTCCAAGGTTGGTGTGTTTAGGTCTTGAGTTGGATGATCTGTGGAGGAGAATTGTCGAAATAGATTATTTGGCAGGCCAATGCCGAATACACACATCACTATGCCTTGCAACGGGGATGCGAAGGCAAGTTTGATTATTTCCATTGGACTGACMCCTGCCATAAATCTTATCAGACGCCACCTTTTCTTTTCTTACTGATGACACATATTGCATACCTATCAAAGCAAGCGTTGTCGGTACAAGCGACACGATATTACTACCACTCGACATTCCCGAGGAAATCTCCGCGTGCAGCCCTTCCAGCACACATCTTACAAGGTAAGGACACGTGCCATATGACCATCCGGCGTTGGGAGTCGTCTGTAAGCATTCGTTTGCCAATGCCTGAATAGAAGGGTCGTTAGGATCGCCGATGGTGCGGTGTAGAGCATAACATGTTGTCGAAAAGGCGGCTATGAACAGCCAGAAAAGAGCTGCCATATCGACAATTTTTGATGCAGGTTCAATTCATCACAGAACGAGGAGACCTGGATATGAAAAGATTTAAATCATTACCATATTGATTAGGGCACAATGACCTTCTAAATAGGACTGCCAGATTCGGACACGAACCCTAGCGCTAACAACCGTGCTGCACAAGGATGAATATATCACAACTCTATATAGGTACATAGTAACTATTCCGTAGTCACTGACAAATTCCGTGACTAGTTCATGCATGGCTTATAATTAAAGCTGAATCTAAAGCGGAGGTTCGCAAGTTCGCTAGACCATCTCATTGGGCCCATCTATTTAGTCTCCTTTTAGTTCTAGTATACACGACGCGTTCTTACCCACTCAGCACCCAAAATATCTTGAAGAGTGCGGTGCCTGACTGCGCCGAGATGCCGTCGGCCAATGTTTACATTGCTTGAAAAGTCTTCAATGTTGGTGCTAACACGAACTCTGTATCTCAAGACTGGAATGAATGTATGCATGCTGCGAATGGTTATTTATGTAGTGGAGTTTTCGTCGTGACAGTGGGACGAACGATGACGACGACTTTTTCATCGCTTCATCGGCGGGTTTGGGATTAATTGTTGCGGGATGGTAGGTGCTGAGGCTCAAAGTCAGTGCTTAGCTTTGGTGTATATTGATCCTTCTTGATGTGACACTTTTGACACTTTTGCAAACGTAGTCTTGGTCTGCGGAATTATACGAGCCTATACGAGTTTCGGGCGCGAAAATAGTTCTCCAACGAAGCTGCGTTGAACAGTCTCAATCTGCACATATCGAGACCTTCGAGGATCTGTAATTTTTCGACTTCCTCGGCTGCTTTTTTAATGTATGCCGTATATGCAGGTTCTAGAAACATGTTGCTATAGTGGGTTGCTGGAGAGTCATATCAGATACGTACTTCAGACTAGATCGTTAATTTGTGTAAAAGTCAGATCGGCTTTTCAATTATAATATGATATTTGAATTTCGAGGAAATTTGGGTATGCTGAGTAGCCACAAATGGCATCATCCCTGAATGTGGAGGGGGAAGATAATTAACACCATGACGATAGCGGGGATGTTTATTTTCTCCCCATCTAACCGAACCACCAGTTGCAAGACATACAGACACCGTCAATAAACTCTTACGCATCCAAAGAACTATCTGCAGCATAACGCGCACTTCAAGCAAAATGTCTACACAACCAATCGACATCGACTCAATCCCCACTCCAGAGCACTGCACAGCCGACTTTTGTCTAATCCCGGTATACATCCATCATCACAGTCCTCCACCCAAACCACGAAACTAAATGCTACTTTTGAATAAATTCAGATAGGAACATCGTCCGCCTCCGTATCTGCACAAATCGCCGATGTGCAACGCCTAATTGAGAGATCCGGGCTGAAGTATGTTATGCATTCTGCTGGGACGACGCTAGGTACTTCACCATCCTTCCCTCCCTTCCCATGCTCTCTTCTATCATTAGTATCTTTATACTGATGTATTTGATAGAAGGACCGTGGGAAAAAGTGCATCGCGTAATTGGGCAGGCGCATACGGTGCTGCATCAGCAGGGCGTTGTAAGGATTCAGTCTGATATTCGGAGTGGGTCGAGGTATGTCTCTCCTCAATTATGGGAGTGATGATGGTTACGAGGCTGATACCTTACGCAGGATTGATAAAGTGCAGTCGTTTGAGGATAAAGTTGCAGCTGTTAATAAGTTGTTGGGTAAGGAGTGAAGAGCACAGGGTGATGTTCAAGACTAAGCCGAAATATGCAATAAATTTTGATCTTTAATCATGTAAGATTATGTATGCAACCTAATGCTACACGGACACTGCCATCAGAAACGCCATCGCTATGCACCAAAATAACCTTGCACCACACCCCTTACTAGCAATCGAGGTAGTAGTGATTGTGCTAGATGGAGACGCCGCCCCCGAGGATACTGCTCCAGTCGCCGCCGGCCCAGATCCAGTTGCCTAAGCTCGGATTAGCCCCATTCTTGACTTCATCCACGAGTTCGAGCAAGCCCACGTATGTTCCACTGCTGGTACTGTTGTTATCGTCTGCATTCGTGTTGGGCACAGCGACACGACCAGTTGCGTCTGTGACATTGTTCAATTGATCGACTACATCGATTGCAGGACCCTTGTCGAACCAGTCCACTAGTATGAAACTGGGTTGACGGCCTGAGTATGCGGATTTGCAGGTTTCGGCAGCTGTGAGCAAGTTGCCGGTCCCGTTTTGGCCGTTTGTTGTTGCGGCGGCGTTGACGTCAGGTTCTTCAATGCCGAGACCGACGTTTGTGTCGAGGAAATGGTTCATGAAGGGGAGGCGGTTGGAGGATAGAGCGGAGGCGGTGTTGCCGGATACCGTTGATGGACGGTCTGGGAGACATGAGAAGTTCGATGCGGATGTGACGTCGTAGGGGTTTTCCCAGATATAGGTAAACTCGTCCATGAGGTATGCCGCATTGCTATTGGAGGATAGTGATGCCACAAAGGTCATGAGGCGGGTGCCGTTGCTAATGAGTTCTTGTAAAGTAGGCCATGCTGTGGTGGCGCTTGTGAAGGAAGGGGTGTATGCGTAATCAGTGATGTTTGATGATTCGAAGGATGTAGCGAGTTCGGAATCGGTAGCGTCGTCTGAATTGACCAGCAAAACAGTTACCACTATACAATTATCAGCATCATTATAGTTCATCTGCACGCATGATGTTTCGTATCTTACCGTCGTTGGGGTTCTCGTCTAGCCATGTTTTGATTTCACTCAGCCACGATTCAAGTGTTCCGGCATCGAGGAGGTCGCAGCTTGAGTGACACAGATGCCATGCATTATTGTTCTTATGGACTTGCCCAGTCACCAACCGTACGCCTGCGGAGAGTTGGACTGTAGTATTGTAGAATCTGTGGCGGTTAGCAGCTTTCACCGAACCCCTCTCTCCTTGTCTTGACATTATAAGACTCACTGGTTTCCAGAAGCGGAATAATCGGTACTCGCATCACGCAGAAAAGGGCTGTCGTGAGCTCCAAGATGAGTAATCTCCCCGTAGGATTTGCTGCACAGGCTGGGAGAATTGTTGCAAGCCGTAGATCGGACTGTAAGTTCTGTGGTGGTAGCGGAGGTGCACGAAAGAAAAATTGGAAGCAGATTTCTGATGGATAGCATCTTGTTGATTGGGTGAGGTGCGGTCGTTAATCGTAAGTTGTAATTTAGTTGTAAAAATGTTGATGGTTTCTTTTAACCCTGGTATCTAGCTCATAGCAACCAAAAGTAAACAAACATCAGATATCGCGAGCAGAAGCAAATGTAATGGCAATGCGGTAGATTGGATTAAATGAGAAAAAGAAGTTTCAATGAAGAAGCCATTCAAATATAGTGTAACAAAGACAAGCCAGCTGTCTCAGGTTGACGAATGTTATTGAGGCTGAGCCATGCCTCAAACAGACATGCCATACGTGGTGGTGGATCTGTAGAGGATGAGCCACCTCAGCTTTTTCTGTGCAAGCGCCAATCCGAAACAGACTCCGCGCCAGCCTGAGGCCCCAAGCGCCGGGAGGCTGCGCGGCCTCAGGCTGTCAGGGATGCCACAGGCCACCAAAGCTCGGGGCCTCAGGCGCCAAGCGACATGATGATTTCTCGTATCTGATTGGCCGCTCACTTTGTGTGCGACGCTAGCCCCAAAGGCCTGCCAAGACATCACTTCCTGTCTTCGACCTTCCTGCCCAGCTTGCCATTTCCGTTTCGCCTCTTTCTCACCACCTCACCTCACCTTTCTGAGCTTTTGCTCTTTACATTCGATCCCTCTTCAATTCTCTCATTAGCCTGTTATCTGCATTACGACGTCTACGATTGGTGTAATTCCAGCCTTCATCTATCTCTATCAAACGTGTTTCTGTCTTGAGCTTGCTTGCTCGGAAGCTCGCTGCTCTCTTGAAACAGAGCTGCCAGCTGAGTTTTCCTTCCGAGACCTGAAATTTGTCGCGTCACGGGCGTCTTCTAAATTTTTTAAGAGACGAGTTGGCAGAAATGTCCACCCCAAGCGACCTTCAGGCTCTCTTTGCGAGCATGAAGCCGCGCCCTGCGCAATCTCAAGATGCCCAGGCTGCGGCTTATCCTTCATCGGAGGCTCGGGCTTTTAACCCACAAACTGATGGTCTGAGGTTTGGTCTCCAGTCGCATGCATATCCCTTCCCTCATGGCTATCACAATCCATCTGTTTCCTCACCTGTCTACAGCCCTGGTCCCGTCAATACACCTCCGCATCATGGCTCAGACATCCTCAGTCCTAATGTGCCCACACCTCGTGGCGACCAGCAACAGCGAACAGCTAGCGCAGATCAGGCCATGAGCCTGCTCAATCTTCTGAAATTTAGCCAAAACAAACCAAGCTCGCCGCAGCCTTCAGCTGCAGTTGGTTCATCGCCGTCGCTCTCTGCAACTCATCATGAGGAAGTTCAGCCTTCTCACTCGCGCACTATCTCTGCTTCAGACCTTGTCGCTTCTTTCATGGCCAAACCTGGCCCTGCCTCTCAGTCTCCCGCTTTAGGCGCGTCCGCTACAATTGCTGCCAGTCGCGCACCCGAAAGCTCTACTACCGCCGCGGAAACTCAGGACATGCTTATGCGTCTCTTGAACCGCTCTCAGATAAAAACTGAAGAGAGCAGTCGTGCCCTGCAAACCCCGCCGGCTTACGAAAGTAGCGCCCCGGCTACCGTCGATCAACAATCCATGCATGTCTTTGGCTCTGTCGACAAAGAAGCCGCGAACTTTGAGGGTCCAAAAGCGAACCAGTCCAAGGGTAGTATATTTTCATATGTCAATCCCTTTGAGCAGCTAGCCGCCGCCTCACCTCGTCGCACTCCTCAGCCCAAGTCCGGTAACGGTACCCCTGCGGAGGCAGCCACTCATCGTCCAAAAGATTCCAATACCATCTCGGAAGAGCAGTCTTCGCTGGAAACATTGAAGACAACTGTTGCTGCAGATGAGAAATTATCGGACCAGAAAGAGACAGTCTCCAAGGCGGTTGATCAACTTGCCGGGCAACTAGACCGAGAAGTGGAGGACGCTTTGAGCCGAGCTAACTTTGCTGAGGCGACACTACGTCCTAAAGCCGAGGACGAGACTGCCAAAGAAGTCGTGGATGCTATCGTCCAAGAGCTTCCAAATACCGCTGCCGAAGTAAAGAAAGAGATTGAAAAGCAAGAAAAGGCCGGTAAATTAAATGAAACTATTCCGGAAGAGTTCGTTGATACTGTCAAAGAGGTGGTGGACGAAGCTGCAGAAGGCAAACTGTTGAAGAATCTCGCTACAGACGAGAAGTTGGCAGATAGCTGGGAAAGTGCTGAAGACGGCGCTGACAAAGCCGAAGAGCGTGTCGTTCGCGTTTTCAACTTTCCTCTCCGGCCGTTCATCTCAATTACCATCAAGCCAGATACTGGCAAGCTTTCCACCGTCCGTGATGACGGTATTATGGATGTTGCACGTCTCAAAAAAGAGTTTGATCAGCTCGACCGCTGCTTGACCTCGGCAACTGCTCAATATATTGTTTATGCTCTGGCAAAGAATGGTGGATTGCGCATCATTCGCCAAGACGATGGACGTGATAAGCAAGTGTTCCGCTTTGCTCGTGACCGTCTTTTCAACGTCGCATTGAGCAACTCTGCATCAGCCAGCAGCAATTCCACCAAAGACCAAGCCATCATCGCGATTGGTGTTAGTGGAACCGTGTACTGGGCTCCGGTCTTCCGAGGGGATAATGACTTGTTTGAGATGGACACGCTGGAAAGTGAATGTCTCGTTTTCCCTCCATACCCAGCGTCTGACGAGAATACATCTGGTGGTCAGCTGAAAACGCGCGCCAAACCCAGCTCTCGTCATCCGGAATTCTTTGGTATCGGTCGTGGAAAAAATATCTACATTGTTTCGCCTCAATATGCCGCCCATCCCAGCTACGGAGTGTCTGGCTCGCAACGTATTGTTGATACTGAAAAGTTCTTCAAGGAACGTGCGATGAAGATCTCCACTGGTAAGGCCGGCAAAGATTTCACCTTCAGTGAGGACGACACAGTCGTAGCTTCTCTCGACAAGACTGGTCGGTTGCGGTTCTGGGATATCCAAGAAGTTGGTCAGACCATGGACGGATCGCAACCGCCTGAAGTTCGTGTGCCACTGACTACATTTGTTACCGGCTCACCAAATGAGAAATCATGGCCTACGTCTGTTCAATTTATCGACAAACTACGTCCATTTGTCAAGGCGGTTGCTCTTCGATATGTTCTCGTTGGTCTCAAGCAGAATCATACTCTCCAGCTCTGGGATATTGGGCTTGGAAAAGCGGTTCAGGAAGTGAACTTCCCGCACGAGAATGAGTCCGATGCTATATGCAGCGTTGCCTATCATCCTTCATCGGGCATTATTGTCGTTGGTCACCCTACTAGGAACTCTATCTATTTCCTTCATCTATCTGCTCCCAAATACAACTTGCATCCTATGTCTCAGGCAGATTATATCAGGCGCGTCGCGGAGAAGGATAGCTCTTTGCCCAAACCTGAATCTACAGCATGTCTCAGTGGCATCCGCGAAATCTCCTTTGCTTCCAAGGGTCAATTGAGAAGTCTCGATGTTCTCGCTCTTAGCAAGTCCATGGGCGCACAACGTGCGACCGAGGAAGAGTCTGGCCTGTTTGAGATTTATGCCATGTATTCACGTGGCGTGACTTGTCTGAACATCAGGAAGGAAGATTTGGGCTGGTCTTCGGATAACAAGATCATGGAGGCCGTCGATGCCTTGGATGACGGCTACATCGAGGTCAAAGATCTACAAACATTCCCTAGTTATGTGGTCGACGAGCCCTCTGTGAACGGAGATTCGGTTACCAGTAGTGCACAGAAGCCACCAGCGAAGGACGTCGCCCGGAAGGTGTCAGACCTCGCTGTCGATACTATTTCTACTGCGGCTGTTTCTAGAACTGCATCGCCAGTCAAATCTTTGGCTAAATTGTCGGCTGATGAGCAGTCAGAAGTCACTAGTGGCACTGACAAAGCAAAGAAGAAGAGAAAGGACAAGGCCAAGGATGTTAGCAAACCATCTGGAGCGCATGATCTTTCTAAATATTTCACTCCGGCTACAAATACTCAGCCGGAACGCGAAGAGACCCCTGCTGTAGCTGCTGAAGGCCAACGATCTGTTGTAGAAACAAATGCTCAACAAGCGCCTGCTTCTGGCTTGACTATTTCAAGTGAATTGATCAAGGAACTCGAGAAGAGCGTTTCCGCAGAGGTTGTCAAAGAGGTCAGCCGCGAATTTGATGGACTTCAGAAACGCCTTGACGATGAGCGTCGAGCTTGGGATGTCGCATCAGCCAGCAAGACTGATCAAATTCTTCGACTCGTGTCAAGCACACTTGCCGACAATGTCGAGAAGAGTCTTTCTCGGATTATTGGTCAAAGCGTCGAAAAACAAGTTTTGCCAACCGTTGTTGACTCAGCATCCGCTGCAGTGGGCAAACAACTTGAAGGTGTGATCTCTACTCACTTCAATCAGAACTTCCCGCGTGAACTCGGTCAGCGTCTACCGAATGCCCTGGCTCGTGCAGTCAAGCAGCCAGAAGTGTTGACTTCAATCTCGGAAGCAGTCGCCAACTCCAGTGCTTCTCGTGTTGAGGGAGAAGTGGCCAAGTTGATACAGAATGTCATTACTCCTTCGGTTCAAGCTGCTATCACTCGTCAATCAGAGGCTGCTACCCGTGATTTTGAGCAGATATTCCAGGCTCAGTCGAAACACTACGAAGCTCAACGCCAGCATGACTCTGCTAAGATCGACCAATTGGTATCCGCAGTCCACAGCTTGAAAGAGACCATTGATGTAATGGCATCGTCTCAGGCTGCTTTGCAGGGTGAGGTGGCAGCGTTACAGAAGCAGTTGGGATCACGACGCGATGGCGTTGCTCCACAGCCTGTTCCTGTTCCTCAGCCCCCGGCACCTGCGCAGCGTTCTCCGGAGGAGCTGGAACTAGCCGACATTGCTCGGTTGGCTTCAGAAGGAAATTTCGAAGAAGCATCTATTAGGGTATGTTATTCTTTGGATGCGATAGATATACTTACTAACATATCTTAGTGGCTACAATCGTCGCAGCAGGCCGATGTGTTTGACAACTTTTTCGTGCGTCTTAATCCTGCTTATCTGTCTACCGTGTCGCCTATTGTGTCACTATCGGTGGGTGTAGCCGTAACCACCGCTCTTTCAACCAACGTTCAAGAGCGTTTGGGCTGGCTCGAGTATGTGCTTCAAAATGTCAATCTGGTGGTACGTTTACAGTCTTATCTTTCTATTTCAATTAATAACTGACATTTTGTTTCAGGATCCGGACATTCGCGAAGTTGCACCCCAGATCATGGACATCTTCATCCAGCGACTTGATGGACTATACAGAACTGTGGTCGAAGCGAATCCACAAGATCCCCTTCTCCGCAAGATTCCACCACTGGTCCGTCGTTCTCGGGATCTTCGTGGTCATTAGAGTGACATTTTGCTTTCGTTGCTGTGTTCTTAGGTTGTTTCAATCGGTGGTTTTGCAATTCAGAATTCTTGTATCATTTTCTTGTAGCATAGTCTTAAAAGGGTCGTGGAGGAGGCAAAAGTTGTTCGAAGGATTATGCTCTCCTGCTCTTCTACTACCATCATAATGCTTGTATACAAGCAACACAACTTTCATGCGCCTGACTATCTAGTATAAGCACATTGCACCCTTAGTCATTGCTATCGACTTCGTTGAACATGTAACACATTGTGCATATTTGGCGTCCCTTGGCAGCTGTTAGGAGTAGCATGTGATTGGTGGGTCATTCCGGAGACTGAGTTCACGCTAAAATTAATTTTGGTGATCTCAACTCTTACAAATCACCACCATCATTTAATTCACGAACATCCTACTCAATTGCTCAATCCAAAAACATCTACTACATATCAGATACAATTAACATCCCTTGGACGGACGATTTTCGATAACGCATTTACAATGGGTTGGGGGTGGTGGTCATCATCCTCTAGCAGCAATAATCAAAATGGGCAGCCACAATCACAACAGCCAGACATTCTACAACAACCATCAATATCATCATCGCAGCCAGAGCCAAAACCCAGGCGGCAATTAACGCGCGAAGAACAAGCCGATGCCGAACTACGCGACTTTCTCAAAAGCCTCGAGTCCTCCGTGACACCTCCCTCACCACCTTCCTCACAACCATCGCAAGCACCATCATCAACAACCACAACTACATCACCAACTTCCCTCGAATCGATACAATCCGAAACCCCTTCCTCCATAGCCCCCGACTCTCTCTACCCGGACACCATGTCCTGCCGCTCCGCCTTCGACTACGCCTTCTTCTGCCAATCCTTCGGCGGGCAATGGGTCAACGTCTACCGCTACGGCGAATTGCGGTCTTGCAGCGAACACTGGGAAAACTTCTGGCTGTGCATGAAAGCGCGCGGCATAAAAGATGACAATACCAGTAAGGAAATGATTAGGAACCATTATCGCAAGAAAGCGATAAAATATAAGACGGGTCCGAGTAGTGAGGATGTTTGGGAGGTTCGGATGGAGCCGTTGAAGGGCGCGTTTTCGGGGGATTTTGAGAAGATGGAGAGGGAGATGAAGCTCGCTGAGGAGCAGCAACAGCAGATGCCGGAGAGAGAAGTCAGTCCTAAATGATGAGCCGTTCAAATGGGAGGGCGTCATCGTTGTATGAATATGTAAATGTATGTATAGCTATAGATTGGACATATACCCATTTCAACTCTTGTATTTGCTGTGCCTAGGTAAAGTTTCGAGGGACTTCGTTCAAAGCGCGTCCCGCAATGCTATTTTAGCATCTGTATTGGGGCCTTGGATTGCGAGCATAGCGATGATACAAGCTACAATAAAGAAAAAATTTAGTATTGAATATTTCATTGATGCTATGACCCTAATACAAAAGAGCTAAAACTATTCACAGCTAGAATGGAAGGAAATCAAAAACATATTGAACAGACCGAAAAGAAAAAACATTCTAACAATAAACGAGAAAACCTCCCTTTCCACTTTCCAATTTATGAAGATCATGAAAAAAGAAACAAAAACAAACAAAAAACGCTGTCATACATCCATACATCACATCATAGAACATGGAGTAGCATAGGTAAGAAAAATAGCCCTTCCCTCTAAAATCTATTCATGTTCAAGAGGAGGGAGGAAGGAGGGGGGAAGGACTTTTGGGTATTTGGTGGATAGATCAGAAGATATACTTCTGGTCTGAGATGTGTAAGCTTTTCTGGTCTAACACGAAGTCTAAGCAGAGACAGCTGCAGCGACTTGAGGAACGGCATCGACAGCTGGGCGACGGACGATACCACCAGTGACGGGAAGGAGAGATCCGGTTCCCATGAGGAAAGTGTCAACCTCACGAGCGGTTTGACGACCTTCGTTGATGCCCCTGTAATACAATTAGTAATCATTCGAAAATAAAAAGCAGATTATATAAACTTACCAAACAATAAGAGACTGTCCACGTCGGCAATCACCAGCAGCAAAAACGCCAGGGATATTGGTGGCATATTGACCAGGAGCAGTCTTGACGTTCTTGCGAGCATCACGCTCAATCTCCTCGCCAAGAAGACGGTCCTCGGGACCCAAGAAACCCATGGACAACATGACCAAGTCAGCAGGGAAGAACTGCTCACTGCCTTCGACGGTCTTCATGTCCCAACCACCAGAGGCACTCTTGGTCCATTCAACACGGACAGTGTTGATACCCTTGACACGACCATTGCCATCATCAACGAACTCCTTAGACATGATGCTGTACTCACGAGGATCCTTGCCCATGTGAGTCTTGACCTCAGTGTGACCATAGTCCACACGGTAAATACGAGGCCACTGAGGCCATGGGTTGTCGCGGGCACGCTCTGGGGGAGGCTGAGGAAGCAACTCGAAGTTGACAACGCTCTTGGCTCCATGACGGACGGATGTACCAATGCAGTCGTTACCGGTATCACCACCACCGATGACAACAACGTGCTTATCCTTGGCGGAGATGTAGGCGCCATCGGCGTGCTCAGAGTCGAGGAGAGACTTGGTGTTCTTGTGCAAGAATTGCATGGCAAAGTGAATACCCTCCAACTCACGTCCAGGAATCTTGAGGTCACGAGCGACGGTAGCACCGGTGGCGATGATCACAGCATCGTTGCTTTGACGAAGAGATGCGAGAGTGACTGCCTCATCAGGACCGACGGCGGTGCTGGTGACGAACTTGACGCCCTCAGCGGCCATAAGGTCAACACGGCGCTGAACAACCTTCTTGTCGAGCTTCATGTTTGGAATACCGTACATAAGAAGACCTCCAACACGGTCGGCGCGCTCATAGACGGTGACGGAGTGACCAGCACGGTTGAGCTGATCAGCGGCGGCAAGACCAGCAGGACCAGATCCAATGATAGCGACGTTCTTGCCAGTGCGGCTAGGAGGAGGGCGAGGAACCATCCAGCCCATCTCGAAACCACGATCAATGATGGCGCACTCAATCGACTTGATACCGACGGGGTCTTCGTTGATGCCGAGCACACAAGCACCCTCACAAGGAGCAGGGCAGACACGACCAGTGAACTCAGGGAAGTTGTTAGTCATCAACAAACGGTTGAGAGCATCCTGCCATTGATTTTGAAACACCAATTCGTTCCACTTGGGAATAATGTTGGAGATAGGGCAACCACTGTCAGACTGACAGAAGGGAACACCGCAGTCCATGCAACGTGCTGATTGGTATTTGAGCTCATCTTCAGTGAGACGAGTCGAAAGTTCGGCCCAGTCGCGAGTACGAGTAGTCGGGTTGCGGTATTTCTCACTGCGGCGGTTGTACTTCATGAAACCGCGGGTCTTGTCGAGAATAAGAGCAGTACGCTTCTTCTCTGCCTTGGAATCGCTCACGCTGTCTTCAATATCAAGCAAATCGGCCTTCTTCTCCTCATGCTTGTGCTCCTTCTTCTCTTCTTCGGGAGCAGGAGTGCTGGGGAGCTTGGGCAAGGTGAATTCAGCCTTCTTGGCAGCCTCGGCCTTGGCAGCTTCTTCAAGCATGACACGCTTATAGTCGGTAGGAAGTACCTTGACGAAGCGGGGGAGGGCACGGTTAAAGTCAAGGAGGATACGGGCAGCGAGCTCGGAGCCAGTGTAGTGGTGGTGATCCTCAATGAGACCGCGGACGAAAGCAATTTCAGCGGGATCTTCCAACCCAGACACCTCAACCATCTCCATGTTGATCTTGGAGTGGAAGTCTTGGTTGACGTCAAGGACGTAAGCAATACCACCAGACATACCAGCAGCAAAGTTACGACCAGTTGAGCCAAGAACAAGAATTCTACCACCAGTCATGTACTCACAACCGTGGTCGCCAACACCCTCAACGACGGCTGTAACACCGGAATTTCGGACAGCGAAACGTTCGGCAGCCACACCACGGAAGTAGCAAGTACCGCTGGTAGCGCCGTAAAGACAGACGTTACCAATGATGATGTTCTCTTCGGCCTTGTAGACGGCATTGCGAGGAGGATAGACGATCAGGCGACCACCTGACAGACCCTTACCAACGTAATCGTTGGCATCACCCTCAAGCTCCAACGTAGCACCAGGAGCAAGGTAGGCACCAAAGGACTGACCAGCAGAACCCTTGATATTGACATGAACGGTGTCTTGAGGTAGACCAACTTCTCCGTAGCGACGGCTGATCTGGTAAGAAAGAGTAGCACCCAAGGCACGGTCAGTGTTTACAACGTCACACTCGACACGACAGGGGAGACCCTTCTCGAGAGCAAGCTCGGACTCGGCAATCAACTTGTTGTCGAGGCGGACGTGCAAGCGGTGGTCCTGCTTGCGGACGTTGTAGGTAGCGACACCGGGACGCAAAGAATGAGCAGGGGTCAGAATGAGAGACAAGTCAATGTTCTCCTGCTTAGCAGAGCGAATGTCGTCGCGGACCTTGAGCAATTCAGCGCGACCAACCATCTCGTTGATTGTGCGGATACCAAGTTTGGCCATGATAGCACGGAGTTCGTTGGCAACGTAGTAGAAGAAGTTGATAACGTGCTCGGGAGTACCCTTGAACTTCTTGCGCAACTCGGGGTCTTGGGTAGCGATACCTACCGGGCATGTGTTGAGATGACATTTCCTAATTCAGATAAGTTAGCCATTATTCACAAATATAGAACAGGAAGGCATCCGCGAACCTCATGAAGATGCATCCCATGGCGATCAAAGGAGTTGTAGCGAAACCCCACTCTTCAGCACCGAGCAAGCAGGCAATAGCCACGTCGCGACCAGTCTTCAATTGACCGTCAGTTTGGACGATAACACGACCACGAAGGTCGTTCAAGACAAGGGTCTGGTGAGTCTCAGCAAGACCCAACTCCCAAGGCAAACCAGCAGCCTTGATACCAGTCCATCGGGAAGCACCAGTACCACCGTCATGACCAGAAATGAGAATATGATCGGCCTTGGCCTTAGCGACACCGGAGGCGACAATGCCGACACCGACCTCAGAGACGAGCTTTACAGACACACGGGCACGAGGGTTGGAGCACTTGAGATCGTAGATAAGTTGCTTCAAATCCTCAATGGAATAAATGTCGTGGTGAGGAGGAGGGGAGATAAGGCCGACACCGGGGGTGGAGTGACGGGTACGGGCAATAGGGCCAGAGACCTTATGTCCAGGAAGTTCACCACCTTCACCAGGCTTAGCACCCTGGGCCATCTTGATCTGGAGCTCATCGGCATCAGCAAGGTAGTTGGATGTAACACCGAAACGACCAGAAGCGATCTGCTTAATGGCGGAGCGCATGGTGTCACCGTTCTCCATGACCTTGCTTCGCTCTGGGTCTTCACCACCTTCACCAGTGTTGGATTTACCACCCAAGCGGTTCATGGCAATGGCCAAAGTGGAGTGAGATTCCATAGAAATAGAACCGTAGGACATGGCACCGGTAACGAAGCGGCGCACAATTTCCGTCCATGGCTCGACCTGGTCAATGGGGATAGCGGTACGTTGCTCGTAGTCGAAATCAAGCAACCCACGGAGAGTACAGTTCTTGATAGCCTCGCGTTCAGAACGAGCATAAGCTTCGTAAGACTTGTCGTTCTTGGTACGAACAGCGTCCTGGATGTTGGCAATACTTGTAGGGTCGTTCACGTGTGGGTCACCACCATCACGCCAGTGGTATTCACCAGACTCGGGGAGACCGGCGATTTCTGTAATGGCGCGAGAAGGATAGCCTCGCTCGTGGAAAGCAAAGGCGTCTTGGGCAATAAGCTCGAAGGTCACACCGCGGATACGGCTAGCAGTACCAGCGAAGCATCGGTCAATTACTGCGTCGTCAATGCCAAGAGCCTCAAAAATCTGAGCACCCTTATAAGACTGCAGGGTAGAGATACCCATCTTGGACATAACCTTGAGGATACCACCATCGCAGGAGGCCTTGTAGTTAAGAAGAACCTGCTCATCGGACAAAGGCTTGCGGATAAGCTTCTCGCGGTTCATCTTGAGAATACATTCCATGGCAAGGTAGGGGCAGATGGCGTCAGCACCATATCCAAGAAGAACACACATGTGGTGGACTTCASGAGCCTCACCAGTGTCGACAACAAGAGCGGCCATAGACCTCCACTTGTTGCGAACCATGTGGTGGTGA